ACTGTGTGGATCTGTATCATTAGGGAGCACTTTCCCATACTGTCATAGATATCTGAAGAAGAAAATGTCTTAAATGAAGTACACCTTGTCCAGACTTTGGGTGGTACATTAACAAGTATTAAATGAGAGAATCTGGTTCGAGGACCTGAGGAATCATTTAAAACACCACTTAGGTAAAAATAACATTGTCGGGCACAGTTACAAGCAAAAAACCCAGACTCTCAGGGCAATAATTCCAAAGTCAACGTGCTCCGTCTCGGTCCTCAGGAATTTTTCATGAGCCACCACTTATCTTGTCATATCAGATTTCTTCCACCAGCTTTTTTGGAGAGAAGAGAAAAGACACCTTTAGGGCAAATTATTCTCTTTTAATCAAATCAGTCTGTATGGCCTGAGGAAATCTTTCCGTGCCCTTTGAGTCACTGAGGCATGGGCAACGAGTGCGCACACCCAAGCCCCCCCTACCCCATTAAGAAGCACAGTCACACAAACAAACATCCACACATATAGGAAAATCAGCAGTTTGGTGTTTTAGTATCTGAAAGCAAGAAAACAGGAGAATAAAACATAGAAGAAAGCAAAGAACTAAGTGGTGTCTGGAGTTTCCATCACAAGTGAAATCCCAGATTTTCTCACTCAGTGTTCATGGAACAAAATCGAACAACTTTATTCTAGAGCACAGTCAGTGCAGGAGGGAGCTATAAAATATAAATTATACCACATAACCCTATACCTCCCAACTGAGCCATTCGGTTACAACTTTACTCCTGTTCGTTACACAGGTCCAGCGTCTCTGCTCTTTCTATAGCATCGACATGAATTATACTCCGTCCCAGCTGAAGAATGTATAGATTACAAGTGAAAAGTAATTTCCCCACCGATCGGACTGTTGCCACCCAGTGACACTGAAGTGTTTATTTTACACAATAATTAGTCCTGGACAGAATTAATTAAGACCACCCCAAATTACAGCTGAAAATGTAGGAATCATGACTGTGCCCTGAAAGAGAGAGCAATGCAGCAGCAGGGGAGTATTTTCTAAAGGCTGAGCTGTGCAAAATGTGTTCTATCATTTCCCACTTTAAACAAATAAAGACGGAGGGAGTGTGTGGCTTCTGCACACACTGGGTGTGTTCAAAACCAAAGTTTTCCTGATTCCTTCCTTGAGGAATATGAGAGTGTTTGGATTAAGTGTATGAATTGAAACCAATAGAGGGGAAAAAGGACACAAAAAAAGTAACTGCATGTAAGTACAGGTATCATTTTACAGTTTAAACACAGCTTGTAGCATTGAGTCTGATTTGAATCTGATTGATTTGCCTTTCCTAACTGTGACAGCCTACCCACCAATAAGACAAAACTATCATTTAGCAGAGTGAAAACTCTTAGAGAAATCAGTCTACATGATAGTACAAGACTAAACACTCCTTAAACGCTTGTGTCATAACAGCTGTTAACCCTATTCATTACCCACTGTTGTTTATTTCTTCCTTTTTTTTCATCACAGACTGAATTTCATAATGTATTCAGAGGAAATTGGAAAGTGTAAGTGTGTGAAGATTTAGTTTCCTACTTTGTGTGCTGAGGTACAAAAATGTAATTATGTCCTCTAAATGTATATTGTTTTAAATCAAGTATGTCTCACACTGTGCTCTTTATTAAATTAAGAGTCCTGCGATCCAATTTGTTTGAACATTTCACTGCGTCTCTGTTTAGTCGCTCCAGTCGCCTGCAGCTTTGGTTACATGATGGTTTTCATCTCATGCCACCACGAGGTATATGACTCCACTCCCTGTTTCAAAATATTACCTTTTCTGTCCCTGCCAAGACACACTATCAGTCACAGAAGAGGAGAGCATGGGGGCTGAGAATGGATGGATGGACAGGAGCAGAGCCATGTCAGTACGGGAATGACCCAGTCCAGGACAAATTGAAACTAGAGATGTTCAAAAACATCTCCTTATCCCCCACCCTCAGGCACAGCAAAATTTAGATGATATAGATGCAAAACACTGATTGCTAACATTTTACCACCTTTGACTTACATTAGACTCTCTGCTTCCACAATACTGTTCATTTTCATTATCTTTATCTGCAAACATAGCCCTGCACACTGTTCGTCTTGCTAAAAAGGTTCATATTTGGTAATGCTTCACTACCAGACCTTTTTTAACTCACATTTTTGATGGATTTCCCCTTCTATATTCGAACAACTCAAATGGCTGTTTCTTCGATAGTTAAATATGAGAAAGACTTCAACTTTGCAGCAGCACAAGTTAAATAACATTCTGAGGACAATTATGTGCCACAATACAAGATAGAGGACTGTAACATACTAATAACATGCAATAACAAAAGACACATTAAAAATTTGTTAAAATTTACCACGATCTCATATCAAGCAGAACATCGACACCAGATGTTTCAGCTTCAAAGTCACATTTAAAGGCATAGTTTAAGGTCTATACTTACATCAACACCTCCACTACAGGCGGTAGAAGGTACCACACACATATCCCCAAACTTAACTTAGTTTTAACAATATCCCCTGACACATTAACTTCACTAATAATGATCTGATCAGTTGTGTTCTCTGAAGAATGAAGGACAATGGAAGTCAGGAGTTGAAACATCACTGTCTAAAAGGGTGACATGGTAAATAAGTTTCTTAGTTCTCATACAAGTTGATATTGATGAGACTTGAGAGTATGATTTGTTAAGAAATAAAGGCATGATTTCTGTATTTCCTTTCCTTTTAGTACTAGTAAATTTCTCAAAATTTGAGTGCAGCTACAGTATATTATAATTAACTCAGTAAAAATGAGTTGGAATATGAAGGTCACTCAGTAATAATCTCTCTAAATTTAAACACAAAAAAATATGTGAAGTAAGCAACTGCATTATTAAAAACGAGCAACAACTCAAAGTTAATGTAATGTCATGAATTATATTCAGATGGTTTATGGGTCAAAGATCCTTGAAACACTTAGAAACCGCTCTTCTTAAATAAAGTGAAAACGTAAAAGAACTGGGGCAAACAGAGTGGATGGAGTTAGAGGGAGAGGAGGAGGAGGAGGAGGAAGGAGCTCTCGACGCACTGAGCAGTGAACAGTAATCAGAGGGAGCCAGCGGGGGGGACAGGGGGAGTTGGTGGGGTCAGAGTGGAGCACCACTAAGCAGCCCTTCTCTTCATTAGCAGCCTCTCTAAGGGGGGCGTCACAGGCCTACCTGTCCAGCAGATTATTGAACCGACTAACCAGTGGCTCCCACCCCACACACACTCTCCCCTCTCTGATTTTCACAGACCCAGAGGAATCACGACCTCACTGCAGCTGCTGACAACTTTAACTTTTTCTTTAACCTCACGTCTTGGTGCTATAGGCTAACCCCGAGGGCCTCCAACGAGGACATTTACCTTTGAATTCTCTGCATTATTGTATGAGTTTTTCTTATTCTACAGGACATGTTGCAGCAACAAACCATCATTTGTTCTTAAGCAATAAGACGATTAAAACTCTTAACAGGAGACAAACAGAAAAGCACAAAAGGGAACACCCCAGTCATAACTTTGGTGTTTTTTTGTCGTGCACTTAAATTTGAATTGCACAGATTTCTGACTGCTCAGAAGATAAAGGCAATGAAATGTCACTCCAGGAATGTAAATTGGCATTCTTCGCTGGAGTAGCAGCACCAGCTCATGAAACATCTCTTACACACACACACACACAAATGCACACACACACATTGAGACCAGGCCAAACACGGTGCCAGACATTATTCTGACACACATCTCCCTGATGAGAGTGTGAAGGTACTTTTGTAGTGCCTTAGAGTGAGGCTATTCTTCCTCTCTTTCTTTTTTAGCCTTCAAATATGTCCACACTGAAATGTCTGACATTGACATGAAATGCCTGTGCTGCGTGTAGCTGTGCTTTGACTGTCACAGATTGGCCATGAGCTCCTTGAGTTCTCTTTTACAGGTACTGCTGTATAAACAGGCACTTAGGAAAGTGTATTTAACACAGAATCACGGACACAGAGTGCATTGTTAAAAGACATAAATCAAATTACACCAAGCATTTGTGTGCACTGATATCTTACACAAACAAAGCCTTCTGTTTTTACGTTATACTCTGATAAAGATTTCCACAAACACACCAAAAATCTACTGAAACAAGACAGTGATTATTTCAAGAAATCAATAATATGCTGCAGAAAAAAGCATGCCCTGGAATTTCTGCAAAAAGGTGAACCAGGATTTTCAGTCGAGGGATTTTAAGGCCTGAAAAATAACTTGCTGCCAGCTATGAAAAAATATCTGCTCATATTTACTGTAGCAAAAATCTATAACACTTCTTCAACAGCCATATTTTATGTTTGATTCCTATCTAAAGTTGAACTTAATTCAAATGAACAAAAGCGTTCAGTGATTTGTAAACATGAAGGCCTGGCTCTACAGGTGGCTTTGAATGTTGTCAAACTTAAAATCAAGTCAACAATTGAAATTATGAAGAAAACGTTTTACTCTGAACTCTGTGATCAGGTTCAAGCTGAAGTTTTTCACACTTTGGAGAGCTGAGATTGCCAGGTGTGTTTGAAAATTTACATGAAAAAAAAAGAGGTTTAAAAATTTAATCCGCTTACTGAGGATGTCACAGATTTTCAGTCATGTCTGATAAGGTAGGCTCACTATGATAACTTTACATTTTCTGAGGACAACAAAGGAAGAGAAGAAAGAAAAAAAGAGCAAAACAAACAGAAGAAATAAGTTTTCCTCTAAAAGCAGGAACGAATCTGGTGCATGAGTCATATGAATGAAAAGAAAGCGTGAGCAATGCTGAACTGAAAGGAATCCAAACTTACTCTTGGTAAACTTTGAGAGTTTTCTGATAACTTCAGGTGACATATCAGTGCAGAAGTAGCAGAAAAGTGCTGTATTTTATTCCTGATGTATATCCTCTGTATATATGAAGTAAACCAAACATAAAGATCATATTTACCATTGCTGCATGTTGTATCTGACAGACCCAAGAGATGCTGGCACTTTCTAAACTTGGCGTCCTCGGGAAAGTCTGATTTCGCCCTCAAGTGGGGAACTTTCTCCTCTTCAATGCTGAACACCGTGTGAGGTGAACCACAGTCCTCGCTCCTTTTAGAAACTTATCACCGCTTTTGTAGCAGTTTTTGAGTACATGACGAAAACCACTCTTCTTAACCCGAGAATCTCCGCGTCCTCGCCGGCTGCTTCGCTGAAAAAAACGCGCGTCGAGACGTTTGGATACGCGTCGGTCTCACGGAGACGAACGCACGACAACCACTCTCTGCCCCCTCTTCTTTCTCAAACCATAAATTTAAAAAGTCAATGAGACAGTTGGATCGCTGGCACCCAGAGTTTTGGTTGTTCCTGCTTGTTATACCTTGAGGAAAACGAGAAAAAAAAAACGCCTCACACACTCCCCCGATGAGTTCCTTCTGCAGAGTCAGCGCAGCGCGCCGAGGAGAGCTGCAGACGGTCCGGGGCTGCAGAGAAGGTGGCTGCTGTGTTAGGCTGGGTGAATTCAGACCCGGGTTTTACACGCTGTGTGTGACTGTAACCCGAGCGACTGCGGGTCCAGCAAGTTGACAAACGATTTTGTGTTCGAGGAAAGGGTCACATCTTCGAGCGTCAAAAAAGTCTCATAAATCCCCAGCCCGAAGATAAGAATTGGCAAAGACACGCGCGATACTGCTGGAGGCAAAAGAAGCTATGAAGCAGTGTGTTAAGTGCTGCTTATTTTTAATAAAATCTGTTTTACATATTATTCGTCACAAAATGTTAGATGTGGCTGAAAGGGCGAGAAATTTCAAAGAATGAGTAAAAAAGGGTCTTAAATTTCTAATGTCTGTAGTAACTTTTGAGTGGGGCTGCATTTCACTTAAGCAAACTTTCACTTTTTTCATTTCCTATGCCCTCACGAGTACACTTTACGCACGCCTCATGCGTGCACACACTTGGGCGCACGTGTTTCAGGCACTCAGAAATAGTTTTTCTCTCTCTCTATGTGTGTGTGTGTGTGTGTGTGTGTGTGCGTGTGTGTGTGTATAAGCTGTAGAGATGTGACACTGATTTCCTCACTTGTGTCCCTTAGATCCCTCAGAAGTGGGCGCGCTCATTAAAGTTTTATTGTGCGCTTGTTTTTAGGAGGATTTGCTTAACATTTGACTGAGACATCTCAAGAGTAAGAAGCTGAAGGCGCGGGATGCGTATGTGTGTGTGTGTGTCTGTGTGTGTATGTGTGTGTAGCAGAAAGAGAGACACAGCGTTTCTCAGCCTGGCTCCTGCGCTGTGGGGTAAGAGAGAGGCAATCCAATCCCAGGGCAGTCATTTCTATCAAGTCAAGCGTCTGGAAGCCCCACTTGCATGTTTGGTCAAGGGGTAAATAATAGATCAGGGATTAGGCTTGTGTAGAATTCATTCCAGGGTAACAAGCTACTAGGGTCCCAGGATATGCATATTCATTGGCTGGCCAAGGCCGTGGGAGAGCGAGGACCATATGCCCGTTTGTCAGAGGGCTTACATTGCTAATTAAATGAGATATTACATACTTATGTGAGCAACAAAACAACAAGCCTTTAAAGGATTGACCAAAAAAAAAAAAACACGAGTAATTTGAACATCTTTGTGTGGACTTAAAATACTTAGATCCTTTGATTTGCCTGAGGAAGTGTTTTCTGTTCACCCTGATTGGCTGTGCAGACATCATGAAGAGCAGGGGATGAGTAATATGACATAACTGCATATCAAAGCTTAGCGTGACCTTATTTTGCTGTTTGCATGTTGAAAGGTATTAAACATGTTGTGATTAAAACAGAATGTGTGATCTATGGGAATGACATAATTTTACTCTATTTTTAGCTCCAAGCACTCTCCTTTGTCCATAATAGTTTCAAACAAATATAGTTTTATGAGTGGGCTGGTTGAGCAGAGCTGAGCGGCCCTTTAGCTAACTGTTGTTGTTTTTGTGGCAAAAAGTTCATTTAAACTGGCTGATAATTTGATGTAGATCTTGGCTTAAGTACATGAGAGAATGTGTGTAGGGCAAAGCATTTCAACTTACAGTAGAAATAATATTTACGTGTTTGTTGTGTTTGTTCTTTTTGTTGCTTTGGTTTGTGAGGATTTATTGATCATTTCTGGTGTTTTTTTTCTGAGTACAATTAAAATCCTCCCGTCCAAGAATATAACAATCTTAATTAGAGACACACTAAGTCATAAAAAGATGCTGAATTTTAACTTCACCATCTTCAACTTAAATAAATTGTCTTAAACTAAATATTAAACATAAGGAGAGCATGGAAACTTGCAGTGACTCTGAGAAACAGCATTTTTCAAGGAGGCTTCAACTGAATTAGTAATGGACTGTCCTCTAATGATCTCTTCAAAACCAAACAAAGAAGTACAAAATGCCTTCTGTCTATAAATGTTTAGCATTATAGATTATTGTGCAGGGTGTAGTAAATGATTAAATGCATCTCAAAGTCTTTGTTTTTCATACCTAGAGTCAGTGAATTTCTAGTAACATTACTGCTGCGAATGGTCTTTAACTATTATGACAAATTATTAATTATAACTTAATCTGAGTTTCCTTACACGAATGTTTGCATGTCACCTGTGAAGGCTGTATTTCTAAAGTAATAACTGAGTTTACAGTCGTGGAAAAAGACAAGACAAGAAAGTAAATTACTGTGGAAAATAACTGAGAGATTATTTAAATTCAACACTGAGCTCATGGAAAGTTGCAAAATGTCCACACAAAACACTTCTTTAAAGTTTATAACATAGAGACAGCTGTTTTTACCACATGATCCTCTCAAACAGTATAATATCTTAACATAGAAACTAAATTGAATACAGCTATTGTCTTTACCTTAACATGAACATAATCTCGCTGTGGCCGAACCCAAACCACACCCAGGACACATCATTTAAACCTGATTACTCTTTTTGAAGAGTTAAGTAAATTCAACATTAGTTTTATGGCCATGACGTAATAGCGAACTACATCTTGACTTCCTAGCAGCCTCTCCAACAAAAATAAAGTCAGTGTGATGTTATAAATCTTTACAGGTAATAAAAATGCTTGAAGGTCATGCAGATTCTCATGACATAAATTTATTGAAAAAACTAAGAGCGTCATACGTGCAAAAAAACCTCTTGATCTCCACATCACTGTGCTTGTATCCACTTCCATCAGGTTATACAAACAGTGTACAGTACCTGGTGTGCAGTTCAAAGAAGTCATCAGGCCTTTGCTGGAGGATGAAAACAAGTCACTTCCAGCACACAACACAGGAAAGTGGCTGTCGGAAAGGCTGCAAAAACATACAGCGGGCCTGCTGTAAGTGGTTTAGAGTGCTGTTAACCACCAAGAGAAACTGTTATGGAAGAAGAAGACCGGAAAGGGTCCGATAAAGAGGTCACAATCAGAAGTGGTACCGCATAATCAAGCAAACCAGCCCTCTTAGAGCACTGGGTTTGATGATATCTTAGGGAAAAGTTGCTGTTGGTCCGATACACACTCTGATACAGGTAGCCCTATGAAGATGTACTGTGCTGACATACAATATAGCATGTTAAAAAAAAAACTGTTAAATAAAATGATAAAATAGGTTTACTGACTCTTAACTAACATTAAAAATGCCAAATATATCTTTTAGGTCGGATACATCACACCCCTAAAGATATATTCATGCAGCAGCTTGGTTTCTCTTTGTTGCAGATTATCTACTGCAGTGTTATGCAATATCCAGAGTGATGGCGCATTAGACTCTGTCTGCTACTTGAACCATACAGATGCCATACAGCTTTAATCTGGCTAAACACATCCTGTTTAAGCACAGGAGGGCTGTAGCCGCACTGCTGCTCAAGAGCTGTTTTTACAGAACAGTCTGTATAGGTGCAGAGTGAGAAACATTTCCTCCAGCACATGCCAAGTCCACCAGAGAGCACTGACAAGTTTGTTTTTAAACTGTAAAATGTCGGATACAAAATATAATGTGGCCCCAAGTCTTTAAAAAGAATTATTGTGCGCTATTTGCTGTGAAAGGTGTATTTGAAAAATCCAGCAGCAGATGGCCTCTGGTGTGCAGGGCCCTGGCTTTTGATATGACATTAAACGCACGCTGTAAAGGGAACCAGTGAGGGGAGCTTGAGAGAAGCAGAGTATATGTTTATTTGTCCCTGTGACAGGATCCCACTGTTCACTAATTATCCAGCGGGACCACTGATAATGAGCTATTGAACCTGCCACTGAAGTGCTCCTCCTCCTGGGAGAGCCATCAGCTGCTGCAGCTCATGGATCCATCAAATCCACAGAGGTCCCGTTTATTAAGCGGCTCCCACTAAAACATAATAGAGGTCAGTTTTACCACTGCAAAAAAGAACTGAGACTTTTTACAAGACCAATCAGGAGACTGTTCAAGTCTAAGAAAGTGTGTTTAGTGTTTTTGATTGTCAGGGATATTTTTGACTGACATGCCAGTGGTGGCATGGGTCCCCCTTGAAACCTGATCAACTACCCCCTTAGCCACCCCAAAGTCTTTGTCAATGATCGGCTCTTTGACTGACCAGAGGGATAACTTGTGTTAAAATCAACTGTTTGGGCTGTTTTGCAACAAGCTATGAGTAGTTATCCATGCATTTCTATAGAAACAAAAATAAAAAAGCACTACATATTTAACGCTTTATCCTTATTGAAATCGTGTCACTGGACACACAGTTTGACTGCTCAAAGAATTAAGCATGGAAAATTCAAATCTTTAATCCTCTAGTTTTGCAAAAAGAGGCCATTGGGCAAGACCAAGAAATTAAAAAGATGAATAGATGAGTTTTCTATGTTTTTAGGTGAGACTTATGGGTCACACTCATCATGCATTCCAGGAGCTACCTGTCCCTGAAGACTATCATGGCTTCAGTCAAAGGAGTGACTAGAGGAGCGTTTCAGTGTAGAATCTGACAGGTTGAAACTGTAAATCCCTTTAATACTATGTACCTTTAAAAGAATAAAGAGGCGGAGTGTTTTCTATTAAACTGAACAATTAGGGTCTCCGCTGGGTTGACTGACAGGTGGGTGAGTTGTAACTGTTTACTAGTAGGCTCACCTCAGCTCCATCTCTCTGCCTGTGTCTAGGTTGAGTCAGCATTCAGTATTGTAACCACCATAGTTGGGCTTCAAAAAAGCCCCTTCAAAACCAAGGAGTTTATGGTTTCCACTCTATTCATGTTACTTTTTAAGTAACTTCGACTTTGTTTCATCGTGTTTGCTTTCAAATCTAGATAACATACAAAATCTTTTATCGCTCAAAGTTCAGTTTGCACAAGCCAAGAGTTCACTGATATAATTTAGGGCATTAAATGTCTGATCATACGAATGTATAAGGAAATTGATGAGGACCACTTGGGTGGAATTGTGCTGTGTGTTTCTATATCAGCGCCTTGGTATGGCCCTTCTATCCTGACTCAAAAAGGAGCCACAGGTGTTAGAAATAAGACAAATACTTCTCTCATCTAAAGGCTGTTTTTCTGACTGGACAGCATTTACTCGATCAATGTCCCATGTCCTTGGTCTCCCCCTCTCTCACACTCAAGGGAAATATGAACTTAAATACAACCTCACCACCTTAATTTACCCTTTCACAAAGCAAAGGACAAGCTCTGGAGCAGGAGCCCAAGGGAAATTGCCCGGCACTCTGTTCCCACACATCCTGAGGGGGGTAGCCGGGGTCGGGATGGCACACTAGTTGGGTAAGTCGTGAGTGGAGTATGGCCCTGAGGTTCATGGGACTCTGGAAACATATACGCACACACACACACACACTCACAAACACACAAAAACATTGCTGTGGATCAATTCCTCCTTTATGAGGGCTCCCGTCTGTTGAGGATTGGAGCAGAAGGTCATCAGATGGGAGGCAGACAGAAGTCCACGTCATATCAATGGGGCAGGGGTTAGGACATGAACAAGGGGGCTTGTGCACACAGCATGTAGTCAAGGGAGGAGGAGGCATTATGGGAGGTCAGCGACATCACATGCATACAGGAACGCACATGACAGCAAAGATAGAGTATAAAGTTTGTGACAAAGGAAGGATTTCGTACAGAATTGTGTGATTTAGGTGCACAGATACGGTGTGTCTGAAGGCTGGAGAGAGAGAGAAGTGGAGTGGTAATCAATGGTTTCTCTGTCCTGGGGTTTTGTAAGACAGCTCAAGGTCTCACAGGATTCAGCATGAGGATGGCTCATGCTTAAGGTCAAGAGTGGCTGATAATTCTCCCACGGACTCCAGGAAGAGATATAATATCCCTCTTCAGGGCTTCACTTGAATAAAAATATGTACAAACGAGCTTTATATATCTACATTTGAAAATGAATTCAAAGGTTTGTGATGGCCAATTTCAATTTCAAAGAGCAAGTGTGATAACAGCCTGTTATTATCTAATCTCATTTGAAAAAAGAACACACTCAACAAATAAAGCCATCAGCCATCCTACAAAGTGACTGTGTTCAAAGCCCTGTTGTAACTCTCACATGTTGGAGCCTGTCTCATTTCTATGCAGAGAGGGAGTGATGTTCTGCTAAACACTGTGCACGTTTGACATCCCTGCTGGCATTTGTTCAATCATTGCGCCTTTAAATCTGGGGACTTGTGACTCTTTAGTATCTATTGTCGTCTCCTGCAGTTCTCAGCTTCTTTCCTCCCACAGCATCAAAGCAAGGCCACATTAATTCAGACAATATCCCCACTTTACCTGAGGCAGCAGGCGGAGACTGTGCTTTCACAATCCTCCACGGAGTGTCATGTTGTGCCTTTCTTCCTTCCTCTGTCAGCGCCTGCACACCGGGGCTTGTCATTTGGTTCTTGAATTTTTCATGCAGGTACATTTGCATGATCACAACTCTATGTCACTTCTTCTTCCTCTTCTTCTTTCCCCAGGTAGATTAAATGCTGTCTAGCACTTGAAACTTCCCTGTGGCTCCGTTGAGGCAGAACAGAAGTGAGACAACCATGCTTGTTGGGATTGTCAATGCAAGAACTGTCTTGTTTCAAGGGGTGGCTCTTAATAGTTTTAACAATTGGGCAATTAGGCACAAAAGGTGCACAGCGATATCGTCACACAAGGATTGATTTACGGTCTCACATATCAACTGAAATTTAATAGTGCAGTCTGCTTATTTCAGCAGCCAGGGCAACACAACAAAAACTTATAATGATTGCTTTCACTAAAAAAGTGAGTTTATGTGGTGACACAGTTTGAAGAGAGTGTGAGAAAATGTAGTTTTTACTGTCGATGCAGGGGGTTCATTACTGGTGATAGAGTGCCTGCCTGCCTGGAATCTGCCTTTCATGTGCCTAAAACAGCCTCAGATCTGCATTAATCTGTCATTAGTGGCACAGACAACAAACACTTTAAAGAGAGAGTTACATGCTGCTTCAGACACACTGTAAAGAGCAGCAGGAACTGTCAAAACATGGTGGGACATGCCTGGGTGCAACATGTAAGCGACTGGAAGTGTCTGGGGAAAAATTATACACGTTTGATGATGAAAAAAGGGATGATCAGAAGATGTACTCTTTAAGTTATGAGTGTCTTCAGAGGGAATTGTTAATTCAACTTTTAATTGACTGTAATTTTCCACATGATCTGCCTCTCTATGACTCACTTTTAAGGTTTTGTTTTAAAAGTAACTGGGCTGGGAATTTGGTGGCATGTGGTTAACTTTTGTCTTGTCTTGTGCTCGAATGTGAAGATGACATTTTAACAGCAGGGACCAGATTCAAATCCAGTCAAAACTGCATGACTGTCATTTTTTCCATCTAGAGAGGGAAAAAAGGGTAGAGTGGCTGATTCATGTTTACTTTGTGTCAGTTTGTGTGTCTGAACAAGAAACAGGGTGCAGGCAGATGTTGCACATTATGTACCAGTCCACTGCCTCTAAAACTGTTTCGCAAATGAGGGTCTTAATGAGAGGCAATGTTCGTGGGTCAAGAAACAGCCTAATCATGCTAAGTCAATTGCATCTTCTGTGTGTGTGTGTGTGTGTGTGTGTGTGTGTGTGTGTGTGTGTGTGTGTGTGTGTGTGTGTGTGTGTAGCAGTGAGCAGATGCACCAACATTTGTCTGGCTGACGAGGAGTGTCAGTGCTCATATTTCTTCATTGTCCTCTCTCACCCTGAGCTCTGAATCTGGGCTGGACATTTAAGTACATTAGCCACATAATATGGTGTTGTCTTGTCTCATCTGAAAAACAGATGTCAAACATACATCTTTGTTCATTTTCTCTCGCTCACATCCAGTTCTCAAAGCTCCTTATTATGGATTTTAGAAACAAGATGTATCACGCATAAAGTCTTTGACCTCAGGATAGATCATTAAAAAAGACATGTGTCAATAGGGGTAAAGTATAAAGGTCTCTATTAAATGAAAACAACATTTTAAACAGTAAAAGCCCATAAAGACCGTCATCAGATCTCAATGTCATCGTTCTTTACTGTTATTCATGGGCCTGTTGATCTTTGATATACTGACTAGAATTATAGTCTTGTGGAAAGAACATGCTCATACAGCCGGCTTTATTCTGTGTAGTGCATGTGTGTGTCTACAATGGCACAAAGGCTCTGTTATAAGTGAGTGTTACTGTAATTTTACACACATTGCATTACTTTATTTGATGATTCTTGTGACCCAGTTTTCATGTTTGCCCTCAAGTTGTGGTTTTCCATGCACAATTTAAAAATATGGACATGATGTCCTGTTTTATTATTTTAGAGAAATGCAGTAAGCTTTTGAACACTGCATCTTTTTTGTCTACACTAATGTGATATTTTATAACAAATAAAAATGTCAATGTATTTTCTGGAAATTTAGGCTTTATGAACAACAATGACATGCCTTTCAGTATTAATTCCTATATTTTATTTAATGCAATGGCACGCTCAGCAGATAGCATTTGTTTTGCCCCATTGTCTTTTATGTGTTCAGTTTTTCCTCTGATTGTGTATTGACTTTACCTTAATAATTACATTTCCTAAATAACTAGCTTTTTTATTTTTTTGATGACAGCAATGACAGAGTGGTAGTAAACCGGTGCATTGAGTCCAGACACTGTCGCTAAAGGCAATTAATCTTTTTTAAATCTTATTATTCATGCAATTCAGTATTTTTTTCTGTGACCCAATCACTATCAAATGGTCCAATTTAGTTTTATGATTCATCATTAACTTGTTTGAGATGAATGTAAGGCCCAGGTATGGTTGTTGATATAGCCTGACCATTAATTGAAAGGTAATCACTGTATCTAGTCCAGCCTGGCATGATGGGAAAGGTGTAGAAGTGGTTATGCAAGCAGATAACACAGTTGTAATATTGCACATATGTAATGGTGCATATTCCCCATCTTCTGCATAAGGGGGTTTAAGAATTCTCTCACATATAAGTTATTCATAATTTAGAACCAATATATTTGACCCATGGTGATTTGGATTTGATCTTAACCATTGCTTAGAGTTGGTCTTGGTCAGCTAAAATGTGCTGCTAATGAGAGCTCAGCAGGAGACATGAGCTGATAGAAGTCACCACTAGGGCAGTGCGCCCGACTGCCAACTATCTACACCATAAAGATTATATATATGTATGCGTAGTTATATGAAAACTGAAGCAAGGGTGGTCACTGTTCTTGGGGTACAATCATTTGAATTGTATATAGAACATCTTATCTCATGACATGACATCGTGACATTAGGAAAGAGTGGGGTAAGATGAGCCATTTTTCATATTTCGGATCACTACATCAAGGCAATCATAGTTTTGTCTCTAACTAGTGTTTCTGCATATATTTGAAGATGTTGTGCATCCCTGCAAACCAACAGAATAAGTGTAAACATAACTGTCTTGATAATATAGCATGCCAAAGAAAGTGGTCTCCTATGGTCAACTTACCCCATACACGGGGTAAGTTGACCATAGAAGTGGGGTAAATTGAGCCATATCCCTACTACCCCCCACTCTCCACCCCAGCCCTCCCTCACCTTCTCTCTCGCTAAATAACAGTCACTTCTTCACATTCATGTGTAATTTTATCTATTATAAGCTATTTAACTGGTACAATAATTCTTATTTTTTTTATTTCATATACCTGCTAAAAAGCTGTTTTGTAAAAAGAAATTTTAACATGAGAATGTCTTGAAGTGATTCAGAACATTCACAGTTGTATTTTTGAAAAGAAAAAGTAACACATTTCAACAATCTGAACTGAAACTCTGATCCTCTCATCAGACTCCTTCACTTTCTCAGTTGATCCACTGGCTCACCTTACCCCAGAACTACTATTATGACTTTATTAGTCCTCTAAGCTAAAATGGTGGACTTTTATGCTAGGTTTTTGACCTCATGTTGTAGCTCATAGATACCAAAATTGATGATAAAACAAATTTAAAATGATCTTTTTTGGTCTGAACACAATTCTAATAAAACTTATGACAGACTAAATTCACTTTCAAGAGTGAAACGTGTTTTTTTGTTAAATAAATGTCTAACCCCTTCATCCATGTGCTTCTAACCTTCACAGACTCCATGAATTGATGCCCATCATCTAAATATTTGGTCACATGATCAATTTCTTTTACCATTTCCAAGCAACAGGGGGTGGCTCAACTTACCCCACTCTCCTCTATTTGTTTATGCTTTTTGAAATGATGAACAACTTTAATGAAAATAGCACATAAAGTGATAAAAACCCTGACTCAAAGTCTCTCTTTACCCCATCAAACCATGGGCTGCTAAAGTAAATTTGACTAAAAACTTCTTGAAACAACCAAAGCAAACTTTTAGGACTGACTTACCATTTCCACCTCTCAAAACCATTGTAGGGCATAGACATAATAAAAGATAGACCCCGCATCGGCCGCTACCACGAATGGGCGCTGTCGAGAAATGCGGCCGCCATCTTGGTCCGGTCATCCGCCTCACTCTGCACCGCTGTTTAACCGGCGGAATGAAGTCTGAGCGCATTAAATGAATCATAGTTCGCTCAATACTACGTAATTTTCTTCTCTGCAAACGCCATTCAAAGAGGCATAATAGAGGCTTTATTTTTTTTTGGCGTTTTCAAATACTCAGAATGAATAAAATGATAATTTAGAACATGGCAGCAGTGGCTGTATTATAGTATAACAATTAATCAAGGATATATCTAGGTTTAGAGCTAGGTTCCTGCTATGTCTCAATAATTATTAATAACTGGCGGTTTTAATAGGCCGATTCAATATATATTGATTTGATGTTATTTTATTTAGTTTAATTTTATTTATCCATTTGTAGACACACACAAATAATGTCATATAGAAGCACTATTTTAATAACTGGAAAATACACACAAAGAAATACACACAAATATATAGCCTACATATCAAAAAAATTTAAACACAAGAACAGCATGACAGGACAGCATCTAAACTACATATCAATTTGCTTGTTGGCTACACAGCACAGAGGAATCACTTGCTGCGAATTTCTCCCTCTAACAGCAATCTCCCACTTCTTCCTCAAGTTTTTGTCCTTAGGAAATCTTCAAAATGAAACAGGAGATCACCACAAAGAAATCTTTAATAAAACAGAGCTCACTTTCTTCCTTCTTCTTTCTATTTTGTTTCTTAACGTTTCTTAGAACCTCTCTCAAACAAAAGTTTTTCAATCTAATGCAAATCTGTTGATAATAGAGCAAAGTTGCTATTATTGTGAATAAGCTAGCTGTTTGCAAATGCTGTTTCCTTTTTGGAGTTGACCGATAGTCTTCCTCTTTGGCCTACAAATGACTCTACAGTCAAGTGTAATGTTGAAAAAACGTTTAATCATAACTGTGAAAAGTTATTTCTTGAGCCCTGTTCTCTGCTGTCCGCCTGTTGGCACAGGAATACGCCGCACAGTGCTCCGGCATCGCTGAATGAATGAATGAATGAATATGATTGACCGGAGCGTATGGGAAGCTTGACCTGACCAAGATGGCGGCCGCATTTCTCGCTGCGCAGCACCCCCAGCGGGGTCTACCCTTTTATTATGTCTATGATTGTAGGGAAGGACTCAGGTCGCGCTGTCGTAAAGTGAAGCAAGCTGTCGCAAACTGACGTGATTTCAAAGACGCAGAGGGGCAGAAACGGAAACAGCGGGATGGTTTGAAACAACTGAAAGGAGGAAAAGCGTTTCGGTAGTTATTGGCAACAGAGTTATTCACTCAGGAAGTTTGTTATGTTGTATTAAAAAAGTTTAAAATGTTCATTTCGCGGAAAAATCGACTTGGCCGTTGAAGCTTACGGTGACGTAGCTCGTTGGACAGCACGCGGAAGGATGTCAGCCGCAGACAGAGAAAACATGAGTGTTTATTGAGGGGCTAACGCTAGCTTAGATAGCAATACTTAGCATTGTTGTGTTTCAGCTCTACTCTGTAAAGCTTCACTGTTGACATCTGCTTGGGGATAGAACTATCAAGGAGGGTAAATGTCCAACTTTAAGTCGTTTTAACATTTGAAGTCTGACTCTTTGCGGTGGTTCGTCCTCTGCTGTAACTCACTAACGTCAAAACTTAAAGCTGAGCTACTGGTCATGTCTTGGTTTCTTTCGCTTTTCTGTTGTTTTTAGTGTCGACATGTCTTCCAAAGACGACCCTCGCGTCCTTGATTTGGAGGAGCAAGTGAAGAGCTTATCAGATGAGTTAATGCAGTGCCAGGTATGAATGAATGCCTTTACTAAACTGTATGTACTGCTCTGCATCTCACACTGTATTGCACCGAGCAGCCATAACGTTATGAACATCTGAGCAATTTGATCCATTATGACAGCTGTAACATAAATTAAACTGTATGAAGTATCCTTATTCTCAAATTTCATCAACATGATCAGACAGGGGATAATTATGTGCAGTAGAGATGCCATATTACATTGTATTAGGTAGCTACAATGTTAAGGCTGGTCCTTGTATATCATGGTAAACATGAGTGGTGAAGCCGTTCTTGCTTTTATCTAACAATCTGACAACATGTAATTGCAACAAAGTAGAAATATTTATCAAATGAAATGACAACAGCAAGCTTCATCAGCCTGTTCCAGTCTCCTGCCTCGATCAATTTACTTTGTGGTAAAAAGAAAATCTCTAACAGTTCATGGTGCAGCAATGTGAATACTATTCATATTTTTTTTCACATCACTGCAACATTTATCAAACTTATTGAAGCTTTACAGATAGAATAGAAAAGATTTTTGCTTAAAAAGTTTCAGTCTCTCCAACAAAGCTATTTTTTCCCTGTTATGAACATCCTTCAACGACCTGTACGTTCTACTCCAGAGCACATGCTGTTTACAAAGCTTTTACATTTTTTTTTGTGCTTCACATTTTTTTACTGAGTGTTATTTCTGTCAGAAAATGACTAACCACAACAAATCTCTCCTCTAACCCACAATTATATGTATTTTTTTTTCACATAAAGACCCATGACTCAACTAAGCTACCCTTATATGTCTTTTGAGGATATGCTGAAGATGACTGTTGGTACTGTTTCATCTCTACAAATGTAACCCAAAAACATCTAATTCTGTCAAATAATTAACTTTCAAAGTTAATGACTACAATGATTTCTTTTTATTGTCTAATGCATATTTAAATAATTTAGTTGTCACTACTTATACACTAATACAGTCTAGAATACACATGATCACACTTTTTTCTGTGATTAGAAAGGCAGTGAAAAGCATGTTAACAGCTTCCTGCTGTCAAAATGTGGTCACTAATTTTTATCTTTACCAAAACAAACACCAAATCTCAGCCCACAACTTGCTCATGAGCAGACCTGAGAGGCTTTCATCTTCACTTTGTGAGTCAGTGATTGAGAGATGGTTTCCTTGCATACTCACCACCAGGTGGTGCCTAATAACATGAGAGGATTTAACCCAGCATTCCTCACTTTGCATATCCTCAGCACCTTGTTAGATAGGTAGATGGACACCTGTGAGGCTCAGGTGATGAGTTATATATCTTGGCTTTAATTAGTCTATAGACACCACTATATAAGGGTCAGAATGAAACATTTGTTATTTAGTTGTTTGGCCTATAGAGTTTGTGTGCATCCTTTTGCTTGCTGCTGTGTACAAAGTTTAATTTGACTTGTGAAATTATGTTTTAAGAATTTGCTCAAAATGACATATAATACTCTAACCTAACCCTAACCTTGGCCAAAGCATCATGGAATGAGAATCATCACATGTTAACAACTGTATTGTCATCTTTGTAATCTATCAAGGGAAAAATGAATAAGTTTCTCATCTTTTGAAGTTAACATGAATTGGAATATTTAGGCGGAAAGATGTGTGTAATTGTAGGCCTATTCTTGTTAAAAAGATTGCAATCTAATCCTTGGAAGATCCTATTTTTCCTAAATTGTACTATCTTTGGTTAGTGCTTGAGAAGCCGGTTGTTTTAGAACTCATTGCATTTTATTAATTGCTTTAGCAAGGCCTCTTTTCTACAAACACTTAGATGAACAAATGAGAGCAGTTTTGGACTGTGAGATTTTATCTTTCCTTTTTCATTTCTCATTCACTACAATATGATTATAGTTATTTGCCTTGGATCATATAGTCTCTGCTGCTCTACACTGAACTGACATGGTCACCATCCTTGGTGGTCTTATCTAGAGCAGAGCATCAGTGATTCTGTCTATCTAATAAGGACCTTTAGTCATGCAGTGTACCATTTAAATAGTGACATTTGAATACCATTGATGTCTTAAGTCTCTGGCAAGATGTACTTCAGGACAGCCTTTAACTACAAAGAGTCTCATCTGTCTGCCAGCAAATGTTCCTACTAGACCATGCTAATTTTATTAACACGTGGCTGAAATCCAGTGCCTGTCTGTGGTATGTTTAGCCCATGATATCTCAGTGTCTAGATTGAAAGTATTAATAATTCAGTGGTCATCAAACACACATCAATGCATGTTTAAATACACATACGGCTAAGGGGAGGCCTTGATGAGGGTCTTGACTGATCACTTGTCTGCGGAACAACTAATGGCAGCCAAAGGCCAAGCAGAGGGAGACCACCTATCACAAGTCAACCACACTGTAATGCTTAATTTAATTGCTAGTGACATTGCAGGGCTGATTTCAAGAGATCTCTATCCCCGACTCCCTGCTCCAACTCTGTACACATACAAACACACATATATACACTCATACAGACGCATATAGAGACAGAAATTTACAGTCCTTCCACTTTATATGTTCAGCTCATGGTCTTATCAAGGTCTGCTGCTGCCATTTGAGTAAATAATTGATTAGACACTTTTGAAAGGGGGGTTAAAATTCATGTACTAATTGGAGACCAGTAGATTCCAGTGGGAGGGATGACTTTTATCTTATGATGATGTGAACATAATTTATCAGATAATTTTATATTAAGTCGATTTGGTATAATTCTGTCTTTTAATGTCAGAAAATGTAGGTTTTAGATGTCCCTCATTAAATGTAATGTAGCTTAAAAATGTTTGAGAAGGCAGAGAGACAATTTGAATTGGAAATGTGTCAGAGGCTGGCTGGGTTTCTCCACTTGAAGATGACTCTCTCTGTCATCAGTTTTCAGTTTCTTTGGGGCTAGTTACTTCGGAGCTGTGGAGGAAAACATATCCCAAGACCAATTGATTAATAAGGAAAATGCAAGCTCGACTGCTGTGTTTTGATTTGGATCCCAGCTCTCCCCAGTCATAAATAGTGCATAATGACAAGTGTCAATGCTCGCTCCCCTTGAGTAGAAGGTCACATTTCAGTGATGAAGATCCCTGTTAAGAGAGGCTCATGATTAGAGAGGGCAGGCCAGATCAAAAACTATTTTGTACAAGATATTTAAATTATTGATTACCTCCTCGTTCTGTCGTATGCTAATGTCATGGAGCATCCTATTTAATTTTTTGGTTTTCTTCTGAGATGTGCTGGGGCTTTGCTTTTAAGCCTCGCTGCAGTCTGAGACAAATTTATCTAAAGCTATTTATCTCAATCAGGAATAACAGCTGTTGACTCATTGAATCCTTTATTTTCACAGGCAGACAAGGAGTTTGTGTGGTCCCTATGGAAACGCCTGCAAGTGGCAAATCCAGACTTGACCCAGGCTGTCAGTTTGGTGGTTGAGCGGTGAGTAGATTCATCTTTCAAATCGCTACCTGAGAGGCTCAATAGCTGAAAATTCCTTTATCTCACGAGTGTAAAGAAATATGTGTGAAAGTCGTTCAAGGGGTGTTTAAGGCACCTTTGCCATCCTGCGGGGGTTACGACGGAATCTGGTGCAGATGCTGATTTAAGCCTTCTTATCCCTGGTCTAGCAGTTCAACCATGGAAACCCTTTTAATGAAAACTCTCTTCCTCTGCCCCACCCACTTCGGACAGTTAAAACACTCCTGCCAAATACTTGTCTTTATCGGATAAATTGTGAGATTGGACATGACCTCTTTTTCCGGGTGGCTAAGCCACTCTAAACACGGTGGCATGGGAACTCTCAGAGAAGAACAGGAATTTTTTCAGTCGGATAAATTAAACATATCTCCCTTTATTTAGAAAAACATAGATTTTTAATAACCTTTGGTGCCAGTATCAATTCAAACAGTTTTTTTTTACCTCTTATTTTTTTCTGACCAACACTGTACTGTATGTAAAGCTTGAGTTATACGTTTTCACTTTCATGGATACATATCAACTGCTTTCTGGGGTTTTCAGCTGCTGGTAGGCCCTTAATATGGGTGAAAACACAGCAGCTGCAGCGTGCAGGTCCCCAGTACCAGTGCCTCTCATACCTTCTCCTCACCGTCTACAGTTCCTCCATAGCCTCAAAGGAAACCTATCAAAGTATGTTGGTCTGCTGAGACTTTGGAGGGAAACATGCACCCAGAGAATGCATGTGTATTGTATCACCTGATGCGCAGGAGGATATTGACATGGTAATTGTGTCGACTCCAGTCAAGCGCTGGTGCCCACTGGGATCTGCCATTCACCCTCCCCTCCCCTTCCTGTGAGAATCGTGTAGAGTGATTGGTTGGTTGCTCAGGACATGGGGAACACAGCCCAATATACAAAGAGATACAGCTAGGCCAGCCTGCGTTCCAGCACCTCTGGGGACACTTGATACTTATTTCAGTCTCTACCAAGAGAGACGGCTGATCAGAGGAGGCAGAGAGTCAAGAGAAGAGGCCTCAAGGATGGGAGGTGTAGAAGGAGAAAGTGATGAGTAGAGGGAATGGGTGGCCCCTGGTGGCCTAAAGCAGTCCAAACAAACAGGTCCCCAATTGATACCTTGTTTTTGTCTCCTTAAAAGTTCATCATGATAAAAAGACCTGCCAGTGGTCTACAGAGAAAGTTTAGTAAAGCAGCTGGATAGTACAGCTCTCTTTTTATTTCATTTTATTCTTAATTTGTCTGTTCATAAAGTGTAGGATTAAAATACTATTTGAACAGAACATTGTATTACAGTTACGTCAAGATGGACTGTATGATTTCAGATAAGTCAATGTCATCAACATACTAAATACATCAACTTCTGCTTGTATTTGTTTCTCTAACGTGTGTCTCTATTACTGTCCCTTTTTGCCTGTAGTGAAAAACACAAAGCTGAGATGAAGGACAGAAAGGTTTTGGAAATCCTCCAGTTGAAGGACTACAAGATTCAGGAGCTGGAACAGGTACGGTTCAGTCTGTAACTTTTGAAGTGGAGCGTATCTGGTTTAGATTTTAGACATATTAATTAAAGGGGTTAATTCCAACAGATGTGACATATTAACCTTGTCAATATGCAAACAAATCCCAGATCATATCAGAGTTATAAGATAACCTGCTTAAAATAGGTTAAACTGAACATATTTAGAAAGCTGTAGGGTTAGGGTTTGTACCAGTGGAGTGACTTAAACTTAATCACTTTCCTCAATACCTTGGGTCGAGGTCTGAAAGGGAAGCATTTCTGATGGCTCTTTCCAAACTAGACCCTCCAAACTGCTTCCTGAAATCTTAATTCAAAGTTCTACTGTTATTCTTGTTTTATGCCTGTCACTTAAGCTCATTAATTTAATTTGGCTTTTATATCAGTCTTGGTGCCCCTTTAAGGGTTGTGGTTATAGACAAACATGTAAGTAGTAATCAGCCCCTTTCATTGTTGACTTGGCTTTTTTGGTCTTCTCCCTGAGTCCTATTTTCTGGATTTTATGATGACTAATGATAATGACGTCACTGGTGTAACCCTCAAATCATCATCCCTTCACTGATGCATCTGTCAGTCTCCTTCATTAGCACTCCTCGTCCATAGCTTCGGCCTTTACTACTGATACTGGCTGTATAGAGTCATCAGACTGCCATTGTTTCTTTTATATTGCGCTCCACAGCCACCTCACAACCATATAATATAGTTATTATAGCAACTTACAGGAGCACCAGATAATGTGATAATAATAACTGTGTTATGGGAAAATTTTAAAAATTAATATAAAGAAAGCAGCAATTAAGAATAAATTTATTTATTTATTTTATCCCTGAAGGAAATTCAATTACTGTGAAATACTAAATAATAATTGTTTGAAAATAAATTTACTGCAATGGTGGCATTGTAGTTGTGTTTATGATATTTTGAAGCCGTTGTCCAAAAAGTTTAACACCAGTGTTATTATAAAGTATTCAGGTAGAGTTTATTTAAGTGGATTTTATTAGTTCAAGAAAGGTCTGTTTCAACATGTCATACTGGAGAATACTGTTTTTAAAAATTTTTAAATGCATTTTAATAGAGGAAATACATTTCCTTTTTCTAGACCCTCTTTTTATAAAAGAGAATCTCCAATATTCGAAAGTTCTTAGTAGTCAGTACTCAGTGTTTACATGGGTCAAATAAATAGTTATCCCTATTATCCTGCTAATCTTTAACCAATAAAAACAACGGAAAGCAGATTGATAACTTTCAACAACTCATTCTTGACCTGATTCTATGATTCCCCTTAATATCTCAGTTATTGTAAAACTACGTTTGTACCGGTCCTTTTCATCTGAAGGGTAAAAACATGCAAATAACCAAATCAGACTCTTGTTAGAGTGGAGGGTGCTTAAAGTGTTGTTTTGATTCAGTGATTTGTTAGTTAGTTGACACTCGTCCTGCAAATGAGTTTCTAAAGTGCTGCTTTGTGTATCATCAGCTGTTCTGATAAATGCTACACTGACTTTGACAGAAAAACTTAATCAACATTGTTCATGATTTCTTCAGTTTTTATTCTCACATACTCCTGTTTTTTCCATTAGTCTAATTGTTCTCATTAAATTGAAGGTGATGAAACTTACCCTCTAAGAAACTTAAAGCAGACAATCTGAGAACCTTATTAGAAGCATTGAGAACTGTACTGTGCCATCCGGCCTTCTGACAGTCATCATCCCATCTGCAATCAGGAGCCATACACACCTTAATAGTGAATAATTGGTTTTTCCTTTTTTCTGAGACGTAATGGTCCACCGACTCCTTACAAGATCTTACATTTCTCTTGATAACTCAATTCTCCAACTTTGATAATGCCTTTTCCCCCTGTCCTATTCTCTTTCTTTTAATTCCATCTATTTCTCCATACACTGCCCTCACCACTCCTTTTCATTTTTGTAACATAATTAGCTTTCATTTTTGAACTGCACTGGGAATTTTCACATGCTAATCTTTCTGTCCTAGACCTCTTAACTTGGCGGAACCCCCTCCTTTTTTTCTCTTCCATCAATTGGGCACTTCTGGGGTTCAAATTGTTCTCGCCTACCTCATTATCAACGTTTGAATTTATTTTCTGCGCTCCAGTATAAATCTCTATTAAAGCCCTTCTGTTCTTAGCACGGTGAGCTAGGAGTAGCAAGGAACGCTAAATCCACTATCTGGATATATCTGAGCGATTTTCCCTCAACATGGCAATTAATTGCATCCCAGAGCACAGTGTTATTTGAGAGGAGGGTGTACCCACAGAAGGCAGTGGATTACCAGCCAATGCCAAACCCCAGCTGATGCAGAGTTAAGAGGCCAGCTTCCTTCTTCTTAGGCCACAAAGGCTGCCAAAAAACCATGAAGTGTACATATAACAACATTGAAAGAGAGCAGTCATTAAAATGATTGGTTTGATGATTCATAAAATTGATCATGAAGGAGCTTCATCATGTTTTGTGACTCAATAAATGATACGTTAAAGATAGTAAAAGGTGAAGTCTCGACAGTTCAAAATGTGCAGTAACTAACTTTCTACTAAGAATACAGATTTGCTGGTTGACAGGAAATTGATTGGTGACTGTTTTACGGAAGTAGGAATGCAAAGTAATTTCTGTGTTTTGTAATGTGAGAATTTTCCCTTTTTACTTTATCTTACTACAGTTGCAAACTGAATATCTGAAGGTGTAATTATTTGTTATACAAATTTGTGTTAAAAGATGACTGACATTGTAAGAAAGACAGCTTGTTATTTTCTGTTTCCTCATATATACAAAGGCTAATTATTAGAAAAATAATCTGAAGAATAATCAACTGATAATTCTTTGTCACAGCTGTTTTTAGATTTCCAAAGTACAAAGTTAATATATCTTCATGTAAGTTATACTAGACTTAAAGTACAGTGCAACTTTAGGTGTTTTTCTCTCTTCACTTGTGACTTTTTTATGTTACTCTAAATGTCACAGAGAGTGACCGGGTGGCAGCAGGAAAATAACAGCTCGGTACAAAGGAGGTCGACAGCAGACAAGGAGAACACTCTAATGAAGAAGGAGCTCGCAGATCTGAGTGAACAACTGGTCAACAAAAGTCAAGAACTTAAGGTCAGTGGGGCACATTTTCTCTGCTAGTCTGAAAAGTGTCTTTTCAATGTGGCACCCAACTCAACCTGTTTCTCTCTGTTATGATTGGGTCTTTGAATCATTTTTAAGATAAAGGAGACAACTTTGCCTTCTTCAGCTCGATATGAGTGTTTGTGTCTTCTTATCTTCTTCGGTTGCAGTCTTTCTTACTTTAAGCTTTCTTTTCTAACAGCAAATTCTTAACAGATGGAAATAAGTGAGTGTGTGTGTGTGTGTGTGTGTGTGTGTGTGTGTGTGTGTGTGTGTGTGTGTGTGTGTGTGAGAAAGAGAGAGAGGAAAAGAAGGGAAAGCAGGTTGTTAACTCCCAGATAAATACTTAATGACTACTTCAGTGGGGAAAAGTGAAAAGCGTGCATGTGATGCTGTGGCCTCTCCCTAATTATACTTCGATGGGACCCGGCTATGATTAATTGATAAAGGAATGGTCCATACACAGACTTGGTGAGGTCTCATGGCGAGAAATTGTGGGGGACAGCATCAAAGGAGACCTAGGTTGAGTCTAATGGGTCTTGCAGAAAGCAGCATTCTCATTAGGAGTCTGTCATTAAAGCTTACAGACTGGCCCCTGTACCTGCATGAGCCCGACTCTTGTAGTACAACTCAGCCCGCACCAGCCAACATCTGGCCGCATGGGTCCAGTCATACAGCACAGGTGACCTTGGCCAATCAGCCGCCCATGCAGGGGGCTCCTGCAGCAAAGCCCCTTCACTCTTTACATATTCATCTCTGCCTCTACCCCATGGGTTGCTCCTCTTTTTGTATTTCTCCTACATTCTTTTTTCATTCTCTCTGTTTGAATCCCTACTTTTTATTTTTCTTACCTTCAGTCACTGTGTTTATTTGGCCCTTATGACCCCCTTCTCTCCCCCATCACACACACCTCTCTTATCCAGAAAATGAAGACAGAGTGTAGGAGGAAAGAGGAGGAGGAGCGGCAGGTGGTGCAGGCTCTAGAGGAGGAGAAAGAGGGATTAACTTCCCGCTGTGCCGCCCTGCAAACTGACCTGGAGGAGAAAGAAAGGCAGGCCAACAGCCGACAAGAACAGAGGGATGCTGCCCAGGCTAGAGTCAAGGTACAGACATGGGGACAAGTCTTTTCAGACACTCAGAGACACACAAGAAGTTTAACAGGACACGTCCTCTATCTCTCGATGTATTCTGCACCCCTTGAACCCCCTGACCTCTTCCATCCCTTGCTTCTCAATCTGGGAATATCAAAAGATCTCTGTTGAAAAGCACATAATAAAATATGAAGGGACTTCATTCAAAGGTGGGCAAGTTATGATTCAAACATCAGGGAATCCAGTTAAAAATGGATTTGCCTGATAATAACTGAAAGGAATTTGGGTGAAGTCATTTGCATGTGAGGGTGCACAAGTTTTTAGATATTTTGAGTTTCTTTTGTCATTAGTTAGGGTTCCAAAATGGAAGTGAATGAATATGAGATGAAGTATTACTCACCATCTGCCATCTCTCTTGACTTCAGAAGTATGGCTATTGGACAGTGACAGACTTGCTACCTTTTAATATTCAACCAGTCAAATCAAAATCAAAATCCTTGAAGACTTTGGTTCATGTTTTAACCTGCTGGCCCTCCCCTTTCCCTTTAAGAATTCAGCTGCCTGCCAGTACTTCAGTCTCATGACATAGGAGCAGTCAAAGATTCTTCCTTATAGACTCATGGTTATGAAACATATCGCCACGCTAGTCAAATGGAGAAAGACAGAAAGTCTTGAATTAGTCAGGGCTGCAGAGTAATTACACTTGGACAGGATGAAGCGCAGGAACTAGCTTATGCACATCCATCACAGCGCAAGACCCTCCACCTGTTCCTCATTTTTTGTATCACACTTTGATTTGAGAGATGGAGATGGAGAGTTCAAGGTGTGCGCTGGATACATTATGCCAATTTGTTTGACATGGCAGAGATTTGTCAAGGAATTTATCATTTAATCCAGTGTGTGTGCAGATAAGGTTCACATAAGGTTTTGTTATCACGGGTAGACAAAATGAAAGACATACCTGACAATGTGTTGCACAAAATCTAATAAAAATACAATGATCCTCCTCCTTATGTTTACTGACATCTAATCCACGGTACAGCTGTACAAACTATTTTTTAAAAAGTGTCAGTGAAAACAAATGTAGACTTAAAACAAATGGAAAAAAAATCTTTTTTGTATTTTATGACACTTTTCTTCCTCTCCCTTTATAACTGGTGGTGATTAATTTATGAATTTTGCATGTGGTTAGTTCTAGCAATTAAAATTGTTGCGATTTGAAGACCTTTATGTGTTATATGTTAAATACCTTCAGGAACTGATTTCTACAAAAGAAAAACGGTCACTAACACCTTGTCTGATGCACAGCAGCTCCAGTTTCAGTGCATGTTTTATGTGTTTGGAGCATGATGCACTAGCAATACAGTAACATGGATACGTTTTAAGAAAAGGAATAGGAACCCTAAACAGACAGTAAAGTTTCCTGTCACCAATAAGAAGTTTTATTCAAGTGAGCTGTTATGCTGCATGGAGAAATACTGCCCAGTGTATTAAATTATCGACAGAGAGTGACAGCCTGGGGTTGTTTTTTACATCCACAACTAACACGTGAACCAACTTTAAACAAAGCTTTTTATTCTTGTTCGTAGGCTGTATCGTTACTATTTTGTAATATATTAGTAGTGACCAAGAAATGAAAGACAAACCAAATGACAGATTTTCTTTATTTATTCAAATGCAAAAGTAGATGTAGAGCTCTAATTTTAAAGTCTAATGTTAAGGGGTCGAGGTGGCCCATATCAATGACAGCATTTATATGAAAGTGTTTTTTTATTTTCTTCCTAAAAGTTCCTGTAATGTGCTCTTCTTCAACACCAGGAATTGGAAGAGCAGCGTCACTGTGCCCAGCAGGACTTGTACAAGTTGCAGAACCACGGCAGCAGTTTAACAGCTCAGCTTTCTGCCAAAGAGAGGGAGGTGGCAGAAAAAGAGGGCCAACTCAGTCAACTCCGGTGAGGCGCCAATGGAAGCACTGCTCATTGTGCTCAGAAATATATATACGCGTATCTCACCTCACATGTTTCAGTGTGTGAAGCAGTTGGGATATTTCTCTCACAAGCCTGTGAGGCTTGTGGGTGACACAGGTTTCTTCCTCTCTGGCTCACCTAAAGCCACTTGATAAGCCCTGCATAGTGGATGTGCTTTAAAATAGGGAGGAAAGGGAAACGGGGCAGGCTTTGGCTAAGCTTTAGTCGATATGATAAAAACTGTGAGAACCGTCGGAGTCTTAGTGTTAATCTCAACCTTTTTTAACTACTTTTCTGTTTTAATGCCAGAGGCACTCTGACGTGTCAGTCACACCAGGACTCGAGACCTTTCTGAAGGTTTTAGTTAGGTGATTAAAGATGTCCTTATAAATGAGCGGAGCACTCTCGTAATTCCAATGGACACAAAGCATTAAACTTTGATGCTGGTTTTGCCGCACTGAAGAAAATAGAAGAGCTTAGGAAGGACCTAACAAAGTCAGGACTTTCCAGGTTTACCAAAGTCTTGTAATTTAATTTTTAGTGAGAGAATTCTTGTTATTTGTACAAATGATAACATACTGTATCTCTTAATGATGTTGGCCAATTTTAATGCATTTTTCCCACATTAATGTCTACAAAATCATTCCACCCAAATTAAAAAAAAATCATTTTCCAGCTTCAAAAAAATTTCTTTGACCTGCTTACACCATTTAAAATTTGTTTGTTTTTAAAGCCCAAAAAAAACTTTAAAATTTTTGACATGAAATTTCAGATTACTGACAGAAAAACAGGACGGCAGGGTCAAATATATTCAGTATATGCATGGTAGGGGTTGAAATTGCAGGGTAAGTCACAATATGATATGACACGATTGCACATATGCACAAGCTGAACCAGTTTCACAATGAGATATTGCCAAGTTAATTTTTTTTACTCCTTATGCAAACAATTACAGTTCATGGACACCAGGAATTCCCACTGTTTCATATATGTGCTCATGTCTGTATTATCTGCGTTTATCTAGCCGTGACTACGCAGAAGTGCAGACCCTGTACAGACAGAGCACAGAACATGCAGCAGAGCAGAGTCATCTCATCAAGCAACTGGAGGGACTCAACCTTGACACACAGAAAGTCCTGAGGAACCAGGAGGAAGCGCATACTGCTGACACCACCTCTTATCAGAGGGTACTCGCATACAGAATAATAAATCTCAAATTCTTCATTGTTATCAGCACTTTGTGACTTTCTACTCAAGCCTCTCCTGTTGTGGAGATTTATTTTCAAGCTAGCTACACTTATTTACACTTTGTGAAAAGGACTTCTCCCACCTTCATCTGTCGCATTTCTTAGACTACCACATGTCCTTGTAAAGCTGTCGCATGCATAGCATTACACAGGAAAAAAAAAAGTGAGGGACTTCACAAAACAGTTATTCACAAAACATACAATAAACATATATTTTTCCATTCTTCCTTCTTAATGACTGAAGAATGTGGGTCTTCTGTTTCTTTAAAAATGAGAAGCATCTTAATCTTAAAATATGTCCATCTTTTTGTCCCCTAATCACTTGAGTAATTCAGACTTATATTTTCATACTTGATACATTATGTTGCATCTTTGCCTCCTTTCCTGACGTCACCCTGATTTTCCAGCCTCATTATTCCATTTGTTTTATTTGACAGCTGTACAAGGAGTTAAGTCAGTGCTACCAAGCCCTCACATCTAGTGAGGCCAACCTCCGTCAGAGTCACCAGGAGCTCAGCAACCTACTCGTTCAGAAGGACCAACAAATCCTTCAACTTCAGTCCCAGCTTCAACAGCAACAAGAACAAGTACAACAGCAGCAGCAGCAACAAGAACAGATACAACAACAGCAGCAGCAGCAACAGGCTCAACACACACCTCCTCAACCCTTACCAAACAGACAAACCAACTTTAAGGTGAGTATCCCTCTAATTCTCTCCCACAGAGGCCCTTCTTTTTCCAGAGTTCATCAAGTGATTTGAAACTTCAAGCCAAGAAGTGTTTTTATGTTACGCCTGCTCTGCTACTGAACTTATTGAACTTCGCTATACACATGTGTGGGTACAAGATACATGTGCCTATGTTCCCTTGCATGATGCATTAATGATTTCTCCCACATAATATCTACATTGTTATATAGTAGACATATCTCACAATTACCTGTCTGTGCCGGGCTGTCTTTGGGAACATAGAAAGAAATGTGTAGGTTGATTAGTAGGCACAGCAATAACTGACAAGCCTGAACATGGCCTGTGGTGGTGGTGGTGTTGGTCTTTAAGTGAGAATTGCTCTGTTAATATCATTCTCGTTCACCCTTGATCTATCCATCTCTCTTTGCACCAGTGTCTTTCATGTCAGCTATCTGATCTTCTGTAGTTCTCTACCCCGGGTTTGCATGCTCTCTTTGACGGTCTTACTTCATCTTACTTCTTGTCTCTTCCCACCCAACTACCTGGAAATTCTTTTAAAATACACTGGGTGGACGGCAAAGAAACATAAAGGATAAGAGAAGTTATTCAGTCAGAGCCTAGTAATGCTCTTGAAGATGATGTTGCCATTTTATATCTGTCAGTCAGCAGGGGTTGGAGTCAGCTCATTACCTTTGAACCGTCACCCCGAGGCAGTAGAGGCTCCAGCATGAGGTCAAAGTTGCAGCCACAGTTAAACTGACCCTCAACAACCTCCATGTTTTTCAGACCACGCAGTGTCAAAAATATGGTCAAGAATAGTGACAACAGTATACTTTAAAACCACACAGCTTTAACATTTCAACACTTTAAAAACGCTGCACTTGTTAATGAGTCCTGAATACATTCTGCAGTAAGACTTCCTCTTTTTCTTCTTGCAGACAAAGCAACTCATTGTAGTGGGTGCTGCGTAAGATAATACTTTTGCAGCACTTGAGTTATTCATGTGTCTCTGCAGACTGTATTTGTGTAATTTGATTGGTTGATAGTTTCTGACAGGGCTGCCCCCAGACTAGAAGTTTAAAGATATCAGCTCAAATGTTAAGTGAGTTACAATCGCCCTGTCTCACTTAACCCTGTTAATTTAAACTGCAGTGAAATATAAATGGATCATTTAGTCAGTAATTAAATACAGTACAGCAGTGTTCCCCCAGTAATTAATACTACATTTAGAGCGGATGCAGTTAGTGCTGCGTGTGTGCGTGTGTGCATGTCTGTGTGTGTCTCTGTGTCTACAGATAAGCCGTGCATGTGTGTATGTGCACATATGGACAGAATACAAGTAAGATCATAGATAGGTTTAATCTATTGCTCTGAACATACTCTCCACCTCATGTCTTTTCTTTCCCTTTGGGTTCAGAATGGAAAAAACTTCACACATCACACTTTTCAAGTCCTGAGACGTATTTACAGAAATAACTTGTTTGCTAAGAATGCAAAGAATTAATATTAACTTTTGTTTACTGAACACATGTAGCTGCTGTCTGGCTGATTTGTTGTTTTAACTTTCTTACCTACTGACATCAAAGTGAACAGATCAGGTATCCCATGGTATAACACTCAGTCAGGAGGGCTTTCTGTTTCTCACTCTATAATCTCACTGACAGGTTGTGCGTATGCTTGTACGCGTGTGTCTGCATAGGTGTGTGTCTGACTAAAGGTGTGTGTATTCGAGCACATAATCGCGAATTCTGTAACAACTTCCTCCCGAACACCTGTTAAATTCTAATGCCCAGGTTGTTAAGGCAGATTTGATTTTAATTTTAAATGTTTTGGTGGAAGTTGCCGTCGGAGGTGATCAAAGTGCTGATCGCAACAGGAGCACAGAGGGGAGACGCAGCGCTCATTTGAATATGGACCAGAGCGACGGCTTTGAACACCCCTCCCGCAGCGGATTTTGAAGGGGGGGAGCGGGGATAAAGGAGGAGAGTTGGTGAGTGGGATAACACCCATTGTGTGTTATACTTCCATGCTGTGCACAAAGATTGACTGTCTGTTCTCTCCTGGCTTATGTCAAGTAAACTCTGAACAGAAAGCTTAACAAGACTTTGCAAAGGCTCTAAGATGAACAATGGCTGAAGAAACCAAACAGTTTGACCTTGCCGTCAGTCAGTTCCAGTCATTCAAGATGTCTATGTATATATATATATATATATATATATATTTATTTGCATAATGTCACGTCCTATGTCAGTTAAACACCAGGGTTAACAATGATCTTGCAAAAATATTGCGGCCTTACAAAAATTTCTGTTCCTAATTTTTAACCAACAGTCATTTTTATTTTTTTACTTATTTGCTGGAGAAACAGCAACAACAAAAAAAACAACACAGATAACTTAACTAACAAAATCCAGTCCAGAGTTGACATTTTTTCTAATTAAATAGGGATGTCATATGATAACAATACACTTCATTTGTTATTTAAGGTGTTTATTGATCATGAAATATTTTGTGGGACAGTCAAAAAGTGTTCAATCTAGGCATTACTGCTTTATATTTTCTGTTTTCCTTTAAAGACTTATTTTTGGGCTTTTTGCCTTTATTTACAGATGATAGGCCAGTAACTGTGAAGAGACGGTAGGGAGTGACAGGGAAAGGAGCCCCAGGCTGGAATTGAACTCAGGCTGTCCGCTTGAGTCATGACTTGCATATATGGGGCACACTGAAACCGCTTGGTCAGTGGCACCCTGCTCTTTATTTCCAAGTCTTCATTTTGTGTGTGTGTGCTGAAAACAGAGAAATATCTGTGTAATGTCAGGCTTGAAATGCCAGTGTAATTCCTCTGTATTTTAGCTGTAGGGCCTGGCTGGTCATCAGGCACCTGTGTGACCCCCAACTCAGTGAGCTCCACTCTGAACAAGCTGCCAGGGTAGGGAGGTTTGGTTTGGTTTGCCAGTTTGGGTGGTCACCATCACAATCTAGCAGCATGGAAGAGCCCTCATTAGTGGACAAAAAACTAGCTACTGTGAACACTTAATCATTTACAACAATCTCCCTAACTGCATCATTGTATTTATAGTAGTTAAGTGTTTGGCTTTCATCAAAGCTGTGCGGTGATTAAAGACCAACATTAGGATCCATTGCAGACCTCAGGCTTTCTGGAACCTTCACCACCATAAATGAGTGGTTAGTTGGTAATTGTGTGGGCAGTCATTCAACGCACTGGTTATTCTCTCATCAGCATTGGAAAGGGAAAACTAGGCATGTTCATTAAGTCCAGGAAAGTTTCATTATAAATACAACAGAAAGAAGTTTCTGTATGTTTTATACATATTGTCATATTTTGTTATGTAAATAAGGCAGACCCCTCTAGGAAAAGAAATGTGTAAATTATTAAGAGTAATGTTGGCTGAGTTTTGTGTGACTGCTCTTTTGAAATATCCGCTCCTGTTCCCACCATTATCAGTTGAAATCTTATTTAAAAAAAAAAAAAGGAAACTTTTATTCTCAAAGAAATGACCTTTGATATAAACAAACTCAGTTTACTAGAGCTTTTAGGAGGGAGTATGCACCCACGCCATCATCATCTCACTGTCAGAAGAGTGTTACACACACAGCTTTGGCATGCATTACACAAAATGTTAAAGTCCCTCGTATGGACTTTATGGACTGAACCTTAAGCACAGAAAGAACATTTCCCCAGGTCCAGGCCCTTTCTGAAACTTTTTTTTATTAAATTGAAAGAAACCCACATGGTGCATCTCCCTCAGCTTATTGAGATGGTTTTCAACATCTGCTTCTGGCTTGTTATTTATGTTAGCCAATCTAAACGCTTTTAGATGTATAATTAAAGTGCTAGTTACACACATGTATGCGTATGAATACACCCACTCTGCTTTGCCGGGTCTTTCTTAGGTGAGGTGTTTCTTTTGATCATCCTCATCATTAATGGCAACCATCAAGTTGAAAACGATGGAATAATAACACTACAAAGAAACATTGGAATTAAATTTTCAACCAAGAAGAGCTAAACAAACAGTACGGTGTCAGCCAAAGGGTTGTGTTGTGTATCTTAAGTACTGTATTTAACTCAACTTTTATAGCCTTTCAGTGCAGTTTGTAACAGCATGAGGACAGAGGGTACTTTCAGTCTCCTCTGCTGATGTTTCAGAGAATGTGATGGAAAGCTTGTTTAATTCGGACATTGTTGATTTGTTTTTCACATGGGTCCTGTTTTGACTCTGGCTGCTCCTCATTTCTTCCCATCTGGAAGGCCATTCCTTTAGCCTAACTGTCAGGACCTCCCTTAGAGTATGTTAAAAATTTAGTGCAGCCTGCTGCTTGTATTTACATACGCCTCCTCTCTCCTGATCTATCATTCGTACCTCGATTTGAAATCCCTGCGTAAAGGTTATATAGTCAAATAATGCTCAATAATAATGCTGATACATGTTTTATGACTTCTAACGCTATTTTTGTCAGCCACTTATCTCACATATTCTGTATTTGTTATTCAGTAAACAGTGTTGTCAACTCGAGTTTGTGCATGAGCGTGTGTTTGGAGCTAGGCCACGTCCAGGGCCAGAGACACACTAATGACATGGACTCCAGTGGTGTGTTTTACCAGCTCAACTGCTCTCATTAGATGAGAACCTCTGTGTAGCACAGCTCGCCTCATTAATGAAGCACAGCCATGTGCCGCTGCAGATACGTGCGCTCACTCGCTCAAGCACATACACTCGGGTCAAACAGACTGTGTGGGAGGACTCAGAGCTGTGTACAAACCCACAGAAACAAACACTCACAGTGTGCTGTCCTTCCATAAAGCCCCTCTTCACTGCGTTACCAGTTAACACATGCTCTTACATACATGCACACACACTTTCTTAGAAGAATCACCATCTTGAATACAAAGTGCACCTGGCCTGGTGGGGAGCCCGCACTTTGTAGCCTTCACTTCTGACACCTTTCCAATCACTTTTTCAAATGCTCGAGCTCCACAGATGTGAATAAATTTGATTTGTGTGCTTGTGTATGCATGTAGTTTTGTTTGGTGTGTGTGGCAGGGCCCCTCCTGATTATGGCTGCTACATAATTAACAGTGATCAGATTTGTTTTGTGGCATAAATGGTGCATGTGTAGAACATTAGGCCTGGCAAGTCTCATTTCACATTCAGCTCAAGGGCTCGGCAGCAGACGGGTCACGAGCTTCAGGGAGCACAATCACAAGCCTCCCTCCATATGGTCCTGCCTGCCGCATCCTCACCAGCGAGGGCTGCGAGTGCCAGACAAGTTCCCCCAAGAACCTAATCGTGTTCAGTAATTACCAAGACCGGCTTTTCTTTTTTTTTCCACCCTGCCTCCCTCCCTCTTTCAGCCTCCTCCCCAGCCTCTTGCTCTTTTTTTCACTGCACCTGCACACTCTCTTCTTGTCTTCAATCCTATGTTTGCGCCCTCTCTATTGCCTTCAAAAAGCTCCTTGTAACATGTTTATTTTGTCCCCTGTAACTTCTTTGCTTCTTTACCGTCTCAAATTTTGCCTTTTTCCCTGATTTTGCTGGATAAAAACAAGCTGGAGATGAGTTTCTGTGAGAGGGAAAAAACTCAGACACTCCCACAACAGTTAATTCCTAAATTGCTTTATGTGGATGATGCCGAAAAACCCAGTCCATCCTCCTGACTGCCTAGAAATTATAAATAATTGTAACAGATGCGCCAATATGGCTGGCCTCCAATAAACGAGGCCCCAGATAATTTGACCAACCCCCTTTGACAGGCCAATTTAATAAAACATGAACAAAATCTTTCTCACTAATAATTTATCATCCCCTCTCCTCCCCTTTGGTTAAAGTTGATTACCCTGGCAGTTAACAAGGTCACGCCCAGATGCCAGGTTTCTGATAATGCAATCAGGACTCGTTGAAGGAAAGGTGATGACATCCTGCTTGTTTTTCTTCACTACCTGGCCTCTTTGAAAACACTGTTGTGAAGGCCTCTGTTTGTTAAAAGGCTGGGATTTGATGTGCTGAGAAGAAGTGTTGTTGATGGCAGCAGGTGATACTTTTTAAAGTGTTTTACACCTTTTGTTCTGGGTTTTAAAACAAGAAAGGTGAGAATGAATGCAGTAAGGTGATAGGGTTGAGAGGTATGTGATTGAGTGTTGACATCATGAAAAAGGCCTTTTCTCCAACCCAAGACTTATACTCAGAGTTTACAATTTGTCCTTTGACTTGTAGAGTACATGCCTTCAAAGCAAAAATGCACTCTGGAGAACTTTCCAGATACACACTTCGGCTTTGACACCAACATGAATTGTCCAAAGCTGCAGCAACAATCTGGGAATTGAATAATCTATTCTTGCATGAGCGCATTCCAAGAATGACTATGTGCGGGTCGACATTCATGGGTGCTTTTGCATCACAACATACTCCCCTTTTGTCGGGCTTCCTTATCCTGGTTCCCCTCAGTTTGTTTGGATGTTGATGTGTGTACAGATGTTCTGTCAAACTCACTCCAAAGCGGTTGAACTTATTTGTTTGTTCAACTCTCTTTTTGATTGCTGGGAAAAATGGAAGAGAACTTTTGCCTTAATTTTGTTTGTGTTGTTTATTTTGTGTGTTTGGTTTTCTATGAATTTCCAACAGCCTAAAACAACCAGAGAAGGGAAAAGGACTGAATTGTTTTGATCAAGGTTAGACCAAAATTCAAAATGCACAAGAAGAAACAAAGTTTTCTTGGAAATAACTGACGTGTGATCATTTGAGTTTGGGATCATTAAATACCTTTCCACAGCATCATCATAAGATCTCTCTGTATGCGACAAAAGCCAACACTTGTCTATGTGTTAAACTACTCAGATTTACTAGCTTTCTTGTTTGTGCGTCATGAAGTCACTACTGCCCAGTAAACTAAGTTCTCTTTACTTTGAATTCACAATGGCAAAGAAAATTTAAGCTCTTTTTTTGCCATTTCTCACTTACAAAATGTAAAAACAATAAAAAAAATCTCTCTTCTCTTGCAGGCAGTGGTTTCAGAACAGATTGATGGTGCAACTCTGAGGTGTAGCCCTGATTTTGACCGAGCCTTCACCCGGGGCTCAGATCCTGGGCCAGAGGATAAGACCCTCCAACACAGATCCACCAGTTCCGTCAGAAGACAGCAGGTAGGATAGCACACACTCCTGCCAATTATGTCAAAGACAGCACGTGGGTGAGCAGCTTACATGCCCACACTTATCCATTACGCTTTGCTCAGATTAGATCAAAGCCACAGAGAAGGGTTATGAAGGAAATGGTCTGTTGAGAATCATGTGATTTATCAGACCTCGCTACTGCCAACCTTTGTCCTGAACTCCCAAACACACACCTACACACACATAGATGCCCCTCCTACTGTGACCAGGCCGTCGTGTGCTGCTGGTTTCACGCATGCCTTGGGCTCATGCACTGGCTAATTTATCGCTTCAGCGGTACATTATGAACAAGAAAGAAGCTTTTGATCTTCTTAGTATTCCCCTCATAAGTTTGGCAGGACATGTTTCTAGATGGCCTCACTCACGATTAAGCTGGCCTGAAGACACATTGTTTGATTTATACAGCTGTCCTCATTAGAGCGTTTGAGGATGGCACTCTGTTCAGGCAACTGAAACAACTAATGTTATTATTTTTTACAAAATAAATTAGCAGTATTGATGTTATATGATGGACTTTCCTTTTCTGCAGGCTCTGCTTTGTTTGCCCGGAGGACACTCACACACACAGATGTGCACTCACTCAGACATACACATAATCTGCTGGTGATGCATTTGCTATTACTTACAAAGACATGCCAATTTCAATCCCAGTGCCGATTCTAAAGATTGAAGTTGAACTTCAGTGTTTTTTTTTGTTTTTTACACGTAACATATTTGATTCATTTCACACTGACAGGGAATATAAATCATGATATGCATATATACATGAATGTTAGAATTGTAAGTTCATCACACTGTGTATGTGCTCTTTTTGCAATAGAAACCACACCTAATTTTGATGAAATCAACATTTCTAAGCACAGTTAACCCACAGTAAGGACACTTTTTGTAGAGGCATACATTTTGAATCCTCTCATATTTTCTGTGAGCGTGAAATTTACACAAACATTTCTCTAAATTGTTGAATTAAAAAAAATATATTACTCTGCTTTTAAATGCCCTCTCCATGTTGCTGTTGGGCTCATACATAGAAGCCACTTTTGGACATTTTGAAAATATAGTGTGGTTATTGTTGCCTTGACAACACACACATGCACACACATTTGTATTACTTACAGAGTCTACAGAGACTAAACCAAACTGCTGATTTTTCTACATAAATCCACATTGAAGCATTTAACACGCAAAAATATTGAATATCAAAATGAATATTTAATTGTGTTTTTCAGCTGTCAAAATATATCTCAAGAGAAGAGCACATTTTGACCAAACACATTATCTCCATAAAGATTCAAGGGTTACTTCAAGTCTACAAAGGCTTGTTTTAGGTTGTCTGCGATTCTAGCATGTAAGAGTCAGAGTTGGATCACCCCTCTTACTCAGGTTAACTACCTTCAGGGTAAGTGCTTCAGTGATCCAGGTCAATTGGCTTAGCAAGAACCGGATCTCTGGGTTCCAAAACAGCTTTACATAGAATTTTCATGCACAAGAGGCACTTTTTAGAGCTGTCTGCCACTATCGTGCTGCATCTCTGCAAGGAAGTCAGGTAACCAAAAATAACAAGGTCAAAGAAAACTGAATTAAACTTTTTTTTTTTTTTTTTTTTTTTTTACAAATGAACAACCACATCAAAAGTTACTCAAAAGTTACTCAAAGTAATATCAATAATAAATGATTTATAATTAATGGACATGTGCCTACCTCTATTTATGTCATATGTTTTGTATCTAAAAATCCAGTGTCGCTGATTGTAGTCTAAACTGAATAAAAATTTAATTGACTTAAACTCATGTTAAGGTCATAGTGGCAGTTAAATTTTTCACACTCTGTTTTTTTCCCTGAGTAATGCCTACAAGATAGTCTCAATGTACTTCAGCAGCCCTGTAGATTTTTTTAATGTAATTCACATAACCAGCCATCAACAATGGTGCAGACGGGCCTGTTCATCTGTTTTGCCAATAACTGTTTCCTCCTCCATATAAGAGATGTGTTACACAAAAGGTCATAAGCTTTTCTATAAGTAAAACTTATATTGGCTTCAACAATCCTTTTTTAACCTACTGGTAACATAATGGCACTTTTAGCTGTTGTTGCTGTTGGCTGCTCTTTATTTCAATAAGATGATGTTCCATAGGAACCATGAACCAGTTCTGCTTCATTACTGCCCATTCAAACAATAATACCAATCTACAAGGTCACAGGCTGATGAAATGAACCGTCTGTGCGGCCCATTGCCGTTATGTGCCACATTTTGTGGCTCTTAAATTATGTGCCTACAGTGAACTTACCAGTTTAAATGAGGGGCATTACACAGTTTTACAAGGGTAGTAATTTGTTATGTACAATTATGAGTATAGTTGGCTGGAATCTTGGAATATAATTTATAGACTGGGTACACGTAATTTTAAAATGTATGAGTAACAGGTAATGTCTAAGATAAGTGGCATAGCATGAGGGCAGCTCTCAGGAAACTATTGTGACCCTGAATCCAAACATTCTTGAAAAGTTGACACTTATTTCTATAAAGAAAAACTGTAGTTACTGGAAATTTTCAGTCTGCAGGTTACCCGTCCTCTCATTACTTTATTTTGGCAGGGTGCTTCTTTCAATAGATTACTTTGAGCAATGTTGTATACTCGCAGGGTGTTAATGTGCTAACCTTTGTGTTTACATTTTGATGTACGTCTGTGGTGTGTGTATATCATTCTGAGCAGGCTGAGAAGCTGAACAAGTTCAGTTTTGAGACACACACATAGCAATTATAAAAAAATCCCATTGATGACAGTGACCCCTCTCTCTAGGAGATGGAGGGAGGGTTGAGGAGAGGTGAAGGGAGGAGTGAGGCAGTCGATGAAATTTTTCTTCCTTGCTTCACAGCCTGTAACGCTGACCCCTCAGTAAATAAGAGAGCTACTCTTGCTTGCATACATACTGTTTGGAAACAGACTTGTCTCATCTCACCCCCTACTGTATGCTCTCCATCCCTCCATCTGCATCACTCTCTCATGTTTACGGAGCCATTAGAGGGTATGATGCACTGGTCAGGTCATGGCGGCCAACCAGCTGCCGAGACGAGGTAGACATGTCTTTCTTTCCCTTGTGTTCACTGGTTTTTACCTCCAGCCTGTCTCATGGTGCATTAACAAAAATGTCACAACATAAAGCTTCCTGTACAAAAAGAAAGCATTCATGCGTCTTGAACCTGCAGCAGACAGACGTTCAACTGGACCAGAAAAAACATCCTCAGCAAATCTCAGGCATTTGTCTGTTTCACCATGTCATTGTCCACCAGGGTCCTTCAGACAGGAGTTTGTCTGCTCTGGTTCCCTTATACAGAAGAAAATAAATGGTTGAATATAAAGCTAGATGTTGATTCTTCTTCAAACTGTTATTTAATTTGAAAAACTTTTCAAGAATCCATCCTAAATAAGCCCGGTTTTAAAGTTGGTCATCTTCACTTCTTAGTTTAGGCCTTTTAGCCGATTTGGATTCCCCTTTTGGCCACTTATTTTTCCCCTTACTCTCAGAGGCTAAGCCAGTTGGCCTGCCACTCATCAGGAATATGCAGATCAATCTGCTAATTAGTTGCATAGAGTTATTAAGGCTGAGTTAGAATACATGCTTGGCACCCACGCAGGCATGATAGCAAAAACAGGCACATCAGGTCGCTAGAGTCAACTGCAGCCCCAAGGCACATTCCCAAACACGATAACATGATAATAATATTCAGTGACAGCCAGATGATTTTTACAAACATGCATGCTGCAGTTATGTGTTGAGATTCAAACAAAGCAATGAAAGTGAATAATTTTTGATGTTACACTTAATTTTTTACTTGTACAACCCATTTTTTGCCAAGATTTTGTTAGGGTTAAATGTGCAGTATTTATTTGAACTTTTCAGTTGAAGTTTTTTTTTTTTTTTTTTTTCTTAGTACTTTTTAAGTTTGAGTCTTCCACTGAGGGGGCATAGTGGATGGGATACATTCATTTTATTAAATAAGCAAGCATCATGTCAACTGGCATTCCTCAGTCTTAAAAAACGCAGTGCAACGACTGCTCGCTCCCTCCAGTTTGGCCGTACTTGAAAGAAATTTAAAAGTCTCTAACCCAAGACTCGTTTTCAGCCCCATGATTAAATGTTTTGCATAGATTTGAAGATTGAAGATTAAACAGAAAACAAAAGCTTGTACCAGCCATTAGAACACACTTTTGTGGCTTTTACAAACCCCCTTACTCCACATCATCTCCTATACTCCTCTTCCACTCCAGCCCAAGGACTGTAGTGCGTTTAGTCGCATTGCATATTTTAGCCTGCCATCTGGTCAGCCCTGCCTGGCACCACAGGGGGCCACATATCCTCTCATATTCATATTCCACTAGCATATTGTTCCCACTGCTTTTCTACAGTGCGGCCCCAGCACTTCTCCATTTTTTTATTTATTTCCACAGAAGAGGCTGGCTAGCAAACCATACCCCCCCCTCCTAATCGGCGGCTCTTCCAGTTGTCCTATCAAGTGTAACCTGGAGGCCCCTGGTAGAGCAATTAGAGCGGCCTCCCTGCCCACCTCTTGTAATGAAGCCCAGCACATTCTGGAATCTATAGCCCCTTTAGTCTCCCCTAATGGGACATCATTATTGTCAAAGAAACAATGTAAATGGAAATGAACATACTCATTAGCCAGTCGCAGGGAGAAACCTTTGCCGCTCTCAGCTTGCAACTCCCGCTTCCAAACACGCACACATCCACACACACCAAAACGAACCTCCGCCTCTCAGTTTCTGCAGACTGCTCCAGCTTGCTTTATTCCTTTGGTAGCACGTTGGTCTGTGTGCACATATGTACGCACTGAAGAAGACAATGTGCATCTTTTCCTCAAGGTGAGAGGAGGGGAATGGAGTGAGCACTGATAACTCCACTATTGGCATTCGCTCAGTGTTTCTATTTTGTTAATTGTTGCATGAGGCTGCACCTCTGTGAGTAAGTGTGTTCCTAGGTCTCACCCCAGTGCTTTCCTTGCTTTACTGTCCCAGGGTGCACCTGTGCAGCGGTCCAGGTCTCTGTCCCCAGCCAGCAGTGCAGAGTTGGGCAGTAGGAAGAGAGGAGGGGCAGAACAGAGGATTCAAGACCTTGAAGAGCTGCTGCAATTAAAGGTACCTCGCTTACATGGACCCTACAGAATACCAAGTTTGTAATTGCTTGGAAATCTGTGTTATGATTATTTTTCTCATTTGAATTTTGTTTTCAATGTCAGTTAAATTTGAATGAGGTTTCAATGCAGATTTTATTTGAGGTTAGCTCAGTTTTTATTATCTTAGAAATGTTTTGCTTTTGTCAAGTTTTTTTAAGTTTCAGTTTTATTGTTTTATTTTTTGAATATGGAAGACCAGACCCAGGAGACCCTGAAAAGATAATCTGCAGAAAAAATCTAAAAACATCATTCTGCATGTATGAAAAAAAATACTCAAATAAAAAACATTTATGATTACATTCATCCACAAATGACGAGCCACAGGGTTGAGTTGCCTGCCCCTCTTAAATGTCATAGGCCACCCCAAGTGCCATCCCAAACTCCTAAGGCATGATCTGCTATTTGTTGTCAGAGGCAGCACTTGTGTTAAAATGAACTATGTGGACAGTGTTGAAACAAATACAACAACAAAGGCTCTCTGTGGTTGTGTGGGCTCACATAGTTCAGTGCATATGCCACAGATGGGTCACACCAGTCCAAAAGATCTGGATACACCCCTGCTTGGAAGCACAAACCTTTTTGCAAGTGTTTTATGTTACTTAATTCAGCAATTGAAGACAGGAACTCAACTTTCAACTAAGTAAAAGTTGGACACCTACTGAAGAATGTAGGCTGTGTCCATGTAGTGTGCCCTCACTCCAAATAAAAGTCCAAGTAGATTAGCAATCCTCTCCCTTCTTTTTTTTTTAATAAACAAATAATCCTCTATCCAAATTATCAAAAGGAGAGCAGAATTAGAGTGACAAATGAGAAAATTATACATATTTCTTAACCACCTAAATCAAGAGATGAACATGAATTTAATTTTGAAGAGCATCATACTTCACTCTCTGTCAATCAGAACATTGATACTTGACAAGTGAACCATGAGGTGTCCTTGTATCTCATATTCATGTTTCAGAGAAAGCTCTTCAGCAGGCTGGAAATAAAAAAAAATAAAAGGAGAGGGGTTTTTGAGATGGACCATAAGGAATGTTTGCTAGCTAGGGTGCTGATGTCGATAACACAGATGAATGCATTTATTGGACAATTTTATTTAATTGTGGTTAGTTTATAGTTTCAGTAGTTACTGGTATTTTGTAAAGTCTCATTTTGATTTTCTAAGTGAAGGCAAATGTATTTGGTACTCTAGTTTTGAATATTTTGTTAGTTTTTATTATTGATTTAAAAAAAAAAAGCTTAAAAGATGCAAACAACATTTTTTAAAATCAATATCTAAAAATGTCAAAATTGTCATTGTTGTTTCACTCTTTGTTCTTTATTATACCCAGCTCATTTTATTGTGTTTACTTTTTGTCCTAAGCCTCTGTCTTCATATTTCCTCAACATGCTGGTTGCTGTTGACTGCCTGTGACTTTGAGACACTTTTAAGTATTCCTTGCTGAATAGGGCACATTCAGTGGCACAGTGGTGTCCAGCTGATAGCGTGTGAGGCCATAGAGGGGCTCTAATGGAGCCGCTTGTTGCTCTGGCCACTATCTCACACATATGATTGCTGCAATCAGCCTCTGGGTTGTTGGAAGATCTGCTGCTCTGTAACAGTCACGGTCTGCAAAGGGTTCAATTGCACTTGTGCTGCCACTGCCTCCTCCATGACCTTCTCTTACAGTGTCTTTCACATACTCACACACACACATACAAATACATAAGTTTGTGCACCCTAACAGAGCATGCGTAGGCAGTGAAACAGCAGGAGAGAGCTTCGCTGGTGAAAGTGGATGAGGCACTTTTTTTTTTTTGTCTCTTAAACGAATCAGCTTTATTGGTCTTTAAACCTTCACATGCCCTCTGACGTCTCTCCTCCTCTCTTCTTCATTCTTTTTCTGTTTTTTCAAATTCACTCCAAGCAAAATAAACTTAATTTTCACCTTTCCCCTATGTTTCTTTTAAGATCTCAAAACATGTCTTTCTCTCTTCTCTCTTTCTCTCTTTTATGAAGTACCAGCAGTGTGTATTTTTCCACTTTCATATTCTCTTTTTCTCTGAGTCTGGACTTTCCCCTAACGCTGTCCTCCTCATCGCCTTTCTTTATCCTTCCCTTCTGTCAGGCTGACCAGTGAGTGAGTGATCATGCAGAGGTCATTTACCTTTGAGCACAATCCCAGGAACACATTAGGCATCATTTTCTTGTCAGACCTGAAGTGTCTGAATTACATCACTGCCTGACACCTAGTAAGATGGTAATGCTCAGCGTGGATGCAGATGACACGCATGACCGTCTTAGTTAATGGTGCCATTTACATGTCTGCAAGTTGAGGGGCATTTAGCAAAGGTATGCACAGAAAAACTGTGATTAGCAACTCAAATCTGTGACCACATTAATGAGAGCATGATTTAGCGGTTCTGTCCTTTGCTGTGATCTTGTATTGAGAATTATGCCCCCCATCAGCTACAGTGCAGACCTCACCTCCAGCATCATGTAGAAGGACTTCACTCAGTCTGCTGGTCTTCAGTTGATCCTCTTCAATTGTTTCCGATAGAATGCCTTTCAAATTGGGTACGGCAGCCTGTACCATTGACATGTTGACCTTAGCAGCTAACAGCAGCAGGCAAACAAACAATTCTCATAATAATGGCCTGTTTTTTTTCCTTCCACACACTTTCAAGTAAACAGTAGCTGTTGCTGTGTAATTATTTTTCAGCTTGAGAACATCCACAGTTGTGTATGCTGGCTGGGTAAGGGGGTGTATTGATCGGTGGGCAAGGGTCTGTGGCCTGATGACCAGAGCTGGGCTGCCCAGGGGAAGCTCTATAAGGAGCCTGGGAAGCCATGATGTGGCTGATGCCCTGCCACTTGCTCCATCCAGCCCCCCCTTCTTTTCCTTCATCAGTCAGCCTCTAGTCTTCTGTGTCCCCCAGCTCCTAGTTCCACCAGTTAACACTGCCCTGGACTGGCCCCTTTCATTAGAGCCTTGTTTGTGAGAGGTTGGGGGCAGCTCGCAGGGGCCGAGGATGTCTTGCAGATGTCCTCTGTGAATAATCCGCACTTGGGGAAAATCCATACTTGTCACATTGGCAGTGTGAATGTGCATTGTGGGTGTGTGTGTGTGCGCACATTGGTAGTGTGTCCGGCGCATGTTCGTGTGCTCTCTCTGTTCTCTTTGTCCTTGTTAATAATAACAGGGCTGAGGGCTCGCATTTCCCTCTCTGCAGGGCAGCCGTGTCATATCAGCAGTAAACAAGCTCCTTCCCTTCAGAAAGCGCTTGACAACTCTCCCCAGCCCTGGCCACTCAAGCAGAAACCTGTCCTGCTCTCTCCTTTTCACTTTCCCTTTTGCTTTGCTTTTTTCCTTCTCTTCCTAATTTCTCTCTTCTCTCTCTTTCTCTCTCTTCTGTTTTCATCAGCTGCCTTTTGCTCTTCCTTTGCTCTCTTTCCACCTCTGTGTGTCCTGCCTGTTGAAAGTGTTTTCTCCATCACCCTCGCTGTTAAGGTCAGTGAGACGGGGAGGAGGGCTGCCCCTGACAAGAAAAATCTATATGTCTCCTCTTACTCTTTCTTCAAAGCTGGAGCCCAATCTTGCTTGTGTTTTAATAGCTGTCAACAACAGTGTCAGCAACAAACCTACAACTACAGTCCCCCCAAACACTACATGTGCTCACTCAGTAACTCAGGCGGGTGAGATTCTTTGCTGTGTGTGTTGTAAGGTGTGTATGTGTGTGTCTGCTACAGTTCCTGTGGCCCCACTGGCTCGTCATGTAAATGTCGTCTTTTAATGATGTCTCAGTTGCTCAGTAAGAGTGGGAACACTTGTCAGGGAGGCGAGAAGAGAAAGAAATCTGAACCTGCTGGTTTCTGTCAAGCAAAGGTGTTTTAACTGTGGACCAGTTTAAATATGAAGACAGCGAGGGGCTTTCTCAGGTTTTCTCCTTCACTGCTGTGCTGCTATACCTGAATCTAACTCTCTTAGCATTAAAGCTATGTTTATGTGACATGCACACCTTCTTGTGGAAAAAAAAAAAAATCTTGCTCGCTTTGCTTTACAGATGCAGGAGAATGAAGAGCTGAGGAAGGCTCATGATAGAAGACGTGAACGCCTGTGTCTGATCCAAACCAACTACAAGACAGTCAGAGACCAACTGAAAGAGATTGAGAAATCAAAAGGCCTGTGAGTACACAGTCTTGTTTTCTGTACTAACTTTTTGCCGGCTTTGGATTGTAAATGTACAGATTTACTGCTTTTTTACACTTGTGAACGAGAAATTAGGGTTGTTATGACAAAAACAAAAACAGAAAAAAAAAACTTGAAGACACCACCCCAGAAAATCACTGGGTTTTTTTTTTTGCATCTTTATGACATTTTACAGATTCAAAACAGTCTATCAATTATGCAGAAGGATTTTCAGAAGACTATTTGATAATGAGATTAATGAGTTAGTTGCAACCTTGAACTTCGCATTCATTTACACCCAGCAGTTAGCAAGAGACGCTCTAAACTTAACCTGCCTAATGTTAAAAGCACATTTGAAATGCTACAACCCTCTGAAACCTCTTGCAAATAGTCTTAGGGCCTCATTGTTCTCCACATGTTGTCTGACAAGACCTGAGTGCTGGATTTGGGAGAGCGGGGGAAATTCCTTCCTTTGCCTCTGAAAAGCTCAGAGGTTTTAAGCCCAGTCAATTTGGGCCGTTTTGTGCCAAGTATGTTCACTTCTGCGTCTCCTCTCCCTCAGCATTCATTAGGATGTGAGAGCCAGAGGCTGGAGGTGTCTGGTCCTGGGGGGTACAAGGTGTTTGAGAAGGCCTGTAGAGGGAGGTAGGGAGAAGAGGATGAGGATGAGGAGGAGTGGGAGGAGGATGAGGGGGCTATTTCCTACTTCAACCTGTTATTTTCAACAGAAACCACAGGTTTTTTTACACAAAGCAGAAATGTGCTGGAAAATGTCATTAATACAAAGTCTCTTCCTCCCATTGTGTCAACCAGCCTTTACAGCTTTTTCTGCCTCTGTTTTTCGTCCTCCAGCAGCGTCATTGAGTCCATTTTTAAGTGTAACTAAAGGTGCATATGTTTGGTGGCCGCACAGGAGCAAAGTGTTGACCCCGTCAGCTGTTTTCTCTCTGGGTTAATTAAAGAAAACAGGAGTGCAATGTGAGCCCGTGTGAAAGCGAAGTGAGTGAGAGAGCCTGTTCAGCGCTAGGCTCGACTCGGCTCATGTCAGCTCAGCGCAGCTCAACAGCATGTGTCTGAGACAGTGGGAACAAAGACGGAGGGATGTAGGGAGAGAAAACTCTCAATCAACACCCGGCGTGCTGCTGTTATACATTTTAGCAGGTTATCAAAGAAACGTTCTGTCTAGTGAAAATACGCACTTCTTTTCTTTATGAGAAGAAAAGGTCTGTTTTTATTAGAAGTCAAAAGGCCATATCTGAGAGATAGAGCGTAGATCTTCTTACCAAAGAGCTGAGAAGATCCAATAATCCATGGTGATATTTTTGTGGTACCAATGTCAAAGTATCTAGATTGTATTTCTGATTTGGCATCAAATTGATGCGATAGGCAGCTTTGCCCTTTTCATCCAGCACTCTCCATGGCACCAGCCAGTCACTCAGTGTTGTGATCCTGGCATTCATTTGGCATTGAGCCCCATCCTTAAATAGCTGTTGAACTCACTGGGGCAATGCCAGTCTGAATGAGAGACAATAGAAAATGACTTAAATACTCCCATTAGTGCTGAGAAATCAGGGCCCTAACAAGTCAGTGGGGACAGGCGTGGAGTCTCATTGCATTTGGAGCTTGTTAGGGATTTCCCCGAAGCTTCCATGCTGTGTTGTTGCCTTTTTAGAAAGATGCAGGAGGTCGTGTTTTGTTTTCCCCTTATGTGTGCAGGACCAGTTGATGGATCTGCGATGGGTCCTCCCCCCTTACCTGCCTCACACATGTCTGCATTTCCAAATACTTGAGTACAAATATACAGCTCTTATGTGGCAAACTCCAAATAAAGCACATTGGTGTTCAACAACGACACGGTTATGTTTGCTTCCTGGAATTCTGTGTCCTCCAGTTTTCATCCCTCATCAGCAGAATAAGGCACAAAGTGGGACAGTTGGTTGCTGTATGGCCAGCTGCTATGTGACGTAACCTCCTTGTGCAATAACCAGGATAGAACTACCAGCCAATTGCAGAGCAGACAGAGGGCCCATTGGCTCATTGGCATGCCGGCCGTGCGCAGTTGGCCAGTCCCAGTGAAACTACCCTGCCATTCACCATTACCACCATATTTTCCCAAAATGGCATGAAGGGGAGGGGGAAAAAGCCAACTTCTTATTTATATTAGAGAAGGGAAAAAGTTTTTTAATCAGACTGGGGATGATGGGGGTGAGCAAATAAAATTAAAGGTTATTAAAGCATCCGTACTCTGATCAAAGTTGCGCCCATAAACAGATTCCCCCTGAATCAGAGCAATTAGCCGCAGCGGCGTGGAAAAGTTCTCTCTATTTCCTCCTGCTTAATAATGGAAACTAGGATACCATCAGGGAGGAAGCACTGAGGCCTGAAGAAGATAGCTCTCTCATGGCTCCAATGTTCAACAGCTTTTAGGCCCACTGTAAACAAATTAAAATGTATAAAGCTTTACCGTGACTTAATAAAGCTTCATACACCTATCATAAGGAATGCAGTTGATACACGGCATAGCTAAAAATCACACAGAGAGAATTAGAACAGAGCTGTGGGTAAAATATCATGTTATATTACTGCTCCAGGCAGTGTTAAGATAGTTTATGCTAAATTCATCGTGTGCGTGCAGTAGAGTGAGCAAAGGTATATCAATCTCTGTGACTATACAGTGAGATTATCCGTTAAGAAGCTCTGCACTCTGGGAAACTAACCCAAGCCTACAGAAAGCACACATATATACACTCACACACACATACACTACTAAGAAGTTCAAGGGCTCCAAATTGCACACGGGGGCATTAGCAGTATTAAATGAAAACATTTGCCGTTCTTCAGTAGCCTCCAACTCCCAGGCACCAGGGTTTAACTAGTATTAGCGTAACATGGCTGTGTCTACATAGCCAATAATGACCACGGGAAAAAGAGACCTCTGCAACAGCAGTGACCCTCACAATCCATTTCCACACCTCTGCCTCATTGATTTGGCAGAAATGAGAAACTGTGGTATCCGTGTGTCTGTGTGTGACAATTCTCTTCTCATCTGCTACATTTGCAATCTTGGTAAAGCCGTTTAAGTTTTCAAATGAAAGGCTAATTGGAATTGAATGCGTTGGGCTACAGCTGATTGATGAGTTGTGTGCGCAGGGAGGCAGTTGGGGGCAATAGGGATGCTGTATGTGTGAGTGTGAGTTAAAGGGGAAGTTCAATGGAGGGGGCTGCTACTTAGCACAAAGTGTCATTAAGTATTCATAAGTGAGGTGTAGTCATTTGAATGACCTCGTTTGCGAGTGTGTTTTTGCCATTATTTACATTTGCATGGCACACTGGGAATGGTCCAGCACCCTGCCACACGGGCAGTGCCCTGGGCTTCAACAAACATGCATACGTGTGTCAAGGCTGCTCATTTGAATACTGCTAAAGATGGCTGAATAACAAAAACAGAGTGAGACTAAGGGGCCTTGTTACCCCTTGTGTATTGGCCAGAGGCAGCACAGTAATGTACAGTAGCAACAATTTTCCCTTGTTAGCATGTTTGCTTTCAGTGTGTCTGTATGTCTGTGTGTCTGTCTCTGTGTGTGTGCGTGCCATAAATGATCTGTTTATTTGATATGTATGCCCCTTGTTTGCCTCTACATTTTCACCTTTTTCTGCTTATATATTGTGCATTTGTTTGTTCAGGCCAGGTGGTCGGACACAGCGTGCACAACCATGGCAGCTAAGGCAAGAGAACAGTGATGCCGTGTGGAATGAGTTGACCTACTTGAAAAACCTCACCAGCAAACTCTCTATGGAAAAGTAAGTCAGCTGTTGTCACACATAAACCGACATGCACCCCCACTGTCCCTTCTTGCTTGGTGGGCATTAGTATCTGAGAGTGCCCTTCCCAGCTTCACAGCATTCACCTTATCCTCCACATCATTACCAGCCAGCAGGGGCCAAAGCAAGATCATTAGACTCTTTGCTCATTTGTAAAATTGGCTGGCCAAAAAATCGCACCTTAAAGTGCAGGAAGTAAAATCACATTATCACAATCTCTAGCTGTCTTTGTGATGGAATATCAATGCCAAACTGTTGTCCTGTTGTTAGTGTTATTGAGCTATTTAGCCAATGCCAAGAAGATACTTTATAAATTTGAAGTTTATATAATTTGATCTAGAGTTTGTTTGACTTTCCTGGAAGGTGTATTTTTTTGTTGAACTAAACTAACAAAATTTTGTTAGTTCTCACCTCTCTTTTTTCTGTCTCTGTCTTTTACTTGTGTTTGTCTTTAAGACTGTCTCCGGCTGCAGCATAGCCATTGTCTTGTTTGATCTAGAGAAGCCCCTGTAACCGTACCACTACCACTGACCCTCTACAATGCTACACAAAGCTTGGCCTAAAGCCACAGACTTCCTCTCCCCTACCTCCCCTAGCCTTCACCTCTGCTCACCTCTCCTCTCTCTATCCTCTGCTTCTGTACCCTCCTCTTCCAACTTGTCTTCCCAGTTGCCTCCCTCCGGCCCTCTGTGATGCTGCAGCAGGCTGAGGCCAGATTTCTGGTACTTGCCCCCTCCCCACCCTCTTTCACTGCTTTCCCCTCTGCTCACCCCCCTGCCCTGTCCTCCTAATCCCAGCTGAGCTCATTATGATATAGCCCGGCTGCCTCTCTCCAAGCTTGAGCTGTCCAAGCTAATTACAGGCTAGCAGCCCTAGTGCCGCCGATGCTGCCTGTTCAGGGATGTCCGTCCGCCTGCCTGCCTGCCCGCCCTGACTACAGCTGAGCAAAGTAGAGCACTGGACACACTTGGGGTGGGGGGGGTGGGTGGTGGGGTGGGGGGGCTAGCGCAAACATGTAGGGTCCTTGGTACTGACCCGCGAGGAACCACGAGGGATGGAGAGCGGCTGGCCTCTTTCCTAACTGTGTACCTTGTATGTCCTCCAGGGTTATTCTTGATCCCCTTCATGTGCCCCTGACCAGCTCTACCTCATCTCCTACATTCGCACCCCCTGGGCCCCCTCTTACTCAGGTTGCTGGTGCAAAGTAAACTTGGCTAGAGTCTTTAAACTTGTGCTTTAGCAAAACACGCCATTCCTGGGCACACATCTGCACATGCACAACACATTGTGTTAAACTAAGCGCAAGCATGCTGCCCATTTCTGTCTAAGTCCTTGCCTTGCTCTCTCCCATACCTGTTGTGAGTCGAAGCAGGAGTGAACAAATTGAGTATTTGGGACTGTGGATGAAGTCAGCTTAACCAAACAGCATTACTCCCCTGCATTGCAAATTTCCAGTGAGTGATAACAGAGAAAGCAAGTCTGTGCATCATAATGCAACAAGAGGTTGTGGATGCAGAACTGCCAGGAGACTCTTTGGGGGAGATGTTGCAGCTTGTTGTTCTGTTGACCGTATTATAATGATTGTGCTTGTGAAGGTTATGCTAGATAAGTGTTAGCAATGATCCACTAATGACTCATTAACTCCTGGCAGCCGAAGAATTTAGGGCCAAATAAAGGCCCCTTATCAGGCTTTAAATGCCTAGTGGCATGCTTTAGAGGAGAGCCTCTCTTCAAAATGTCCATTTGTCTCTCATTCAATCTTCCTCATTGTCATGATATTGTGCACAGATGCTCTCTATCACCTCTTCCAAAAACAGCTCTTGTTAAACACTGTCTTCGGGCCCAAAGGACCATTTCCCAGAATGAGTATTGCTGAGATAACTCCTGCACAGTGGGTCCCCACAGTGTTAAGAGAAGGTTATGAGCCCCCCCTCTAATCTCAGAGCGTTGCTTAGAGGATGAGCAAAAAGGTGAAACAGCTTTGTTTGTCCACTCTTTCAGCTGATTAATGGAGGATGCGGTGGGAAACAAATTGCTTTTTCTTTGACAACTTTCTGCAATAGTTATTGAGTCCTAAAAGATAATTGTATCCTGTGTCACATATTCAAAGTACCTTTTGGGCAACACACTTTTCCTTCCAAACTGTTGGTTTGTTTCATTGAGTAATGTGTGACTTTCAGAGGGTATTTCCCCAACCTTTCCTGAAAAGTTGAAGGCACTGAGTAGTCTCTCTTATTAGTAGTAGGGCTGGGCGATAAACCAAAAATTTACCGATACCGAAATTTACAATTAGCATCGGCGTCATTTTGCCCATATCAGTATATTCGGTGTCAAAAACTAAATATGTGTTTAGGTAGGCTATAGTCTCATGTCCCTTTAAGACACTGTCCTACATCAGAGACATGACTCCATCCCATCCAGTCCATAACAAAGAGGGAAAAACAGGTGAGGAGATGGAGGACAGTTCAAAAGTTATAGCGGCTGGAGCGGTGGCTGAAGTAGACAAAGTTAATGTGGGAGGGGGTGAGCAGCTTACAGAGTAGTTATCGTACATTTATCGTTACCGAGGTGAACTGCTCAATATATCGTGATATTGATTTGGAGCCATATCGCCCAGCCCTAATTAGCAGTTTGTTCATGAAGTGCTCAGATTGTCTGTAATTTATTCAAAATCAAGGGGCATAAGATAGACAATGGAAAACAATAGCAGGTTACATTTCCTTGTCCAGTAAACTTTGCAGTTGGTGATACGTAATGGGACAGTTTATAGTCTGACATCTTCAAAAGCTAGGCATCTGTACACTAAATGACTTGATTGTTCAGCACAGTAATCACTCTAAAAATGTATTCATTGCAAATGCTTTAGCTTGTGTGCCACAGATTAGCTGTGAGGTGAGGAAGTGACAATTCTTAGAAACCGATTACGTAAATGAGAGGACATGATGACATTGATGTGCCAAGCTTTCAATTATCATTTTAAAATCCTTTAACCGTACACTGACATAAGGACTCATCTTATAACATCTTCACACCTTGGCTCAAGGAGGGATTAAAAATGAACTATTTACATCCAAGCTTGACTTTTGTTTGAAAATAGCATCTGGTTTTATTATATGGTTGACAAGCAAGTATGAGCTGGGTGGGCCGGAAAATTTGCAGTGGGATAATTCTATCTGCCTCATTATGCATGTGTCTACAGTAGTCCATGTCCATGCTTGTTAATTATTGTTAAAGGTCTGTTGGTAAAAAGAGGCAGGGATTATTTAGGCCCCCTAAACAGAATAAACACATGCAGTGCACCCTCAGACTGAAGATGCTATACTAAGACGACATCAAAGCATAAATTAGCCAGCGATTACTGGGGAAAAAGCCTTTGAGATCATTTGCACTACAGCAACAGTGAGAGCTCCTCTACAGAGAGTGACCATTATGGACGTGAACCTCCCCAGTAAGCGACGTTGACTCTAATTAAGGTTAATAAAGTTTACCGCCATGTTCCTCATATTCCTCTATTTCTTTTCGTTTCATCTTGATTTGCTTAAAGGTATTAAAAGTAATGAGAGTCTTTTGCCCCCCAGACCAGGGCTTAGTTGGAGGAGGGACACATTTGCTCACACACACACACAAACATAATGTTTTATGCATGTTTTTTAAAACAGACAACTAGGGCTTTTCCTTCATTAATTATTTGGAAAATTAATTATTGTGTAAAAAAAAGGTCTTGGTATGCACTTAGTTAGTAATTATGCAAGCTTCACTGCGCTATCAAGTTTTAAAAGCAGCAGTCTCATAACCAGATAAAATTAGAGCATAAATAACAGAGTTATTTCAAAGAACTGATCCTTAGAAATACAGTTAATCTATTCAGTAGAGAGTCAAAGAGAAGGTCCTTACTTATATAAATGTCCCGCTCTTTCCCTCATGTTTCATAAAAACCACAATATGATATTGTGTTATTTCATATTAGGAAACCTACCGGCATCAACACGCCTCTTAAACAGGAAATTCTGTGGACATCCTTGGTTGTTTCCACTTGTGGTTTTAATATGAGTTCCCATTTACCGCTCATATCTGTGGCCTGTGGCTGGAGGAACCTGAATCTCACTGTTGCTGCTGTTGCTACATTGCCTGCAGCTAAAATACAGCACTGGGCCATGTAAACTCCACCAGTCACCATTTCTGCTGACAGCAGTGGCTTATCCACCCAAACTCCCACTATGAACGAACAGCCCTCTGGCCTGAGTTTAACCAGGAGGGAATCCCTCCCCGCACCCCTAAAAACAAGATTCCCTCCCCAGTGATAAAAACGCTAGAGGTGTTTTTGCTTTCTCACCCTACTCCCTGCTCTTCCTGTGTATTTTTATGTGTTAAGAAAGAAACCAAGAGGAAGCTGGCTGGTGAAAGCACAATGGCTGCAGATGATGTTGTGTTGTACACCCTTGTGGATGGAGTCTGGCAGCTTACGCTCTAAGCTGTGTTAGGTGAAATACAGGTAGAGAAGAGATCAAATGACATGGAGTGGATTGCTCAGGGCTGAAGCTGTAGCACTGCACGAGAGAGAAAATGTTTTCAAAAATGGGGCCAAAAGAGCGACGTGAGACACAGACTTCCACTGCAGACTGCATCATTACCAAACATAACACCTGTCTGTTGCCTTTAGTTTTCTTTCTGCCAAGAAACTTGGTTCTCTTTCATGCCTTCTGAATGTTATTCCACCTCTGGTGAGGCGGCAAGTTGAGAGGGAATTGAAAATTGTCCAGCTAGCTTCATTTGATTTATCATCCAGATTAAAAAAAAACTTGAAATACTCTATAGGCGGTTAGGCTGTAGAAAACCTTTCCTCCAATGAGATGGCTTGAATATGAGAGAAAACACAGTTTTATTTCAGATAAATTACAGGTAACTGGAAGTAAGAGAAGGGTCTTGTTCTAGGTGACTGTGTCGTAGATCTAGACCATTGACTACTTGATGTTTAGGTTAGCTCAATGCTAACAGCATTATAGGGTTGCCCATACTCCTTTTTGAAATATGAAGATTATTGTTTTCCTATCTTTAAACCCTCAAATAGACTGAAATGTTAAACAACTGTGTATCAGATGAGGTGCTTTCACAAAACAAATTGAGAAGAGTGAGGCATTAAGGGAAGACTCAAGAAAGCAGACGTCCAGATTTTTCTTTTGATTTGTTGCCCAAAGAAAGACAGAGGACTACACAGACTTAGGAAGTGGTGGTATCGAGTTGTCTATTTGAACAAGGGTTTTCTGTCATTCACCAGATTAAGTAACAACATTGTTGTGATAAATCACAACAAAGTCAATACTGCTCCATTAAAAAGACAACTACAGAAGATGCCAAGCCACGGACACATCCATCATAGTGACATTTTTTAGTTTTCACATTATGATTTGTGTTTCATCTAAGACAAATATATTGGTAATAATATCAAAGTTAATGGTCTAACTTTCCTTCTCTGTGTGAATGTGACTTGCATCACCCACTAAACTAAACTATGAAAAATGTAACACAGTGGTATAACCGATTAATCTGATAAGACTGGAAAAATCACACCAAACTCTATTTATGGTTTTAATGCTTTTTTTTTTTCTTTGAGAAAACAAGACTCATAACTCAAGTAATCTGATTTTAGCCTTATTTACTCCACAGAGTGAACTTACAGATTTAGTCCACTGTTACCAATGCTAGTTTAAGTATAATACACTAAGTATATCTATTTGTGTAACATTGAAGTTTTTCTTTTATATCATTTTCATTTTGTTGTGAATATTAGTTCCTACATTTTATTGTTTTAGGAGGGAAATGTATGGGTGTAACAGTGCAGGGACACAATTATGGAGGGCAGTGTAGCTGCCCTCCATAATTGTGATCTTGAAGTGAAGAGCCCTGCCGTACCATATTGCCTTGTTGGTCTTGATAAGAGTCAAAAGAAGAAAACAGGATAATAGTATCTTTAGTTATATACAGCAAGACTGCCTCTGTTATATCTCAACACCATGCACCTTTCTTGTCATGTGTTGCAATGAGGAAATGATTCTGTAAATGTTGGCTGCTTTTTAACCGGTGTTGTTTGGCAGTATTGGTTTTGTGCATTTTGTTGAGAGACGTGCAGTCTTTAGCTGCAACAGCCCTTGAACAAACAAAACAAACTTTTCAGCAGAACCACTTCCAAAAACTGTGGCCACCAAGTCGTCACTCACACTGACAGTCACCTTGTGTGTGTGTATGAAAAGTTGGACTGCTAGAAAATCTAGATTTTCACACTCAAAAATTGTCTCTAACCACAAATATAAATTAATTGATGAATTAGATTTGCTGCCCATCCCTCAGGGTTACCAAGTTTTATTATTGTTATTTCTACATCCCAATAGCTGCTCTTCTGATTTGTAACCGTTGGTTGGTTAGTTGGTTGGTGTACAAACTATGAGTGTTACTAAAAAAAGGGCGCAATAGTCCTTCGTCCCCAGAATATTATTATGTGAAATGTGAGACTCCCGGCCACTGAACTCTATCGGCAATCTAATCCCTTCTCCATCCAAGAAAGCATACTTATCCTTCAACAAAATTGAGTGTTTTGCACATGAACTTTGGTTTGGCATCGATACCATCAGCATCTGAAAAGGCATAAAAGAGAAACATGAGATGGAACAGCAGCCCTCCACATAATGCATATTTCAGCTCATTTGTCCCATTAACAGCCTGGACACACAAGGCAGTGCCGGTGTCTCATTGACCTGAGTTCATTTATGGAGGAAAATCTATAGAGGAGGGACACATATCCATCTGCTTTCCCATTCCCCTCAGGGGGAGTCATTTGTGTACTTATTTAAGCTGTGGTCAGCCATTAGACCAGACCTCTATTGGACTGTGTGGGTTAAAAAGCTAATTACTTTCCTTCCCTGTGCTACAGGGATAACTTTTCCCAAGTCAGTTTCTTGGCAAATGTTTGGGAAAAATCTCTTGGTTGATCTAAGAAAATGAGATTGGTTTAAACCTGAGTCTAGTTTAAGTTAATAGCAATCTTGCTCATTGTAGTCCACAACAGTCGCAAGCTCTCACTCTGTAAACACCTCACAGTGGCACACATACAGCATTCACTGTAAAAAGTGAGTCAGAAAGAAGACCTACAGTTGTAATGAGGTTAAATGAGGGAAGAATGCCACTACAGTAGCAGGAGCTTGTTTCTAGTGTTTTTCTCTGACTCTGTGAAGCAAAGGGGAGGGAAATTAGGTGTGTGTTTCAGGTGTGGTTGTCTCAGTGGGCTCGTGTGTATCCTCAGTAGACTGTAGTTGGGGTCCTAATAATAACTTGAAAGTGCAAAGTCTTGCGCATGGCTCCACATAATTAGCCTTTAGCAGGAATCAAGCTAATTGCAGAGAGGTAATTGTGCACCCCTTCCAGTCTGTTTGTCTGTTACACACACACGCACGCACGCACAAGTACACCCAGATGCACACTGCACTACCTACCTTTGTGTTTCATGTTGCTTGTCACTTTGATTTCCAGATGAATTAAAAAGCATTTTAATTAGTTGACTTCTCCACGTACTCCTCTTTTCTGTGGGGAAGAAAAAAGCCACTGCGCAAGGTTCAAGTTAAGATGTGCTTTTGAAATAGGCTCAACAAATCGTGAGGGGTTACTTGAGAAGATTTTACAGTTAATGTTGACAATAGCATTAACGGTAGCTTTTGAAAAAATTAAGTTTAAGTTTATAATGTGTGTGTGTGCGCAGAGCTGGCCTGGAGGAGGAGCTGGACATGCTGAGAGTTCAGGCTGCGATGGATCGGGCCACAGTGAAGGAGCTCCACCTGTGTCTTGCACAGGAACACCAAGGTTAGATTTCTGCTGTGGTGAAGTTTTGAGAGGAATTAGAAATAACCAAGTAAAAAAATTCTTTAAAATCACCTTTTTAAAAAATGTTTTATTTTCTTTTTTCTTCTTAATTATTCTTCTTTAGATTTTACCCGAAAGCTCTCAGCTTTTCCCCAAAATGTTGTACAAAGTTCAAGGAAAAAAGAGCACCGGAAATGTCACAAGGTGGAAAAGTATACATGTTCAACATGACAACACATTTAAGCAATCCTCTTACCTCTCTGGGCCACGTGTATTGAATGAACGGAATTAATTAGACAACTCAATTAGGACTTGATCAACTCCTTGCAAATTGATTCAGAGATCAAGTAGTCCTTATCTTGTCTGCATTTATCATTCCCAACATTAAAATGCACATCCCTTTCAATCCAATCTGCAAGCTTTTATTAGACGTGGACCACCACAACCCTTGGCTTTAATTAACCAGTCAATAACAAATCTGTCCTACATCACTTTAATTTTCCCGAAGACCGCTGATGGTGTCTGTTGGAGACTCAGGTATGTGCTTTAAAGAATGGCACTAATTAAAATGGTGGGTCCTGTATTATTGACAGTCCAGTCAGGAACACTGAGAAATAACCTACTCCCAAGGCTTTGTTGCTTAGTTTTCTCATTGGCAGAAAAATGATCATCTAATGTAAGTGTTTCTCTTAAACCTGGGTTCCTGTCTGTATCCTGCACTTCCAGTTATTTTACTTTTTTTAACCAAAATGGTCTTATTTTACAACATGACAGTATTTGCCTAGCCTAACATAATGTCAGATCAAAGGGTAACTTGCTTACTTCAGAAACTGGCTCAACACACTTTGCTCCTCATAAATATTAAAGTTTCACTCCCCTTTAAAAGATATTGCTTTAAGTTTATGGGCATTGGTAGCACAGGTTTAGATTTTCACTGTTACCAACTGTATTTTAATAAACATGCCACCTCTAGCAAGCATATTTGCTTGATGGTTAAAAATATTGCAACTTTGGAGATTTCTGAAAGAACTTTGGTTTGTTTTTTGCTTAGATTGTTTTTTTATTTTTTTTAATAAAAATACTCAAACATTGTTTCACAAAATGTTTTATCAGGGCACTTTAATTGTTAATTTCATTTTTGGTTTATAGTTGACATAATGAATAGATCAGTTAAGCATATGCATCATGAAGAAAACCTCTGACTGTGTGAGTCAGTATTTTGAAAATGCTTTTCAATTAGCAGCAGTATTTTGGGTTTTTACATCAAGACTAAAACCAACATATTTGGAGTCTGATGAGAAGAATACCAAATACTTCTCAAAAAAAAGTTTTATGAAACTTCATTAAAATTGTAAATGGTCACAAGGTTTGCTCCTGAAGAACCTCTGTGACCTGATCAAAGGGAGTGCATGTTGGAGCGCTCACGCCAGGATCACACTAACGAAAAGCAGCAGATGAAAAGAACAAGGCCTTTGTGCTACAGCCCATGAGGAGACAAGGGAGGGAAGTTAATATATGCTGCAGTGCCAGGACCTCCTCCAACAGTGGGTGACTAGGGAGCCACCACGTCTTCTTATCAAGGTAGTGCTGAGGTGCCAACTCCCAAGCCACCGGCATTGGAGCAGGATAATTGTCTCCCAACCTGGTTATGTATCCAGCAAACCCGGCAGCCCTCCTGTCCTATTTGGTGCTCTGTCTGATTGAATGTGACATGCTGGGAAGACAAAAGAGCAGGCTAATTCAAAGTAACAAACTTCCCTGGGCAGAGCGTCAAATGCAAAGCAAGGGAGCAGCAGCTCCTCACAACAAATCCCTCTCTCTCCTTCTCTGGCCTCTTTTTTATTCAACTTTGCCTCCAAAAGATCAACTGACCTGCAAAGTCAAGGTCCTGAATATTTAATGTTTCCAGTCTCATTCTACAAATCCGTTTAACAAGGGAATGTGAAAACAGAAAGTTTGATGTTGTTTTGTGTTGCCCCAGCATGTACTTTAACAAAAAGGTTTTTTTTTTTCATTACTGTATGTCAAACAGTGATGCTGAGCCCTGTCTGTGTATGCCCATGAATCTGTGTGCATCAAATCCCAAAGCACTTTGACTGCATGCATTCTGTTGTTATCAGAAAGCCTAAATCATCTGTTTCCCAAAGCCACTGTTGAAGTTCTCAAAATAGAGCAGCATGTTGGTCTGCGGAGATTAGATGTCTATTTGGGGAACACAGTGGACTACAAAGCAGTGCAGCCCGGGGCTGTGTATTCTCGAGGGATTCCAACACTTCTCTTCATTTGTTTAAGATCCCAAGAGAGAGATTGCACATAACATGTATCAGTATGTGCTTTTGAACACTTTTGTTTTATTTCCACATGGAATACTAAATAAAACACCTTCCTGTTAATTGGTAGAGAAAAAAAACTATTTGAAAAAAATAAAAACAAAACCTGATTTTCAAGTGGTAAAATTTCAAGTTCTTTTGAAAACAGCAGTAGTAATTCTGTGTTCTTTCTGGTTTGAATGGCAAAAAGGGAGAAGGAAACTGGACCTTCGGAAAGAAATTAGACCTTAGTAAAGCTAATTGATTTAATGTACCCTCTTCATTATCTTTCCATTGATTGCCGCTTGGGTTTGACACTTTGTGTCACAATAATAAGCTTTGTTCCCTCTTGCAGAATTGCTTCACAAAGTGGAAAAAGAGCGCCAGGTCAAAAGCAGCACTCCGAAAAAGCTTTCTGTTTCTTCAGAACGAATGGAACAGTCATTTAAAAAGGTACAGCACTATGCCATCTCTAAGTGTTCTTTGTCACTGCCAATAAAAGAAACCCGACAAAGCCATATTTAAGCACAATACCTCTCAGAAAATATCAAGAATGATGAAAAAGTGTTCTCACTCTTTGGAATCGGTCATTAAGTCATTTCCAAGTTAAGTGTCACTTAGTCACAATTATTTCATAAATGCACATCATAACTGCAGAAGTAGGGTGAAGAAAACTGCTCAGAAATCTTTTAATACGGCATTCAGCAACAGTTGTTTTGGAGATGTACGTTATTGTACCCACGTACTTTAAAGCCCCTGTTTGCATATGTTTATATCCCTTCATAGTAGTGAATCATCAAAAGTGAGGAGAGCAGTCTAATTTTGTTTGAAGGATACTGGGCTTCACCAGGGGGCAGAGTAAGAACCAAATAAAAGGGAGCGATTGCCTGGAGGCATGAACCCAGCAGGCATCCACTGTTCTCTTTAACAGTCTCCACCAAAGATCTAAAAAACAGACTAAGTGCTCCTGGTTGCCGCCTAGTTAGGGGTGATGAGAGTAAGTGGATACCCATCAGATGTTTAGAACCCAGCCAGGCTGGCTAGTGGGTAATGTTGGTCCACTTTCTGGCTTAGACATTCAATACAGCTCTTACATGTTAGCAAAAAACCTTGACAAAAATGCAGAGAGAGGAAAATACACAGGTGTCAATAAGAACTGGTCTTTAAATAGAAATTTTCACTGATGAACTGCAGAACACAAACAACTTCACATGTTAATTTCACTAGTGTTTCTATGGCAGTATGTTCAAAAGTTGAAGTATTTTTTTGTTAGCAAACAACAGATATAGGATGAAAATAAAAATGGTTTGCACCTTAAAGGCCCTGTATCTCTGGTTCCTTCAGATTGTACAACTGGAGCGAATGATGATATCACTGGAGGGTGAGACAGAGAGGCTGAGAGAAGAGAAAGAGCAGCTACTTGAGGACAAGGAAGACTTGGCACACAACTGCCGCAAACTTAAAGCCTCACTGGATCATCTGCGAACCCAGGAAGCTATCCGTGAGGAGGCAGCTCAGGCCCAGATCCTGGCTCAGGGGGAGCAGCATCGCAATGAAATCATGGCCTTGGAGGCCCAACTGGCAGCCTCTCAAAAAAAGGCTACCAAGCATCATCATCAGCTGCTGAAGCTAAGACAAGAATCAGGGATCCTCAGAGCAGCTAGGGACTTCTATAGGAACCGTGCAGCAGGACTGATTCGGGCAGGTGGGACCGTCAGCACCATTAGCCACAAGGTCAAATCGAAAACAACCAGGTCCCATCAGCGCAGCCACCAAACAGTCAGCCCCAATCAAGCCATCAGCCGGCAATGCCAAAGCTCCAGTCCCACTAAGGACGAGTGGGAAGACATAAGCATAGATAGGTAATAATACACACACATACACACACACAGACACAGATGCTCCTGTTCTCACTGCCACCCACCTCATTATTTTGAGGAAGTTGGAGTTGAGAGAGCGGGCTAGCTGGATCGTGGGGGGCCACGCAGCATCGAGGGGACAACGTGCATATGCAAAGCGTAAGCAAATGGGTGATTGAATTTCATTGTCTGTCTATTTGGTATTCAGGAGCCAAAAGAAGAATGCGAGCAAGAATGATAGAGAGAAAGAGAGAGGAGGGGGAAACTACTGTCAGATCCTTTGAAATATCCTGGGACGCCTTGCTTGGAGCTTATTGACTGAAATTTGCATGCAAAATTAGCCACCTCTCTGTGCAAAGTTGAACGGATGCCAGAAAAGCCCAGGGATAAGGGGGCCGCCGAAGCCTTGATACCTTCCAGTGATGCCATTTTCATGCAGTAGTCATGCTACCCCGAAATTGACAGTTTGGCAGTTTGATTTAATTTACTGGTCCTTTGCATATTCACTAACCCCCCCTTGACAGCGCTAAGGATCCTCCTGCAGGTTCCATGCTCCCCCCACTCACCTATCTACTCCATCCATACACACAGCCACACAAGCACGGAAGCTTGCCCCACCCTGTGTATAGTCATGTTGTGTATCTAGTGGCATGTCAATTCACAAATGTGTGTGCGTTACTTTTTTTTCCTCCAGTAACCCCATCACAACACACACAAACGCTCTTCCTTTCAATCTTACCCTCCTCCTCTCTCCTCTCCTTAATTTAGTTGGATAAATTTTGAATGACCCTACTCGGCTCAGTACCAGATGTCTACAAGCTGTTTAACACCCTCTAAATTAAGAACCATCGACAGTAATTATTTCATGTATGTTTTATGCAAAAAAGCCACTGAGCCAACATTTATTGAGTGATGGTCGGAATGATTTGATTTCAAACACTCAGTGCTAGCGCTGATATTTATTTCCCTTCCCCTTTTCTCCTTGTGTGCCTCTCTCCATCCACTCGGTCCTACTAACTCACCGTCTCCTCACAAACTAATTCATCAGCTTGTAATCCACCCCATCTCTATCCACATGAGGCCGTTTAACAGGGACTGGGTGCAGCTATGCCCTGCTTTCCTAATGCCTCTCCATGTGGCTAATAAGCAGCAGTCTAATATACCCTTTACCTGAGAGGAGGATCTAAGTGGATTTGTGAAGAAGGGGCCTAAACTGAGATGTTGTCTTATTTAAGAACCTGTCAGCTGATTTGTTACTGTAAAGCCTCTTGTGTCTCTTATCACACAGCGGTCTTCTTCAGCGATATGTCTGGTTGGCACCCCTGGAAATACAGTATTTCTGCCTAAGGAAGTTTGGCCTAAATAATGCCAAATAAAGATGTCAGACTTGTTAAGGGTACTGACAAGTCTTTGTTTTTTTCCCCACTCCTTTTTATCACTGCCTCTGGCTCCCTCTCTCAAGTTCTGAGCTGCTGCTGGGGGCAGATGACCATTTTGAGCACATCAGCAGTTTTGCTAGGGAGAGGGGCATAATAAGAGTAAGGCAGCAAAGTATAGCTATTTTCCTGATTTGTATCACTTTACACTATATGTGTTTTTAATTGTGTGCATGTATACGCTGCTGGAGTACACAACATAATAGGTGTGATTCAGGATTCAAGGCTTGTGATTCCCTTCATGTGACCGTGATGTAGATGATTTTACTTCAGCTATGTTTGTGGTATTGTCTTGGCATTATCAGTCCTCTTAGGGTTGTTGATCTCATCAAGGCTTTAGACTGTTTACATAAAGAAGATATGATTGGAGCAGAGAAAGTCCCAGTCATGTCTCCCATTTGTTTAAGATTTCATCGATGATTATTAGCTTCTTATAGATTAATCATGTTTTGTTCTCCTATTATCCAAACACATAAACCTGTATCGGGCTTATCCAAACTTTTTTTTTTCTTATGTAGTCAAACTGGGGCACTGACTTCTAACTGGTTTCTATAACTCATTAGTTTAAAGATATAAAGTTACAATTTTTGCCCGGTTAGAGGCACGGCTGACTTGATTGACATGATGCCACACTGTAGATCTTTGCTAGAGAGCCAAACTCACCTCTTTGCCTGTAGTTTGGTTGACCAAATGTTAAAGTTGAGTCTGCTATTCCAATATGGTGGCTGGACTGCAGACATAAATGATTAATGTCACTGAGGCTACACTATAACAGTTTTTTTTTTTTTTTTTTTGTATTTTTGAGTTTAAATCTGTATTTGATCTTTAGAAAAATATATTTGAAAACCTTGTGAGATGACTCCATATTTGTAATTGCATGGCTAAATTGTAATGAGATTTCTGAAGCTGTCTCCTGCATAAAGCAGGTAGTTTTTCATTACACACTTCTAACCCTGCTCTTAGTGGTGTTGATTAGTGTTCCTCAACAAGTCCCTGTGCCCCTTCCAGACTGAGTTTAACCGTGACTAGCCCCCAGTCCTGTCATGTTCCAGTTAGATCCTCTCTCTGTGGTCTTTACCTCTGCTGCTTCTCTCAGGCCCCACCTTAATAAACCCGCCAGCGTAAATGTCACTGGCTTCCACCTTCACGTCAAAGGTCACTGTCAATAAACCTGTGTGTGTGCGTGAGTGTGTGCAAGCATGTGTGTTTGTGCGTGTGTCTCAGAAAGCCCTTACCGTGTGTCCATCAGATGCAACTTTGCTTGGCTCCGCTCAGCCGTGCCTCTCACACACGTCTGTCACACACAGAGGGCTAATGAAGGCCACAGCCGCTCTCATACATGTTGATGCATTCACCATCAGCAACAGACACTGCAGCTTTTCACTTAATTTACACCCACATTTACACTTCCAGCTCAGAAATTGGATGGGACATTGATTTTCTGTTGGAAGCAGGGGGTGGCAAAATGCACATATTTTTTCTTGATGTCAACTAAATCAACCATAAAAGGTAAATTGGATTTTTGTCAAGTGCTGGTGCTTTTAGAAACAGGGTTGGTGGTTCAAATTCTGGCCTGTTCTAACCCCATATCTTTCTTTTTCTCAACAGTGACTGCGATGAGGAGTACTCCGACAGTCTCAACAGCGGGCCTTTAGGCCCAACATTACACAGACAGCGAGCTATCAGACAGGTTGGTCTGCCATCAATTTTCCTAAGCTTAAAAAAGAGTAACCTTGTTCTTCAGTCTGGTGTTAATTTGGAGTAGTGTCCGTATTCTCAGGCTGACTTCTGTATTTATCAGACTAATAAACTGATTTTTAGCGTGTAAATATTTTATATATTTGTCACATACTTGTTATAATCCTGCTATAGGAGTTGTGTGGCTGTTGTTTAAGTAATATCTGAAAAATACTGATTCCAAACATTCAAAATTACTCATAGTAGCATTTTCAGTGTCTTGTAAGGCTTATGAGTAACACAGTACTAAAACTGCTCTACCTGAGCTAAAATTATCTGCATTTTTTAAATATTTTGTCATGTGCTATTCAGCCCCCCCCCCAGACAAATCATTCCTGGGACCACTGTTATTTGGTTGGCCATTCTCTGCAAGAAGAACTAATTTCATTCAAGCAATTTGTCTCTTTCTAAAGAGGATGGCCACAGCACAACAGATGTGGTCGTGGATATCATTTGAGCCATTGTCAGAGTGATTAAATGATTTATAGAAATTCAACCAATAAAAGTCAGTTTTCCTGTTTAAAACATATAAACACTGAACAGTTAGTTTTGTCACACTGTCTTGGCTATTGGGGTATAAAACTGAGATGAAACTTGTCTGAAAATTTCAACTTAAAAATATCAACTTTGTCCACAGTGCCTGAAGATAATACGACTGCCGAATTAATAGAATAGGAAGTCTGATGTGTTGACCATGTAGCACATTTAAACTGGCTTTTTTTAACCATTGCAACATAAAAATTGAAATTTTTCACGAGTGAAATTCTTACTATTAAACGTCAAGGTAAAATACTAAAAGATTAAAACCTTGTCATACACTATATGGAACTTCATTGAGAATTAAATAATTAAACAAAAAATTTTAAAAATATAAATATAATTGGGGGGGGGGGGATTTTGAAGTTGCCATACTTTTTAATGGTTACCTTCGCTACATCTCTGCTTGTTGGAGCTATTTCCTCTCCCTTCACCCTCCACACTATGAAATCAATAGGCCTGGACCCTTGCTCTTGTCTGCATCAAACCACTTCAGAGCAGGACATGGCAGCTCCAAACCCCAGAGAGATATGTCCGTCAAGAAGAGAGATGAAGAGAAGTATAGGGGGACCTTTAAAGATATTCTGTCTTCCCCCTCTTCCCCTCTCTTTCTTTTCTTAAGAAGGTGGAGAGGAAGAGAGGCTTGTTGTTGTACATGTAGCCAGGGAGCTGTCAGGACCCATACTCTCAGATCCCCTTTAGTTAGTCTGCTCCAGATCCGCTAAATGTGCCCATCAGCTCCTCCTGGGCTCATCGCCATGACAGTCCTGGCCCCTCACGACGTGCTATGTCACGAACCAAAGGGTTCATCTCCCTTCTCCTCTGTGTAAGGCACCGTGTGATCAAACCTGGCACTGATCAAATCCTACCTGACCCCATATACAAAGGAAACAGGCAGAGAAGAAGGAGGGTTGGGGGGCTTCTTTGATGTCGCTACAAACGAGGGTGCATTTGGGAGGTGTCACGCACACACATGCACATGCACACTTACGAGTGCAAATGACTCTACACACATGTCATACTGTAGGAGTGAATCAGGGCTTTGAGACAGTGATTGAACAAAAGCGGCATTTGCAAGCATCCGTCAGAAGTAATATCCAAGCTGAGAGGTGTTCAAGTTGAAGTCGGCTGAGCACGCTCAGGTGAATTACTAAAGCGCAGGGTGATTTGTCTTGTCGCGTTAAACTGAGCAAACCCTGTGATCATGGTGTCATTATGGGCTGCGTATCAAGAGCACAGCATGTCAACCAGTTGTGTTACATTAAACAGCTGCTTTTCATCTCCGGCTTTCCTGTTCTTACAGTCCTACAGGTGTTCAAGGATTTCAAATAAAGATGCAGGAGGATCTCACAGGAAACACTCTGGTGTTCTGGCTCAAGGTAGAATAAATCTTTTTAACACTCAAGCAGAACTACAAAAGCTGATCAACTTTTAACTTAAGCGGGAAAAACACAGAATGTATGTACATGCTGTTGATTGGAAACAAGTTCATAAGAAGTCAACAAGATTTTTTTTTGCTCTCTTAGTTTGTTTCAGAAGCTGACATTCCTGAATCGGTTATAAATAAAAAGTGATAATCACCCAAGTTGTCAAAAATATCACAGTTTTCACTTGCGCATACACAAAGGCACTTTCATATACACCTGTTAACTCCCAGCAGTAGTTTCCAAATAGGGATTTGTTCTGTGCACTTGTCAACTGAGGTGCCTGCATGTACTTCCTTCTGTTAGACGATGAACAGCATGAGCCCTGGGACCAAGGGACGGGAGGAGAGAAGAAGAAGTGGAGGAGGAAAAGGATGCTAATGAAGACCCAGCGCTGCTCCTCCTCTTCTCTGCAGCAGCGCGTGGAGTCCCTGCAGCGTCACATTGACATACTGCAAAGTGCCAGGGAAGACGCTGTGCTTTCAGCCAAAGAGCTGCGAAGGGCCAATGAGAAGATCACGGCGCAGCTCAACTCCCTCTCCGAGAAACTGTGCAGCAGCAGGCAGCTCACACAGGTAACTGAGGGGAAAAACAAGGGGGATGAGTAAAAAGTTGTAAATGTTTGGAGGATTTTGTCTTTCCTGTCTTTTTTCATGGTTCTGTTTTATTTTCTGAAAGTACAGCAGATTCACTTCCTTCGCCCAAATGATGCTTAATAAGTGTTGCTGACAGGCCTGTAAAGGTCATCACTCCCTCTGACCCTGCTGGTGTCTCATTCCACTTCACGTTTCAACAAGCCAGTTCTCCACAACAGTTCATGTCACTAGAAGTCTCTTCATAAACACCTCTGAGTGTGCACGGTGGACAAACATACTCAACTTATTTACTTATCTAATACCTGCCTGCAGGTAGAAAGCCCTCAGACCCGGTATAGACTGAGAAAAACAGCCAGCACCTTTGCCCTGAACAGTATCTTGCCTGTCAGGGTCTCCATGTACACATGAATGTATGAGCACTCACCTGCAGACACAGCATGTGTAGTTCGTCTTGCAGGAGCCCTTTTTTTGTAAATTCTGTTGTAGTTGGAGTCAGTGAGGACTCACTGGCCGCCTGGTTAGGTGCATGTGTCTGTATATTTACTGTATAGACCAGCACAGATGCAGTGTATCGGTTTTGTGCACACAGGTCAGAGTTCAGCCCTTTTTATGTTGCTACCTAGGAAGTGGCCTTCCTGCTCCGACCCAGGCAGCTGATTGCTGAGGCCCAACGAGACCTTAGACTCAGACACAGCAGTCAAGACACTCGTGTACTCACACACATACACAAATAAACATTGTGGACATAGGGGGAATTGTTGTCTTCCTGTTTGTTTCCTCTCTGCTCCTGCAGTATTAATGCCACTCCACCAGAGAAAGTTGGAGCCAGCTGGCCAGCCTGAGCCAGGTCTTGTTGCCCTCTCTGAAAAGGGCAAAAGGTGATGGACTTTGGGTTTGTTCCAGCCGGTCCTGGCCAACTCTCAAACTAAAACTCTCTGCTTGTAATTGGCTTAGGACAGCCTCCACAGGGGCCATCATGTGAGAAGTAGCATGGCAGTTTCACAGAAACTTGTTTGTGTTGCTCTGCCTCCTGATCCTGTGGACATTGTCTTCTTACCTTCTTTCCTCCTCCCTAATGGCCTGCCTTAAAATATTCCTAACTTTGTAATAACTCTTTCTCTGTACTTTTTTATTAGTCGATTTTAAAGACCTTTTTGTTGTTTCAGTCTAATTTGCTGCTCACAGTGCACAAGCCTGAGGAGAGCATGTGTTCAGCAATCTGGTGACTCTTTGATCAGACTGTCCACGGAGATGTTTTTATCAAAATGAAAATGTAACTCTTGCTCTCAGGCTTGCGGTGCCAAATATCTGGATTCTTACTGTTTTTCCTTTTCTTTCTTAAAAAAAACACATATTTATCCTGATGAGAGTTATTCATTTATTACAACTTGAGACTTTTATTTTGATTTCTCACTTCTAAATTAATTGATTGTATCTTTCACAATGACTACCACTGCAATAATATACAGTGTCTACAAAAATGAAATATTAAATATACAGTGACATTATACAAACCCCTTTTTGGGAAAAAAAATAAAGATGATGAGGATGATCCCCTGTATGGCAACTAATACTAGATCAAAATGTGATCAGTACAGCTTTAAATAATGACACAAAAATGGCTTGAGTTGTAATATACCCGATTATTCCTAAAGTTGACATAAGAAGCATAATAAACCTCAGGTGACAGGTGAAATACACTTCTCTAATTCTACTGGGTTTAGTGCTTGATGAAATGTACTTGTCACCAGTATCGACCAAATCCAGGATCATTTGGTTGTCTGGATTATCCCCCCTCAGTCATTTCCTCCCTGTTTTACTTCACTCTACAGTGTACTGTGACATTGCCTCCTGAAATTACACAGCTTACCTCTATACGTTTGCAGTGTCCTACCCTCCCTAAACATGTAGGGGGCTGGGATTAGCACAGGATTAGGGGCTGCAACAGACATAACTGACGGAGCTCAAGACATTATTTAAATTTCAATGATTGCTTCTCTAGAAATCACATAAAACCTCAGACCAGGAGAATGAAATACAAAATGACTGGGTTACTTGCACAAGGTGACAACTTTGTTATGTTTCCCTTATAGCAACACATTTATTGTCATTTTGCATGCGTTACATTTACATGCATCAGCTGTAGGTCTTTGGCAAGTGGCTATTTCGGCAGTCCAAGCTTCCTTATTTATCCGGCTAATGATTGGGTATCACTTGTAACAGATTAAGTGACACCACAGAGAGAGAAAGAGAGAGACAGACAGAGAAAGGTGTCCTGTCTTCCAGCCTAATGGACTGCCAGCACATCAGTCCATGTCAGTGTCATTTCTCACCAGAGCTGAAAATGGCTTGTGAAATCAAAGCCTGTCTTACAGGAAGTGTCATCAATGCCACTCTTAATTCGTGCACCACTGCCACTGCAGCCTCAGCCTCACTTTTCACTCTTTTTCTCCCTCTCCCCTTCTCTCTGTCTCATTCGTTCTTCCCAACCCCCCCCCAGGGAAGTGGCATGCACGCCTTTAACAGAGTAAAGGAAACCTAAAACAAGAGGGATTCTATTAAAAGGTGTCAGCCAGCAACCAGATATCAATAACCTCCATGTATGCAGAGCAGAGAGCAAACCCCTGGGAATCTGCGGTTTCACTGGGGTGTGTGTTTGTGCTGTGTGTGTTCTAGCCTTTACCCTGTGTGTGCAGCATACATCTTTATGTTTCATGTCTCCTTTGTATGTCATCAAGTATTTTTTAAATGATACTGGATCAGGTATTTGTGGCAGCATTGAACCCAACATACAGAAGCATGTTTTTGTGACATATTTTCTTAAAAGAGCTTCTTTGAGCTGCATCATACACATGTGGTTATTCTTCTCCTCAGATGCTCATGTTCAGACTTATTGATAAACTGTTCATTATAAGCTTGTTCCAGTATGGTTTATAATGTTTAACCCAACCTCTCACCAAATGCTGAACTCCCTCTGTCCCACAGTGCTTGCGGATCCTGCAGGATGGCTTTATTATGCATGCCAATCACAGAGAGAATTAGGCCCTATCGACCAGACAACGGCATAATCTGTCTTCTAATTAGCATAAAAAAGGAGATTTATCGCAGCTGAGATGTTTAGCTCTCGCACCTCTCCTGTGGCAGCACTTACAGTTTTTCCAACATATTGTGTTTACTGTTTCTCTGTGTTCATCCTATTCATTTGATGTCAATTTAAAATGCAGCCTTTTTCAAGTTCTTGTTTTTTTCCCCACTGTATTACATTTTTGCATTGTAAAGACAAAAAAGTTTTGATTTTGACCAACATTCTAAATTTGATTAAATGTTATGTCTAATCTTGAATTTTTACACCTTCCATCCTATAACAAAAATAAAGGTATACTTGTTTGTTTGGCTAAACTTTTTTTGTAGTATCCTCTACAGGAACCTAGCCCACTAATTCTGTCTGTCTGTCTGTCTGACTGTCGATCTGCAGAAGCTGACCTCTGACCTGGTTGGTATGGAGCAGCAGAAAAAGGTTCTGGAGATGGAGCTGGAGCAATGGAGGCAAATTAAATTCCCCCAGCAATCTGTACCACCACCAGCACCAGCACCAGCACCAGCCCCTGTAAACACAGAGTGCTCCTGCCAGGGCAGGTCCTTGTCTGCTCAAGCTGATACAGCTGCCCAGACCCTGGGAGCTGAAATCAAACAGCTTCAATCCAAGTTAAAGGTTTGTGGTTATAAGTTGCATGTACAGCTCCAGGATTAATGAATTGCCCCCATGCTTAGTCTTATTATACACGCTTTATTAGATTAAGCTCCTTATTTCAATGATAGTGTTAGGCATCATGTTCATTTCCAATTTAGTGCACTATGGAGCTTCAGTGGATTATCCCTTCAATAACAAAGGACAGTTTGCTGGTACTGCTACTGTTTAGTTGAGCGGAAAGTTTTGAAGGCACAAGGAAGTCAACTGACAAAAGTAAGAAAATACATTTATAAATTTTGCACCATTTACTTTGAACCTTTTTATGGTGCCTTTTGGCTACTGATTATGCAGCATCAAACAATTTTTCAACATTTGAGAACTTGAGAATGTCAGACTTTTGTTATTTGGAGAATATACTTTCCTGGTGTTTTACCAAACATCGATATTTCTGAGTCACTTAAACATTGCAGTGGTTTAAACAACCGGTAGTCCTTGAGGACTTAAGAAACTCTGAAAAAAATCTATCAAGGTTTAACTTTCAAATCATGCAGCATTAAAAAAAACAAACTCTAGGGCCTTTCATTTTACACCCAACATCACCTGAAATTGCATGTGATTTCGACATGAATTAGCATTTCTTATCATTTGATCTTATTACAGAGTACCTGTCAGAAAGATGAGAAATGGGGGATAGCAGTAGAGACGTGCCCTACATCATAGGGAATGAGGTGCGAGTGCTACCATCATATTATCACCTTCACTGCAGTCAGCTCATCAGTGTCACCCAGCAGATTGCTGCTGTCGTTACACACAGATGAGGAAGTCATGTTAGGTGACAGCAAAAGGGAAAGGAAAGAGGTGCACTGTGGGGGTGCATGCACTGAGTTAGCGCGTTGTCAAAAGCCTGCACTGATAGGGCTCTCACAAGGGACAAAGGGCCCTTTAAACCAAAGTGAACATGCACATCTAAATATCCGTCATTCCTTTTGATCAGAAGCCAACCTGTCATTGTAAGCCATGTGTCTTAATCTGTCATACTTCAGGGAGAGAAGAAATCAAAAATAAAAAAAGGTAAAAAGAGTGAAAGTTCAATATAATTAAAAAAATGTCTTCTGTGAGATCTTTACATGTTTACAGTGTAAGCCGTATTTAAATGCTCTCAGTAGCTCAGGTCTTAAAAGTGCTATTTTTCCTAATTACTCCCCTTATCTTATCTACTTTGAAAATCGCTGCCTTCTCCTTAACCTCTTTTAGCACCTTCCACCCTCCCGCTGTAACTATAATGAGGTGGCATGCTGTGCCTGACCTGTCATCAGGCGTGTCGTGAACACCGTCCTCACCCCCTTTCACACACACACTCACACAAGCGCATTAACAAACACACATACATTTTGTGCCCTCCCCCCAGAGTGCAAGTGCGGAGGTCACAAGGCAGGTGGCGGCTAACAAAGCCCTGCGAGGCCAGCTCCAGGAGAAGGAGGACAAGCTCCGTCAGCTGCAGGACAAGTTAGTTTTACACCCTTTTTTCTTCAGTGGTGTTGTTCAGTCGTGCTTTTTCCCCCACAATGCAACTCTTACTCTTCCTTTTTTCAGTTCTCATCCCTCTTTCATTCTTTGTCTCTGCATCTCCCCGTGTCTCTGTCAGTGTTTGCACTTCCTCTACTGCTCTCATCTGTAGTGTTTGATTCCACCGTGTGGCAGCACTCTGTCTGCTCCACTCCACTCAGGCATTCCTCTCCTGTGTGTGAATCATCTGTGAAATTATGCATGTTCTCATGAGCGAGGATAAAAAAAAAAGAAGAAACTAAAGGAATTAGTGTGTGTGCATATGTGTTCGTGTGGGTGTCTTGTGTGTCATGTATAGAGCTGTTGCTTATGTGGGTAGCTGATGTGGGGTGCTGATCAAAGCAGTGTATTGATTGGTTGTGTGCCGCAGGAGGGACCGTTTTGGCCCATGACACTAAAACCCACACAGCATCACTCTGGCCTGTGGGCCACTAGCCCTAATGAGTTACAAGGTTCACCCACTGTAGCTCTTGCTGCATTTCAGAGTCAGAATGCATGGCTATACACAATCCACTCAGGGAAACTGTCAAGATTTAAACAGAGTTATGAAAAGCATAGTGTATCTGCATCTCTGGATTTCATCTTTGAACTGAGGGAAAGGTACAAAGAACAACTTGGCTTTCCTTCCTCTTGCTCTCTATGTCTAGTATTCTGTGTCCTCTGCCTGCCACTCTTAATAATGCATCCAGGGCATGTGTACAATCATAGTGTATTCGTGTTTGTGCGTGACCAAAGCACAGCAGATCACAGCCAGACAGAGCGAACATCCCTCTGCTGAGTTTCCACGACAGCCCGTGCCTCTTGTCACACACTCACTCACTCATTCAGACACACAGAAGTCTAACTCGCCATCTCTTCTAGCCTGCCTCTCCATTTGCCTCCATGGAGGGACCCCTTCTCAGAATGAAAGACATGTCTAGACGTCTCTGAAATATACATCTCAGCATACACACAGGGAGCTAGGCTGCTTCGCCTTAAAGAAGAGAAGGGGAAAAAAAGAAATGAATTTCAAAGTACACCGACGTGTCCTCAGTCAATATCCGGCACTATGGCCCTGCCTTATTTATGAAGCTGCTTCTTTCATCTTTAGCCCTGTTGTCTATCAGCCACATGAAACGTCCACCCGTACTCCATTCTTAACAGCATACACAGAAATATTCACTCTCGCTCTCACATACTTCAGACTTCTGACTGTTATCATTACAATACACGCATGTTTGAAGAACAATATTGCCAACAAGTGCAGAATAAAGGGAACAAACGTGTGAGTGATTGGGATACAGTTTGAGGCTCTCTTTTTCTCTCCCTCCACTAACACTCATAAATAGAGATCACACACTCGAGCAGAGGCTCCATCTATCCCTCATTCTTTTTTATCCTCTATTCTTTTTGGGGTGCAGAAGAAGGGAACATCTAAAATAAATGTTTTCGATCTAATTGCCATTAGCATCGGGGAAGATGGAGCTACTGGAGCTCTTATTGCTGCTCTCTGTCTTTAAGTCAACACCAGACAGTCATCTGAAAGGTTCAATATGGGTTTTCTCATTAATGGCCAAATCCAAGGGGTAACCAGGCAGCGCTACTTCTCCCCAAAGACCCCAGGCTAGACTCCTCTCTCATTTAATTTAATGTCACTCCAATAGGACAAGCTCACATTTATTTAGCCAGTCTGCCCTCAGGCATCCATCTACCTAGGGAGACTGGGACATTTACTTACACGAAAGCATTTGCTCTAGCGTTTCGTCATCTGTTTATTTAAAACACACAGTCGATGATGCACGTGGGAGCTAAGAGATCCACTACATCTTAAAAAAAAAAAAAAAAAACAGCAAAAAATCGTTTTAATTAACTCCTTCTGTATGATCTTTATTCTATTTGTTCTAATTCCCTTAGGTATAGATAACCATGAACGGCTCATATTTGCCTTTTATGAAAACAGAATAAAATATACTAACATACTGAGCCCATTTAAAGCACGGCCTCTCTGGGTGTTCAAAAAACTGGAATATTAAACATGTCAATACAGCAGATTATCAAAATAGGAAGTGACATGAGGTGTGTGTTTGCAACAGTCAGGACATGAATTTCTCACAATACAAAGATCTCGCCTCTCTTTTGGGAAGTATTATCAGCGCAGCACACCATGCAAACAAACAACATTTTTTTTTTCAGAGAGTGTTTCATTTATAGTCATTCACAAGCTGAGTCCCCCTGTTGATGTGTTTTTATATGTGACAGGGGTAATGCTGCGTGGAAAATAATAAACATTTAAATGTTGATTACAGTCTCTCTTCAAGTAGTGTCACTGCTGATTCCAAATGCCGTTAGTCAAAGAGGACTCCCCAGTCACACTTAGTGCAGCATTCCCCGGCAGAGCACTTGTTCTAATATATGCCAGATAGAATTATATATGCATCCTTATTTCACCCCCCTGCACTTACCCAAACAGCATGCCAGTGTATTTAGTTGTCATAATGAGCTGTCATGCTTGATGCACTGCACGGGGACACTTTGCCTGCCAGCTTTGTGCATGTGAGTGTGTGTGTATGTGTTTGAGTCTGTCTCTCTGAACATCTATATTTGTTTTCTATTAATACCATATGCAAGTGTGTGCTGTACATATACAGTACATGTGTGTGTGAGTTAAAACTGAATACATAGTTGTTTATTTATGCTATATGTGGGTGCTTTGACACGTGTTAACAGAGTGGGTCACACAGAAAGAGATGTGAACATGAAGAGGCAGCTGGTGGAGGATTTGAAGACGAGACTGAAGTTCCTGCAGGAGATGGAGAAAAGTTACCGAGGACAGGTGGAGGAGCTGGAGAAGAAGGTACACACAATGATCACAGCTCTTAAAATATCTCAGGAGAAAACAGACTTCTTAAGTTGTGTGATTTGGACAAAGGGGGCGTATAGTTTTTTATTGAGATATCGGTTCAAGCTTGTCAAAAACCTGCAAATTGTGGAGGCCAGATGAGTAAAACCTTGACTGGCTGTTGAGGATTGCTATTTTTGTCCCTAAAGCCCTAAAAAGAAGACAAGATAATATCTTTAGTGTGATTGTTATTTTTTTTTAAACTTAAATGTTAAACAACAATTGATAGCCCAACTAAGCACCCTATCCCCGAACTGTATAAAAATTCATGGTTATCTGTAACCTCATGTGGGCTGGGCATAAAAGTATACATGTGTTAGTATAATAAAATAAAACCATCCAACTTGAAACTTTTAATTTCATTCAATTAAGTCAGTGAGAAAAGTCAACAAATGAAATTTTTAATGTCAAAGACCAAAAGTTACTTTACGTGTGTCTTCACACCCCAAAAATGTAATGTTAACATCCAGTTTCTGAAGCTTTATTTAGCGCATTCCTTATTTGGTGTTGTTTTTGTATCTCCACAGGTGAAGACTTTATCAGAAGAGGCCACTAATAGGAAAGCCCTTATTGAATCTTTAAAGAGGAGACTTTCTGTTGCAACCACAGAGAAAGGCCAGCATGAGGCCTCCTGTTCAAAACTGAAGGAGGACCTGGAGAAAAAGGTAGGAGGGAGCTTCATCTACATTTGTGTTAGTGTGTTATATGACACATTTGAGTTTTTTCATCAGTTATTAGTTAATGTACTTTGCAAGAGCACTGATATAACTGTTCTTGAGAGCTCAGAGACTGCTGCAACCAAGAAAAACACATGCAGATGGACAAAACACAAGAAAATTAAGAAAATAAACCTCACATTTGACATGTGCACAACAAAATTCAGGAACTTAAAACAAACATTGAAAAGCTATTTGCTAAACATTATTTCAGGGTTATCCTAATAAACACTGGGTGTCATTTCAATGAAACACGAGCAGGAGAATTATGAGCGTTAACTGTTTGCAGAAGGAAATGTATATGTAATCTGTTCTATAGGCAAGTATCACACCAACACTCACATCAGAAAATAAAAACTTAACTTCTTTAGATCATGTTTCAACCCAAATTTTTATGTTGAAAAATCTACACAGATTATTACTAGCATTCATCAGTGAGACCTACTGTTTTTAGCACTCAGAGTTGACCTTGGCAGGTTGAAGGGAAGTTCCATTGGTTTACTTATCAGTTAAGTGGTCCCTGTATTAAAATGGTACATGGCACTTACTCACCCCTTTGTAGTTAAGTAACAAGTTCTTTTCATTCAGAACTTTACACCCCTGCTGTAACACATTCACCATCTTAAATTTCAGCGTCTGACTTTTTCTCTTTTTTTTTTTGATCACAGAGGATGAAAGAAGCCTTTTTACACTGATGGAAAAAGACTCAAAGAAAACTACTGCTAAATACTTTTCATTGGTTCTTTGGCACTTACATGTTAGAATAACATTTTCTGATAAAAGCCTCTCAAGATTTACCCCCAAAGATTACTATGATGAAATTTTGAGCATCCTATGCATGCTCACAGTTCATTCATTTACTTTGAGACATTACCACATGCATCCCAAAAATTTCAAAATTTACCATATTTGCTCCTGCTGCCTTACAGACCTTTGCATTCTCCTTTTCTTAAAAGATTGCTTAAAGCTGACCTATCTAGAATGCTAATCTTCTTTACAGGAGCAGCGCATACATGCCTTGCAGGCTCGTGTGGGAGCTGGCGAGCAGGCTCTGGCTGCACTGGAACAGACAGCTACTGAGCAAATGGAGGGGTTGACCCAGCAGAGCTCCCATGCCTTGGACAGGCTTCAGAGACAGCTCGGCCAGGCCTACTCCCGTTTGGAGCAGCTTCATTCTTTTATCAAGGTACTGTGCTACAGGGGTAAGGGATCAAAGGCCATGCATCCAGAGTTCCTTGAGTTAAATAATCTAACTCATTTAAAACCAGTAAGGTGAGGTGGGCCTGCAAGTTTTTAACCACTGTGAAATGATAATGTGTGGGTGGATCACCCGAAGGGGTAGGGTTCTTGTTCTTGTTGAAGGGGGGGACCTGACATGCTGACCCTTTTAAATGAACAACTTAATTCTGTACAGCGGGGCTTTCTACTCGACACAACACCTGTTTCATTGTCTTGACTTTCTTTTCTCTGAGTTGCCTTGGAGGGTAATGAAGATACTCAAAAACCTCTCGGTGTATTGGCTAATGTCTTGCCGTTTTCTCTAGGCATTGATGAGGTTGTCTGTAAGTCGATAATCTTTGTTTAAAATCCAGAATCTAAAGGCCAGTGACCAGGTCTTAGCATCGAAAGCTCCTGCTTAGTGTTTGTTGGGCAAGTTTAACTTTAATGAGTCTATATACAGACATTTATACAAAATAGCTGCTGATAGTCTATTCTTAGCCTTTGTATCACAACAGCTACACTATTCAGCCCCTCAGGTTGTCAGTTAGACTGTAAACAAATGTAATGCATAGTAAAGCAGTTGTTACCCATAAGTCCTTAAATGCCAAACGCTGGCAACACTAGAATCTGAAAATTTGCACATCCTTCCCCGAGGCTTGATTATCATTATGAGCTATTGTCAAGAGGTTATGAGATTGATTGTTTATGAGTGTGAGACAGAGAGAGAAAGTTCTTTGACTGTGACTTGATCCCTAAACATTAAACACCAGTCCAAGGTTTGGGCTCAATATCCGGTTTAGTTTCCATAAGAATAAAACTTTGTTTTAGGATTCAGTCATGGATTGAGATGAACAGCCTTCCTCGTGTAAACCTGTAGATCATAGGAAGATCCACAACTCTGTGCTTTACACACTAAGGGCCAAAAGCAGAGAAGGGCTGTCATATGGTCATAACCTGAATTTAAGTGTGAATGGCCCCACAAGCTGCTTAACCATCAGAAATGCATGATTTAATTAGCAGAACATCAGTATAGACAGTCAAAGTCTAAAAAAATTAATCATCAGTATTGACAGATATGAATATTCATGCTAATATGTATAGCCAATGATGCACACGATAGTTTACACACACCTAGAACAGGCTTCAGTATGTTGGTTCTGTAAAAGTATTTTGTTTTTGAAACAGACAGTAAAAAAAGGTATTTGCAATCCTTGAAGCAGGCAAAACAAAACTCCTTGAACACTACCAACTCAATTGTGCATCTCAAATGCCACTATCCTGAACAACACCGAGAGTTTCTGAAAAGTAAAAAATGAAAAAGCAGATATTGGCAAAAGTCCAGTATTTCTGCGGTCCAGTATTGACCAAAGAAACAAACTGTGAGTTGCCTGGGAAAGAAGGTTTGGTTTAAGCAGATATTTTGTACCTCCAAGTTGATGTTGAGATGTGAAACCTTTAGGCTGATTTTCCTTGGATTTAGATGTCAGGGTCCGTTTTCTTACATAGTATGAAACTACAATTTTTGGGCAGAATGTCATAAAATGACCTATGGAGGCACATCACAGAAGTTTTTAATACTGTCAGTTCAGTGTGAAATAGAGGTTAGTGGCAATTAAATCTGCAACAGCAGCGTCAGTTGAGTTACAAATGTCCAGTTTGATAGCCTCAGGACTTGTGTTGTTTTACAACTTTATAATTTTGTTTGCTTTTGTAAGAGGATTAGACTCAGCACATAAAATTCAATGTCCAACTCTGCCATGCATTTTTTTCACCTCACAATCCAAAGCCACAAAAGTCAGACAACTTGTATAGTGTCACCAAAGATGCAGTTCACAAACTACACTATGGTGCTTGCTGTTGCAGGGACTTCAATAAAAGGCTGTTAATTTACCTGTCAATAGACATCTCAGCCTCAGGAGGTAAAGGCTTTGATCAAAAGAGTTGCTCTTTTGATTATCAGGAGAAAATCCAGGAGGAGCCCAGAGTAAAACCACTGCACTGAAAGGAACCAGCTGAGAGGCTTCAGGCATCTCATCAGGATGTCAGCTTGATGCCTCCCTGTAGACCTTCTCTGGGAATGTCCAACAGGGAGGAAAACCAGACCCAGAACCTCACTGAAGGAGTTACGCATTCCACCTGGCCTGGGCAAATCTCCAGGTTTCCCAGGAGCGGTTGGTGATGTAGCCAAGGAAAGGGATGTTTACACTGCCCTGCTTAACCTCATTCAGCTACTTCTTAAAAAACGAAAGGTGGATGGATGGAATCATAAAAATGTAGTTACATGACATTAAGCAATTAGACTTTCTACTTGTGTATAAGGAGAATTAGGTGACCACACTGAAGATGCAGTGAGTCCAGGTGGAGTTGTCTTCATTGTTTGTGTTTAGGCCTAATCCATCACCTTGAGGTGTGTTTGTGTGTCTGTGTCAGTCTACGTGTGTGTCTGGCAGAGACTGATAAAGACTGTCCATCAACTCTGCTCAGCTGACACCTGCCTATCAAATGAGCAAAAAGGCTTGGCAGAGATAGATTGTGGTGGCAGTGTATTTGCACAAGCACATAAATCAAATGGCATTACGGACAGTTTTAAGGGCCACTGCTTTTGTCCTCACAACCCAGAATAACAGAATAGTGTAGGACTTTTCCTGTAGAGAAATGGAATGAGTTTTATCATGTACTTTTCTGCCTGGCCTCTGATTCTGTTCACAAGAATAAACCTTTTTCCAGGATAAGCATTTATGTTGTGGAGCAGACTCGCCTTAATAAAACCTAACTGTTACCCAAAAACAGAAGCTGCATCTTATGTGAAAGTACACATCTACGGATGTGCATAATACAGCTCACAGTCGTGTATCTCCTCTCCTCGATTCCCATAACCCTAGGCTGGTGGGGCCATTGTGTTGTTGTTGAGGATTCACATCATTGTTTGTCTCCCCCTGGCTCCTGTGATTCCCTATAAGAACACCAAGCCCTTTGATTGGACTGCCTGACGTCCGGAGGAGATTTACTCTTGTCATGTATTGATCAGGACCGGAGGGCTGTGCATGTGTGTGTGTATGGAAGTGTCTGTGTGTGTCTTTATGAGCTTGTTTTTTTGTTCTTTGGGCCTGTATTTGCTGTGTGTGTGTGTGTGTGTGTGTGTGTGTGTGTGTGTGTGTGTGTGTGTGTGTGTGTGTGTGTGTGTGTGTGTGTGTGTGTGTGTGTGTGTGTGTGTGTGTGTGTGTGTGTGTGTGTGTGTAGATTTTTCTTTATTGTGTGCCAGCAAACCCTTTTGGCCCCTGCACACGCCCCGGGCTGAAAGAACTGCTGTTGAACTGCTTAACAGTGGCCCTGCATGAAGTGACTGCTTCACAACATGAAGGCAGTCCCTTCGTAAAACATATTTTGGCTTGTCATCCTAGTGCAGGGTTTGAAAGATTTTTGTAAATAGTCTTATCTTTACAAATTGATTGCAGGAGCATTGTTGTTACCATTGCCTAAAACTACAACGCCTGCATAAGCACACTCACCTGTGACAGCAATATACACAATACACCTGTTTTGTTTGTATAATGAAACATCTCAAGTACTAAAGGATAAACTCAGCAACCATTTTTTACATCAGTGCCTACATAATCTGACAAAATCAAAGTATTTTTTCCTCCATTTCTGCTCTCGGTGTTTTTGCTCTTGTGTCTTCATGTGTGTGAAGTGGTTCAGAGGTAGCTAGTTATTAAAGAGGATATCTTTTTGTGCTCATTTGATCCCCATCTCCATGCCCTAATCCTCGTCCTGTCTAAATTGCCCCTCTGGCAATAGTGATTGTGGTACTAGCCAGGCTAAAAGCTCCTAACAAGCGCACGCAGACACATTCACATGCACACACACATACCCTCCATGTATGTATTTGAAAATCTTGTTGTGTGTGAACGCTTGCATATCCCCCTCCCACCCTTTGTCTCTCTCAGGACTGAGAATCAGTGATAAATTCACCCCTTAATTTCTTCCTGGATTATTCCACATGCAGGTTTTAGGTCAACTGAATGTAACCATTGAATAGTGACAGTGAAGATCTTTCAGGCTGTAAATAAAGGAATAGGATCTAGGACTTTTCATTAGTATGATGTGAATTCCTTAGAGGTAAACAAAGCTCTCAGACCACCAATAAGGAATGAAGTGGCCTTCCGTTATCAGGAAAGGTGCAAGGTCGTCTTTTTTTATTGGGCCCTTCTGCATACTTACAAATACATTGATGGCCAGTAGTAGGCCATTGATGGGATGAAGTCTAGATTTGTAATGATTTAAAGTAAATGTGGTCACACTTAGGTTTCTAGAGGCATGTCAGACATCTGTATTCGCTGATTAGATTTGAATGGCTTTGAATTATCATACTCAGCCTACACTGCACTCCTTACATCTGACCTCAGACTGAGTTAAGAGTAGTCACAGTGGTCTTCTTCACTCTACTGAATTGAATTAAAATCCTCTAAGGATTTTCTAACTGTTTGTGAAACAGACTTAAATTGATTTTTTTTTCCAAATAAGACAATAATTGACAGAGACGAGATATATTATTATATTTTTTGATTCAATGCCTGAAATTGCTGCCTTGAAGGAAACACAAATCATGATATTGTGAAAAGTTTGATGCTTTATGTTAATCATTGATTTATTATTATTATTCAGAAATTCGATCGGCCACGATCTTAAAAGGATTGTTCTCAACCATTACTTTAAGAACTTGGGAGAGCTTTACAAGGAGTGAACTGAGGATGGTGTCAGTGCATCAGGATGTACTATGTCATCTGCTGGTGTCGGTCCATTATGGGTCGTCAAGTCCAAAGTCAACTCAGCCGTTAACCAGGAGCACTTCAGGGTACTTACTGCTTCTGAAGATGCCAATTTTACCTTTTCCAGCAGGACTTGGCACCTACCAGCTGCAGTAAAACTACTACCAAATGGTTGGCTGACTATAATTCTACTGCAATCATGGATTCAGTTACAACTCAGCAGTGCCACAGGTCAATTGCCGGTGACATGTCACACTGCTGCAGTAATTGGTGGTAAAGGCGCCCCAACTAAGTGTTGAGTGTATAAATAATGTCCTTTTCAGAAGTATAATACATTATGTATTTTCAATCCTTTTTTGAGTCTACCTTAGTAAATATTCTCATAGTTTGAGATTCTGGATTTCTATGCTCTTTGATATTTAGAACAACAAGTCAAAATTGAAGCAGAAAACAGCTTGAAATATTGCACTTGGTTTCAAAAAGGAAAACATGTGAAAGTTACCTTTTTCAATCACAACACTTGTAATTTGTTGAGATGTGCCTGTACACGCTACATAACCCAAATCTTTCTCTTGCAAAAATACTCACTGAGTGGTACAATTAGATGTTAAAGGACAGTAGAAGGAATTTTTTCCTGAGATTTCATGACTTACACAAGTACGGGACATAATCGGTAAAGAGTCAAGAGGCATAATTGAAAAGTTTTTCCTAAACTTCGTCTTTCAATTTCATGCCTTGGTGTTTGAGTTTTGTTTGTCTATTAAGCTGTTGAATGCGTCTAATGGACAACACTCCTTATACTTGAGCTGTAAGCCTCTAACCACCCTCTCAGCACTCTCGTGCGAGAACCACCTCTGGCTCTGAACTGCACCCGGTCCACCTGTGTGAAATTAAAAGACGAGATGTTTGTTGCTATTGTTCATATGTGATTACCCTTGTTACTGTGGTGCACTTGAGTGTTTTTGTATGTTTGTACTTAAACATGTATGTGTGTATGTACCGTACTTTTGCATGTTTGGTTGAATTACATGCTATCCAAGAGCATCTTGAACTTTGCTTCTTTGTTGTTGTTTTTGTTTGTGTGTACTGTGAGTTCTCCTGTCTCTAGCTTTCCCTCATCTGACCATCTATTCCAAGGTCAGCTTTTCAGAAGGCTTACAAGGGAATGATACAGAAGATTATTGCCTCGATCAATAAGCTCAAAATGAAGCAAAGGGGAGTTTACTTTATTGACTTTCCCGTGTACAGTGGCAGTTTTAACATTTAATTGTCTCTCTGTATTTAGAGCAAACTCCCATTTAGTGCTCGACAACTGTGCCATCCCAGGTCTTCCTCGTCTCGCTTCCCATCCACTCGGGCACCATTTAAAAGAGCCCCTCAAAGCTTAATTATTAACAGTGTTATGGTGCCCTGAGATATTCAGAAAACAAATAAATAAATGAATGGCTGTATTTTCAGCCGCTCTCTGTCTTTCTCTCTCTGATGCATGATTCTCCGTCTGTGGAGATTTTAGCAAAACTTGGGGTACATTTGCTATCAAAGCTGTGTTCCCTCAGCTTTCAATCGACAGGGCAAAAAACCCTCAGGTCCACATTCCTACAAGGGAGCTTGAGGCGAAACCGAAGAGAATCTGAGTGTGTCAAACTCAATATTCCTCCATAATGTACTAGGCTTCTCTGGCGCATGCTTGATCAATTTCATTTATTCATCTGCCAGGCAGAGCTATCCCTCTTGTTTTTCTGTATCCATTTCATCATCCTCTTTTTTTATTTCTTCTTCTTCTCCTCCTTCAGGCCCTGGCCAGCGAAATACTTTTAGACGTTCAAGAGGTCAAGCAGCAGTTGATGAAGAGGAGGAGGTCGAGGCAGGCCAACGCTGTGGCAGCAAAGGGCGGCCTCTCAGCCAAGTCCATGATCAAAGCCAAGTCCATCGCTGCCTCCATCCTCAATATGTCAGTGAATGATCTCACTGACTTAATGGACACTGGCCAGGTAAAGCCGAGGGACAATGTGTGAACATTTCATAAAAACGCTAACTTGAGGATCTATATCAAGTCTAAATTATGCCCAGAGCACTCAGCACACCTGTGATTGATTTTCTGTACTGTAAAATTGTGAAACAGCCTTAAAGTTTTCAGGGGGGTTGGCTTAGTGATTGCACCAGAAGACTGAGAAAAACATTATATCATCAATACCAACTTTATGCCTTGGGTGTATTCTTTGTCAATTGAGGCTAAATGAATGGCAAGGAGCTACCGTAACTTTGGCCCATCCCCTGGGAACACATACTGTAGATTGGAATTTGAAGAGGAGGAAATAAGAGTTTATTTCCTGGGCTTGTAACTGTGTTTCACGTCTTGCATCCATCTGAGCTTCTTTTATTAATGGGCGGATGGGTTTGGGCAAGTAAGCAAAGTTGAACACCAAGTAAAGGTGAACCACACACAAAGCCAGGTTACTTTTAAGTTTGGAAGTCAGGGTGAAATAGAGAAAGATGTGGCTTCATATGAGGGCGTTCTTGCTCTCAACAGGATCAAAAACCTGTCAACACTTGCAGCTCCTGTCAGGTTGCTATAAGATTTTATATGGCACAAGTTGAGTGAAGTGCAACTCTTTTCCTTCTGCCGAAAGCCCCCATCGAAGGAAAGAATCTTCCTATTGTCTCTTGTTCTTGAGATTCACACTCTTTTCCAACTTGGTGGGCCCTTTCTCTCCCATAGATCACCCAGCCTTGTCATCAATTAGCAACCCCATGTTACAATCAAGCTCCCATCCCTGGGGACTTCCTCCCATCCATCACAGGATGAGAGAAAGCTCAGCAGGCACTTACTCACACTTGAAACCAATTTTAGCCCTTTGCAGCCGGGCTCCACCCAGGAGATGACAGGGAACAGTTTCTCACTTGACAAAAAGTCCCCCTCATCAGAGCTGAAATCTCAGTGGGGAAAATTACACTCTTCTTTAGCCCACTTTTTTTTCCTCTCTGGCCATAATGGCAGTAAATGGCAGCCTGCTGGATGCTGTAATGTGGCGGGTGTGTTTTCTTAGATTTGTTCATTTAACTGTTTAATCAAAGCCCTGTCATGCTGTGCCACATGATGAGCTTGTTCACCTGTTTGTTTAGCTGAGTGTTTCAGAGAAATGAGTCACTGACACCAGATGTTCTCTGGACATACTGTAGGGATATAATGGCTGGACAGCCTACTGTAGATGTTTTTGTAATTCAAAGTCAAGGGAACCTTAATTCAACTAGCTTGAACGATCCCAAAAATGCTGTAAGCTATATAATATTTGATCCAGGATAAACAACTACATAACCTAAACTGGGGCTGATTTTGACAAAAGGTTAAAATGATTTAAACTTTTGTAACAAAGTGGAAATTCTATAAAGTTCAAGCTTTGCAAGACTGTGGTAGATTGTTTTTTTGGGCTTGATAGTGTGACACGAGGTTATGAGCATGTCCCAGCAGTTTTCAAAAGTCTGATACATAGCTAGTGTATTCATTTATTCACTTGGTTATGCGATACCAGTGTGCTGACTGAGAGCTTAGGGCTCAATGGGAATGCTTTTACTCCTCAGTTTTACTTTCAAATCAGAGTTCTCTGTTGCCGACAAAGCTTCTTTTCTGAAGTTTGCCAAATTTCTCTTGTCAACAACATTGAAGGAGTTTTTTTAAGACTGTAAGGTTCTGCATTTTGGTTTTGAAATCAATTCCTTTTTTGAATTTCAGGTGTATTGTAAATTTTAAATGTAGTATTCCTGGTTTTGGTTTATATTTTAGGAGGATAGCAGTAACAGTTAACCTTCATTTAATTACAACAAAGTTTTCTGAAGTCTACATAAATTCTGCTTTTTAAAGCAACAGTCCTGAGTCTAAATGATTACAAATGCAGCTGTGACACGGCTGGTTGTGCAGCTGGGATTGCAGTTATTTTAATTAGCTGTTTCAAAGGGATAGATATGGGATTCGTAGATGAGAAAAAGCTGTTTCTTGAGTTTTCAGTGTCAGTTCTCCCTCACTCACAAATGTATGTAGGAATAGACTCAAAAACTATGTGGTATCCCTGTATGTACACAGATGCAAAGACAGTGTTACTGTGCTCGAACTAAAGGACTCCACACGTGCTCACATATCATACAGCATGTTGTTTTTGCCTTTGTCTGTTCCATAGTGTGCAACAGAGAAGCAGAGAGGGCCAAGCAGCTCAAGGCTCCCTGGACAACTTGTTGTGGAGTTAATGATCCAGATGTAATAAGACTATAATTGCCAGGCCAGTTTGTTTTGCACCTGATGGTTGATGGAGGGTCAGTGCTTTGTTATATATCCACCAAGGGCGTATAAGCACACTTCCTTTCACACACACAAACAAACACACACACGCATACTCTTCTACACTATTACAACCAACCCACATCCATAGCCCCACCTACTTCTCAGTTACTCTGGGCACAAATCACTTCAAGGTGTTAACTGAAACAAGCCTGGACGTCCACTGTTTGCATCAATCAGCTGCTAAAAAAATAAAATAAAGCATTAACACTGCTAATAGTTTTCTCAGCTCAAAAACCGCGAGCTGTCTGATTTACATACATATTGTTTTAAATATTGTATTATTTCTTAAACATACCACATTATAGTCAGCACCCCAAACTGCCCAATTTCACACCAGATCTGCATGACCACACCTTCAATCTTTTACTCACACTCCACAACAGTATCCTTTTTTTAGATCTGCCAGTAAGTGACAAGACTTGTAGATTTAACCACACACACACTTTTCCCCCCTGCTTCACCGTGTGTCTCTGTCAGGAGGTACAAGGCTCATCACATCGTTTGAAGCAGTAACACCTGGGACTTGAAGTGAACAGGTATCCCATTAGTCCTGAAGTGTACATGGCCATGTCGTCGCTCTGCTCTCTTTTCATTAGTGGTAACAAGGCTCCTCTTTATACATGAGTAGCATGCAAACGTACACTGGCATACCTTGCCACTGAGTCTCCAGAGAGCTTCTTCAAGGTCCTAGCTACTCTGATGCTACAATTCTGCCCTCAAGCAGGAGACTCACAGAGGCAAGGGTTAGTTCAGATACAATAGCAGATTCTCTCTAGAAACATTTAGTACCAAACATCTCTGTAATCCGTTTCATTTACAATCTTGCCAGTTCTTTTGCTCCTGCATACAATCTAAGATCACAAATGACAGCATGTTTTGATCCCATGTTTCTTGACAGTGTCTTGATTTGGGAATCAAATGAAAGCAATAAAAGGAACTCTATGATCGTGACATACAGATTTAGTCAAATAAATGCACCTGGTGGGATTTGAAACTATGGCATAGAAGTAGGAGCTTCAAAGTGCTAATCCTGTGAAATATAATGTTTATTTTCATTCAAGGATAATACTGTAACACAATAAGAAATATGCAGGAGTGCATGTACATAATTTCCAGTCATTGTCGATACATTGTGGAGTTATTCAGAGATCATTTTAGTTGGTCGCTAACGTCATCTGCTTCCTGGCTGGTGCAGTGGCACTTTCACTTCCAGGAGTTTAGGTTTGGTGGTATTCTCCATTTTCTTTACAGGTCTTGTGTGCAAAAAACTATTTTCCCTGTGACTGTAAGGCATGGCTGGTCACAACATGCCAAAATTAGGATGTCCCCAAGATCCAAGCCACAGGTCTCACAGTCTGCACACTCCAAAGTGATGCTGCTATCCGCTGGCAGTGGTCTGATTATCATCTATTTTCCATTTAAACTCAAAGAACTGGTTATAGTTTAATTTCTGGTCAACACAAGCTGTATACACTTTTGATTCATCAGCTGGGCTGTTTCGGAGTATATATATATTTTTTTTAAGTCAAATGTACATCTTAAAAACACAGCTGTGTCATACAGTGGTTTGCAAAAAGGGATGACATCAGCACACAATCAAAGAAACTAAAACAATTTTGCACCCCGATCACATCTAATTAACCTGGCCACACTAACAGCCTTTTTTCGTTTTTGTTTTTGTTGTTTTGTTTGCAGGGGACAGAGGCACAATCAGAGAGTCCAGGAGACCAGGATTGGCTAGAACACTTCGACCACCTCCTCCAGCAGAAGGTCAGGCCACACATTCGGGATAATGACCATACAAGCTACTCGTTACTGCATAAACCCAGGGAAGTGAAATCTTGTGCAAACTGAGCCAAGCTGCCCTTCTGGTGGAATATTTTTCAGTCTAACACAACTCTTAGTTGAGGTTTCCAGAACAACTGTTGTCCAGAGAGTCAAAGATAAAAAAAATTGGCAGAAAGTTTTCCCTTTTTTGAGTTTCTGGTAACAAAATATTGCACTTGTATTGAGCACATACAAAAACTCTGGAAAGCATGACAAAGAGATATTGTAATGTTTCATTTTTAAGATACTATAGTTTGGAAAATATTCAATTTTATCTTTTTTATATTTTAAGTGAGGAACTTGATAATTGATGATAACGTTCCTCGTGATCACAAAAAAAAAATTCAGCCACCTTTCAAACTAGATTTCTGAGTGTTTTTGTCTTCCAGCCACACTGTACCAGATTTTTCTCCTTCGCAGTGCAAGAAGAGAGGATTTGTCAGTCTTGATGTATAGAGGAAAAAATGATTTCTATATTTACCAAAATACAGTATATTGAGGATGTATTTTAGTTCCTGCTCCAATGTGTGCTGCTTCAGGGTCTAAAAAAATACAATGATGCAAAAGATAAAACAAAGAAAAGTCACTCCGTTCTCACTGTATGAGTGTGTATGTGTGTGTTTGTGAGAGTCTTTGTGTGCTCAGCCACTCATCTGTGAGTGCTCTGCTGGAGCTTTACTCGAGTGCTGTCAACGTCTGCTCGCTGTGATATGTGTATGATTGAGAGTGTCGAGTGTGTGTATGTGTGTCTTGTCTGTGTTCTTGTCAGCGGCTGCCGCAGGCACTCATGCGTCGCCTCCGCACCACGACACACACCAGACACTGTTCTCTTGTTCCCCAGATCTTCTTCTGACCTTTCCACCTTCCACTCCCCCTCCCACACTTTCACACACACACTCACACACACACACTCACACAACAAGACTCTACTGAATCCATGTTTTTCCCTTCTAGCTGGACAGCTCTCAGTCCCTGTTCTCTGTCTCTCTCTGCCATCCTCTACTGTCCTGCATTCCTCTCTCTCCCTCTCTCTCTCTCTCCCTCTCTCTCTCTCTCTCTCTCTGGCTCAGACCCCGAGGCAGCTTGTTAGTGGGGAACTAAATATTGATTTGGCGGGCCTGTCGATGCCGGGAGAATGAGCTAGTGTCCACCAGAGACCTCGGCACCGGCAGCCTGCTATCGACGTTTTCCGTGGGCAGAACAGGGGTGGTGGAAGAGGGGAAGGGGGGGACTGAGGCTGATGTGGAGAGAAGGAGGAGTAGAGCGGAGTATGACAAGGCTGAGACTTGCCCCTAGGTCCCTATGGGGACCACTGGGACCACCATAGTCATCCCCCTCACTCTAATACACTTTTTTTCCAGCCCCTTTCAAGTCCATCTTGAGCTGTTTTTTGCTCATTTTTTAATTTATTTTAAATTGTTCCTTTTCTCTTCATCTCGTGGATTTCTCTCATCTTTTTTTTTCGCCAACATATCAAAGGGACCCCAGATTCTGCTCTAACATTTTTTTTTCTCATATTTCTGTTTTTTTTTTTCTTTTTTCTGTAGGTTATGAATGAGAACTCATGGGTTAAGAGACCAGGGAAAGGGTGCATAAAGTCAGCCTTAGCACCTGTCCCTAGGTTAATTCAGATCTCTGAATCTTAGGTTTTCAAGAGTTGGCCATATACTCATACTCACTGCACACATCCTTGATGCTCAAATGCCCGCATTTCTTTGCACTTCAGGATCTTGTCTTCTCTCTGTCATAGCTTATGAAAGGCTCACCAAGCAGAACATCTGTGAAGTGAAATGGCCCAGCCTGTCACCCTGCCTGTGACACTAATAACACACTCCCCTAATAGTGATATGATCTTACCCCTGAGCTGCACTGGTACACACTTCATCAAATAAAAAGACAGAAATAGACTCAGTGAAAGGAAAGATGAGAGAGAGATCCATGTTCTTAACTGGCTGGCTGTCACCAGGAGAGGATGAGGATGTGTCCATCTGTATGTGTGTGTGCGTGTATGTGTGGGTATGTGTATGTATCAGTGTGTGCATGCGCACTCTCACGACAGCCTCATCTTGTCACTGTCAGTGCCTAATGGAGCTGCCAGTGGGACAGCACTTTATTATCTCAGTGGCCCTGTCAATAGCGAACCCATCACTCACTCAATGTGTGTGTGTATGTTCCCTGTGTGTGTGTGTGTGTGTGTGTGTGTGTGTGTGTGTGTGTGTGTGTGTGTGTGTGTGTGCAGATGTTAAGGAACAGATGAGTGGTATATATGTGTGTGTGTCTGTCTGCAGGCCATTGTTCGCTGTCCCTGTCATGTGCTGCCACATGTCAGCCTAACAAGAAAGAGAGATATACTCACCACTTTGGCAAACAGTTTGTTGCAGAAACAGAGACTAGTTCCTGTGAAGATGTTTTTACGGCTCTTGTCTTCCAAAAGAAGTGGCATACATCTTTTTCTCCTCCTCAGCACTGCCCCACATGTCCTCTCAAAACCAAATGAAACATTGCAATCATTTCCTCGTCTCTCACCTCTACTGGTGAGTTAATGAAATCAAACCCTACGCCTCTCAGTGGAGAGCCACCATAAGCGGTGCTCCATGGCCGGGAACGAGGGACGGTGCTATCTTATAATCATGAGCAGGCCAGGGGGTGTTCTGTATGGCTCCATTGCAACCCGCCATGAATAAGGCCAGCAGAGAAGATGGAGTGTCCACGTGGGCCACAGGGTCCAGGCACCGGCCCGGGGAAGCATTGATTTAATTGCCTTTGGTTTATTTGTGGAGTCCTAATTATTGACTGGAGGTAGAATTTAATGGGCCAAGTCTTTATGAAGACAGGGAAATGACTGGCTTCTGCTGCTGGCCAATAATGAACAGAAGGAGCAAGTGCATGCAAGCGTGTGCACATGCATGCACACGCACGCGTTCCCTCCAGATCATTTTTCAGACTCATTTTGTACACGCGCATGCCCATCTCAAGCCTCATGACAGCATAATAACATTTAAAAAGTCATTGACTCTGTTGATTTCTTTATGAGAGGACAGCGGTTTGGTTTACTGGTATGGGGTGGCGCAGAGGGCCTGCTAATATTTACCTCACAATCACACCCGAGGGAGACGTCCAAGCATCACTTCTTATCAGCCTCCCAACTATAACAAGCAGGTGAACATTACATTAAGAGGGTAGTAGAGGCAGGCCTGAGCGATCCAGACTGGACTTGTTATAAAACATCAAAGGCATTTATGGATGGACTACTGGGCTGAAATAATTCCTGCAATTTCAAACCCTTATTGAACGTCAGGGAATGGTCGCTTTAACTCATTACAATGAAGGCAAACGACTTCATTTATCTAAAGTTAAATAACAGACTTTATTCATGTCACCTCTTGTCAAAGCTTTTCACCATATCGACACCTGACATCATTAACCCTCTGTGTTAGACATATCAAAGGCTTCATGCTTTACAGTGCCGACAGACTGAGAAAGTTTGCTATTGTTGTCGATGCCGCGAGGGCGAGAGACAGTGTTGTGTTGTGTGGCTCATTATTGCCTCTGTAATGACAAGGAACAGCTCGGAGTCCCGCACTTCTCTCTGAAGGAAAGTGACTCTAATTAAGCCTCATTTAATGATTGAGCTAATTAAATCAGCCACTCTTTTTCCGTCTCTCTAAGTGTGTTTGTATGTGTGCGGAGGGGACTCGAGCCGAGCCTTTGTACTGTAAATATGTCACTAAAACTGGAGGAGGGAATCCCAGGAGACGGCTGCTGTTAGAGTTGTTAATGCCAGAGAACACAGTGACTTTTTCCGTGTGTTCAACTCTCATTTTACAGAAATAGAAACAGCACATACAGCTTGTTTGGGCTGTTTCTTTACTTTGTTGGGGATGATTACCAATCAGACCAGATACAGTATTCAAACAACACATGTCAGGAGATCAGATCAGGTAGGCAAGATGGATAATCTTGTTTAATTCTCAGCTCATAATGCTTTTTGAGTCGTATTGACAGATTTTAATAAAGTTGACTTTCTCTTTTTAAATCAACAAATAAAGGAAATTGATATTGTATGTTGACAATTCCTCTCCAAAGAGGTGAGTAGATGTTTTAAATTTTCTTGCAGGCACAGCCACTTTAGTTGATCGTAGCTGCTTCTCAATACATTAACTTGGCCAATGAGCCGTACTGTTAATCCCGGGTGTGTTCTTGATTGCAGGATTCTGCCTAAAGGTTGCATCTCTTTTGTATGGATATCACCTTTCTAAATTTAAACCTCGATCATGCCTGAATCACCTCATTTTTTTACCTAATGAGTAGGAACCTGAAACAAAGACCTGGTGCTTTCCTGTGTTTAATCTTGGCTGTATTTGGGTCAGATCCCTAACAAATGCTTGTTGTACACTGAAATGATGTTTCCAAAACAACGTATCAAGAAAAGGAGAGATTTTTAATTACAGTATTTGTGGCCCCAAGTGTCCAATTCCCTTTCATATCAGTCTCTAGTGGCCTAAAGGGGAGAAAAGAGAGGGATCTGTTCAGCTACAGGGGTGGTAATTATGAAAGAGAGGGAGAGAATAGGCTCGTCGGTGCTTTAGAGATTCTCTTACCTGAGCCCCTCTTTGCAAATGTGACATATTCATTATCAGAGATAATCAAATGCAAGATTTTTTAGTGTGGTGCCTTTGTGCCTTGGCTTTTTTTTTTAATCTATTTATCATGCTGTTGTTGTTGTTATTCCCTCGTTTGATAAATTTGATTTTCAAACAAAAGTGAGAAGACCAAAGATCAAAGAGTTGTTCTTCCCCCTCTGTGATAAAACTACTGTAGCTACTTCTCCCTCACCTTGAAAGGTGGCCTACATTGGAGACAACTCACCAACCTGGGACACACATTAAAAGCAAGAATCCTTCAGCACCGCGAAACGCTACTGTCATACCGACCAGATCTTTAAAAAATACTGTTTTTATTCCTAAATTAACAAGCTGTGTACATAGTTTACAACTTATTCAGTTCCTGTATTTCATTACAGAGTATATTATATACATTTACCGGTATATATGTTTTGATGTTGGTGTATAGATAAACCTACTGTCAGTCTTGTGAAGAACCAACATGTCACTACTTTGGTAAAACTTTTTACTGTTAATTGGCTAAATCTGTGTTTAGGTATTTTATCTGAACATTGACTGAATTTAATGAAAAAAACTTAATGATCTGTTGTATCTGACTGTATTCAGAAATCAGAATGATGTACCCTCTGATTCCACGTCCCTCTTCACTCTCACCCGTTCAGATATCTGGCAGCCTGACACAATCTTCACAGCTCCCCACAAATTGGGCCGTTGGAAATAATTGTGCTAACTCGTTCAGGGGGAGAAGACAAAAGAGCTAGGATGATCGATCCTTAAAGGGAAAAAAGTTAGAGTATGTTATGCCACTACAAGACAATGGTCACTGGAGTGCTGCAACTTTGAGCTGCTCCTCGCCTTGAGGTGCGCCCCGGGCTGTGGAATAGCAATGTCATTTAATTGGCTCAAAAAAACACCTTTTGCACACAGCCCAGGCCCCTCACCATTGCACACATATACACACACACACACACACACACACACTTGTCAGTGGCTTCACATGTCAGTTCACTTCTAAAACATGTTCATGAAATCATACCTAGACAAAAGGTCTCCTCTGCAGGGCCTGTTGAATAGTAATGGATGTAGGTTAGCATGGCTTAATGCTACAGTAGCGCTTTTCAGTGTTGCCATAGGGGACAAGGGCCTCTTGCAAAAACAGTGGCTGTGTTGCTCAGTGCTGGAGCTGGCTATCTGTGCCACAGGGGACAGGGGGGCCTGGCTAAATCAACTGTAGCATAACATTAGTGCCAGTTGCTAACACAGCCTTAAGCCACCCAGGGGATCCTGCAGAGCAGCTGCATCACAGCTTACGTTGAAACATCCTGCGGGGTATCAGTCCCCAGAACATGTGGCCGCAAGATGAAAGAGAATGATAGTCCAGTGTGTCCTGTGCAGAGGTCTGAGTGTGAACTGTGGTGCCAAAATGTGGTGATGTGAGTCAAATGCTAAAAAAATAGAAATCTAAACAAAGGAGGCATTTTATGTCTTTTAAAAGACATTAGATACTAAAACATATTAAAAACCAACTTCCATGCCAATTGAAGGTCAACCCACTTATAAAACCAGGTTTTTAGAAAGGACTTCAAATTTTGGGTCAGCAATCCAACTTTAACTTTTTTCTTTTCCTTTAATGTAAAACTTAAGGCTCAATATTTGGTGCAGCTGTTTGGCTTAGCGGTTAAATTGTGTTTCCCATGAATATGAGCCAGAGTCTTCTGATGGGTCAGCTGTAGTTCGATTCCAACCTGTGGCTCTTCGCCGCATGTCATTCCTGACTCTCTTTTCTCTGTTTGCTCCTCTATCCACTGTCCCATCCTCACACTGAGGACATAAAAAGACCCAAAATAAACTGTGATCCACTGCTCCTGCTGTCCAGATCTCAACGTTTCCTTGAGCAAGATGCTGGACCACAAATTTCTCCCAGTGCCGTAGCCAGCAGCATGTGAGTGTGTGTGAATGAGATAAGTTATTGATGATGGTAACGTTGTAAAGCAGCCTCTGTCATCAGAGTGTGAATATTACATTTAGGTACTTTTAGTGGCCCCAAGCCTGGAAAAGTGCTAAAATAGTGCAGTTTATTTACCACATATCTTTTTTCCAAAGAGCTTGAAACACCAAAATAAAAGTTGTTTAATCTTTGAAAGTTTTACCATCTGATTTTGAATATCACTCATGCAGGGTTTATCTAGATCATGTTTACCTGCTTGTGTTTTTTACTCATATTCCCACATCAGCACTGTTAATGATCCAGTCTCCCACTTTGCTGTCCCACAGAGCCTTGTGTTGTGGCTGTGTCTCTATTTTAGTGGGTTTGTTTGCATAGTTAGTGGCTCTAAGTGCAATTAGCTGATGGGAAACTGTGTGCCAGTGTGTGTGTGTGTGAGTGTTCGAGAGTGTGTGAGTGTGAGACAGAGAATGAACCCTCCCGGGTACACGGAGGCAGAGGGAGATGTCTCAGCAGTTACTTCTGTGTAGTGGTTCTCTGAGGAGTAGCGCTGTGCGTTTGATGCATCCAGTGCTGCTGGAACTGACTTCACACTGCACAAATACTCAAGTGCGCACACACACACTCTCACACAAACACACACTTCCCAGCACATGGGGCCTTGTGTTCCCTGCTCCTGTTACCTCTAATGAAGAGGAGAGAGGTGTCAGGGGGCAGGGGGACTGAGGCTCTCACACTTCACACGTATTGGAAATTGATGAGAGGATAGTTTCGAATCACATCACAGTCCTTTGCCGTGTCCTTAACACTCGTCAGCTCCAGACCTAATTCCTATACGAGCTGAGAGAGTGTGTTAATCACATCAAAGCAACACGATACCTCTATTCCCCGATGCAGATGTTACTCAGTAAAGTTTGTTTCAGCACTTTAGACTTGTGTCGGCAGGGTTCTCTGTGCCTGGTTCAATAGCATGTCTTCTCAAATTCTCTTTTAAGAGATGAGAAGTGGAAGATTTTACGATATTAAAGTCACTATTTTCAACTCGACCAGTCCACTTCTCATCTCAGGCCATGTGACTCTGGGTATTGCTCAGGGAATTAATTTGTTTCCTCTGCTTGAAAAAAAGATGCTTTTAAAGGCTGCACATAACTTGAAGGGAATATTTATGGGTAATACGGTTTGAATGCCTGCCTTTGATCAGGCATCCTAATGACCATACAATCCTTGTGTTGATTGAGAGGAAAAACAAAATTAGACAGAACTCCGAGGAGAAGCCTGTCCACCTTTTAGTTTCACTTTTCCACTGTTTCCACACCGAAAACAGAGCCAAATATATTCTCAGCTTTTGTAATATTATGTGATTAAATACACATCGGTTCACTGTAGACAATGAACTGAATCAAATTTTCAACTCACAAGTATTGTGGCCAAAAGAATTCATGTTAAAAATATTATCCCAGTACTTTTAGAAAACTTTGAAAAATAAACACTTTTAATTAAATGATTTAAAAGCAACAAGGATGGAGCTACATGTCACTTCATAATCTAACAATGAACTGGAACACATAAGGTGTTTTGAATTGCTCTTCTTGTGAATGGTGCTGTAAATTAACCTGCCCTTCTTAAACCTAAGTGACTCATGTACATGTTATCATCCATTTCTGAAGTTATGTTTTATCTGGGTCGCCAGTCCTGTGACAGGTACTATTGATAAAACTCCTAAACTGGTTAGTGCAGCCCATGCTTTGCCCTGTTGTCTAAGAACCCCCTACTATAAAGAGGTTAGTTGTATGATAATATTTCCTTAATTTAAAGGCAGTTATCTTCAATATCAGTACAGTGTGACTGCCCATGTTCACATTGTCTTACACTTTCCCCACAGTGATTTTAAAATATCTGTTTACAAAGAGCTGGTGAAATGCACTTATGGACTTTTTAAGTGTTGCTTTTACACAGACTTTACGACAAGAATCTGCCCTCACTGTTCATGATACGCCCTTTCACTGAGAATAGAAACTTTGAGCAAAAAGTAATGTGTTTCATAAGGCACTGAAACAACCGCTTTGAAGGCTCTGATCTGATATTTTTGTCAAAACATTCAAAATAGACGGTCCCTCAAAAGTTTCACAAGTCCTCAGGCTGTATTTGAGGTTCTTTTGTTCCACAAACCAGAAAATAGACTCTCTGAAAAGCTGCCAGGTGTCAAAAATCTGACTTTTTTAACAGTTGTGCGTGTGTGTTTTCCTCATTTGCTTTTTTTTTTCACAAACCACTTTCTACCGCCACCCCCACACCCTTTTTCTATCTCTCCCCTCCCCTGCAGATCCCCTCTGCCGGCCAGCTAATGGAGGCTGTGCGCGTGAAGATGAAGGAGAGGAAAGTGCTGACAGAAGAGCTGGCCACGCTCGCAACACCAGTCAGCGAAAAAGCCTGACTCCCTGGGCTGAGGCTGGGAAAACTGTCATCCTCTTCTTTTTCTCCCCTCCTCCCCCTCTCCCTCCCCGGTTCCTGCTTGGTGGGAGCCGGGCTGAGCCAAGCTGAGACGGGGCAGCAGAACCAATATTTGTGAGAAAAGCGCTGTCGACTCACTCTGGGCCACTGGCTCGACACAGCAGCCCTGTTTTTGTAAATGAGCCCTCGACATCTGTGTTAGCGCTCAGTGCACTATGTCTATCAGACAGGGGCCTTTAGAGCCAAGCTAATTTACAGTGCAGCCACTCTACCCCGCTTTCCAGGCAGACTTGGGGGTGATAAGACAAATGCTTACACTAATGTTTAAGTTAGACTTTATTTAAACTCACTTTCACCTCTTCCCCTGAATTATTTGGCACCCCGAGGACCTTAGGGTGCAGGGACATGACCTGGCAAAGCCAGATCAACACTCTAAGAAAGTGAAAAGTGCAGCATGGAGCAGAATTTTCACTATGACAGTATGGAACCAACCTGATACTTCTCAATCAAATCTTTGTGTTGTTAAAACTGTGCTTAATTTAATTCCTCAAATGCAATGCTTGTTTTTATTTCCAAAGGACGTTACCTTGTTAACCAGTTTGTAAGATGTTCTATTGCTGGGTCTTTGTTTTGATGGTTTTGAATGTTTTTTGTTAAACCATTAAAACCAGCTACACTATAAGTTTTTGTTCCTTATTTATAAATTTGATTGTGCCCTTTGTCCTTTTTTGCCGTGGTGGTTCAAAGGAGTGTCAGTCAGTGTGCGATGGTGTCTCTGAATGCTTTGGTGGACAGCAGGGTTCTCACACCTTACTCATGATTGACAGCTAACTGTTGGCATGGTTCCTGTCTACAACAAGTGACCCCTGCTGTTGACATCATTAACAAGGGTCCACGTGGGCTCGCATCACAGCAGAGCTGAGAGCCGTATTATAGGAGTGGCTCCATCTTTGAAATATCTACCTCCAGCTCCTTTTATCTGTTTCCCTCTTTCCTCTCTCTCTCTCTCTTATTATTAATTTTGAATACTAAACTATGATCCTGGTCCTCTCTGTCCTTGAGTTGGCATTTTACTCCAGAGCCCACACACTCTTCCCTTCGAGTCAGTCTTTATTTTTATTAAAGCGCTTTCTTTACCTCTGCTAGCTTTTGTTTTCCTCTTCACCACTTTCCCTCTTTCTTTTTATTATGTATAATTAACAATGGTGTGAAGAACCCTCCGTTCAGGAATTAAAAAGAAATAATTCCACTTTTTAATCCCCCCTCCCCTCAAATATATGCTAATGATGTCGTTTTCCTTTATCTTTTTATAATAAAGGATTAGGCCAGGACTGTCTCTCGCTGCAACTCGGGGACCAATTTAGCTAGGATCCAGGAGAGACAAACCCTTGTGGTTAATTACCATTCATTAACATAGTTTACATCTTTTCTTCTTCTCCAATACCCAGGAGCCAGCTATTGTCAATATTTGTCCCATATAAATTCTGCACTTTTTTTTTTCAGTCACCATCCTCCAGCGAAATGCTGCTAATGACAAACATTAATAACTCTGAGAAATCCGTTGGTGCAGTGGGGATACAAGAGCAAAGCATCAGTGCCACACAAATTATCTCAAACCCACCACCATCCAAACACACAAACACACACACACACACACAATAACTGTTTCACTGAGTCTGTTTCCCTCTCTTGCTTTTAGCCTGTAATGCACAGTCAACATGTTTGCTCACCAAACCCCGGCCTCGGCTGACACAGTCGTGCTATTTCTGTGACATATTCAAATGCAGGCCCCCTCAGCTGGTACTCCCTTGGGTTTAATTAACCTGGCCTTGCCTCTGACGCTCCCTCAGTGAAGACGTTAAAACGATCTTGAAAACACCCTTCAAATACGCCCCCCCAACACCCAGCGCACACCCTTATGTCTTCCACCAGGCGCTGCGTGAGATTTATCTCTTTATTTTCTGTGTAGGAATGGCATCACATCCCCTCCTTTTCCTGTCTTTCACTCTCGACTTGTCTTTTCTTGTACAGCTCTCATTAAGAGAGGCTTCCTTTGGGGATTACTTTGATCAGTTCCAAATGCAAAGTTTTCTCCCTTCCCCTTTTATTCATCCCAAAACAATCAACTCTGACATTTTTTTCTTCTGCCTTTATCTCTTTGCTCACCCCAACTTCTTTTTAAACTCTCTAGTGCTTTTGTGTTTCCTCTGTTTCCTGCAGGAGATTGTTTCTGCAGGGGAGAGAGAAGGTCAGGGTCACGGGTTGACTTTGGGGTCGATCAATTATTTGTGTATGTGTGTCTCTGTCTTGTTTGTGTGCGTGTCCCAAGGCTTCTCTGTTGTACTTTTAAGTTCCCTCTATGTGCTTAGGGTGCAAGCCACTTGGGTGGGAAGGCGGGTAGCAGTACAAAGAACAGTCAAAGCATAAACTGAGAATTACTGCTGCCTCCATCTGATGCACAATTAGTCCTTGCAGATCTTGTCAACCAGCTGTGGTGTGAACAGAAAGCAGCCTCTGGTGGTTTCTCTTACTTCACTGACACAGTTTCACACCCCGGCTACTGCTGCCAATACATCAGTCTGCTTTGATATCACGCACACAAACACATGGCACTGTCTCAAATAACAAGGTACTCGTGACATTCAGCCAAATCTGTTTTTGACAAATGTATAATGCAGGATGTTTACAGACTTTATTGTGTCTATCCTTCATGTTTCATCCACAGGGAGACACTTCAGAAACCAAAGCTGGATGGTGATTTCACATGACAGAAGCTTCTTCCTTCTTTTGTGCTGGCTCCTGGATGTGATGGGAAATTTAAACCAAAAACCTAATGATATATTTTTAAACCTCTTAAATCCCTGAGGTGAATCTCCACTGTTTCCATGTTTAATTTTCTTTTTTCATTCCATCAGATGCCACCTTTAAAAGAGGGAATCACACTCTCCTGATGCACATATGCTATGTATACAACCTCATTGATCTTCACTTGAACAAGTCCCTTATCCTCCTCTCCAGCGCTCCAGACATGAAACGGCAGCAGATTATGGGTGGATGCGGCCCGCCGTGGGAAGCTAGGGAGCAGATAAAAAGGCCAGCCACTCAGGGGACTAAAGCTATGTTTTGATGCTGTGTGATAAGGCAGAGGCACAGAGGGAGAGAAAGAGGAAGTTACAGGAGCTATACATACATATATATACGTATAAATATATATCACCTGGCTTCCCTTTTTTGGATTTCTCTCCTCTCTTTCTCACCTCTTTTTGTCCAAGCTGTTCCTGCACTTTTCTTGTTCTTTGACACTCACACTTTCTCCGTCCCCGTGGACTGTCCTAAGCTTTGCTCATGGCGGTTGTCTCTCTAAAGCCGTGGCCTGAGCTCCTGGGCAGAAAAAAGAGAGAGAGAATGAGAGAGGGGTTGATCTGGTCTCTAATCCACCATCTCTTTCTGTGTAGGAGGGAAACTGCAGTCCTCGACATCACCTCAGAGAGAAGCGACTCTTTGAGTGCTACTACCTAAATCCCCTGGTGTCCTGACTAACCGGAGCTGTTGTCTCAAACGGTGTTGAAAATGTGGCTCCTGATATCACAGATCAGTCAAACTGTCATCCTCGGGTGCAGTAGAGTGCATTTTTTTCAGGGTTTTTATGCTTTCAAGTAAGACAGATGAGTATTTTTTGAACTCATGCTCCAACTTAATCAGCCGGCACTCTGTCCACTCAGCTGTGTTTTGTTGTGTGTATTCAGAGACAACAGATCAGCTAAAACAGTAGCAGAAACTACCAGCTGTCCTTTGTTTTCTGCTCTGCCATATATAATAACGTCTCTGTCTTTGGTGTATAGCTCCTCAAAACACCTCTCCACCTTGACTAACTTTTCCAAGCACTCATTAGCGGACTGGCTGAAGTATGGAGGGTGTGAGGCGGGCTCGCAGATTACCCCCTGTAAAGTAGCACACCTCAGGTAATCACACTAATGAATTCAAGCATCCCCCATATTCCTTTCTCCTTTTCCCTTCCCTCTCTTTCTCCCTTTCTTCCACAGTGGCGGGCCCGCACAAGAAGTGCCGAACAACAAAGAAGTGTTTGTTTGCATAACATTAGCCCCGCACGCTCACACACAGTGGCTGGGGCCTGACTGCAGGACTGACTGGAGGCTTCCCATGAACACAGGTGGAGCAGGGCGAGCATCACTGGGACCAATTAGAGCAGAGCTCAGGTACATTAGCATGTTTGAGTGGAGCAGGCAGGCATGGGGATTGGTAGGCCTTACAAAATGCACAAAGACATGACCACGGACTAGTGTGTGTGTGTGTGTTGTCTCCAGTGCCATAACTGGCATATGTGTGACAAATGACCTCCAGTCTGCTGCTGTCACTGCTCATCCTGCTCTTTCTGTCTCAATGAATCAAATATTTCCCGACTGAAGCTTTCTTCACATTTAAGCTCTTTGGATTATTTTTATAACTGAATACAAATAAAACTATGTGCTACTATTCTAAAGATAAATGTCAGAAAGTGAGGTCCGATTAATTCAAGTTTGTCATCATATTGGAAAACAAGTAAAGTAATCGTCTAAGATGTGATTGGTACATTATACTTTTGTAGAATTTTGCAGATTTTCACAGAAAAATTTGCCATCCTAATGATGATGTTATAAAATATGGTATGAAGATAGAGTCTGAATCAAACAGTGCCATCCTTGTATCCTCAACAGATCCACTTCAAGTTATTGCAGCAATACATGAATTTAAAGCAAGTTCCTGAGATGATTTTTACTACCAGTGTAAATTAAAGATAAAAACATGTTAAGAGTTGAGGATTCAAGTCTGGATGTACAACTTCTCCTCTGTCATCCTCTCCTAGTTGGACAAGCCCAGATTACAGCCACAGGGACTATGACGGATCAAAAAGTTCATCTAAAGTTTCTTCTGGGTGTTTGATCTTTTGACCTTTGAAAGTGATTCCCCACACCCTGTACAGGCCGTCGCATCTCAAAACTCATACTCTCTGCTGTGGCTGCCCAGAGCTGTTGGTCATAGGTGAGGGTCAAAACTTGAGACTTGTGATTGACCTAACAGAGCTTACTGCTTCTACAACATAGTAGAAACTTTGACCCCAATGAGGAGAAGCTTAGGAATGTATTTTAGCCAGTTAGCATGTGCTCTGTGGATGTGATAGATTGGAAAGACAAAGATTTCACTTTGTGTATTTCTTTGGTTAAGGGATTTAGGTTTGTTGTATATTCTACATTAAATGTATCCACCCGAAGATACAGAAAGCTTTTGTTTTAGTCAGGCTGAACTGCAGAGATTAAGTTCAGTAACATTTATCATAGAGGTAAGATTAAAATTTACAGTCAAACCTAGAAAGAAAACTATCTGGATATAAATATTCCTGTCCTTTCAAACAGCCCCTGGTACTCTGTAGAGACCGTTGAGATGGTAGACTCAGACACTTCATCTCAGTCATAAATGACACCATTGGACACTGTAATAAAGTTAATAGCAACAGTTTCATATTTCTCTTGTGCTTAACCTCCATCTGTCTGTACGGTACAGGTGAGATTTATTGTCTCGTGAGTTAAGACAAATGGACGCTCACCTACATCCACACAAGCACACACAGATCAGTGAGCTGTGGGGCGAAGCACTTCATCACAGCCGCCCACCGAGGCCAGTGGGCAGGAAAACTGAGCAAAGAACTGCACTCAGGTCACTGTCAGATGCTTTGATGTATTACTTGTGTGTCCTCTGCGAGCCAGTGAGAGCTGTGCAGACAAAATAAACATTTGGTTTTTAGGCTGTTTACCATAAAGTAGTTTATGTACCCCTATATGTACGCTGTCTTCACTATGACTTAATACAACATGCAGTAATCTGAGTGCATTACAACAAGTATCACTGTTAGATAAAACTACACCAGCATTGTAGCATCATTTCTTGCCACTAGGTGGCAGCAAAATGTCAAAGACTGTGACTTTTTATGGTGTGAGAAACAACCAGGTGAGATATTCAGCAGCAGACAGTTTCTTATATACATTTTCAGCTGTAGCTCGACATTAACGTAGTGTTTCTTTCAATGGTTGTTTTTACAGTCAATTTTCAGACTATTGTAAAAAGGAGGGGTAAATTGTTGTGAATAAGTTGTAATTGAAACACTCAATAGTGGATGATTCCCCCAGCTTGCATGTGCGTATAAGACTTCTCCACTAGATGGTGCTGCTAACATTACAAATGTTACTTCTCAATTCAAACCTGCACTCTCAGAGAAAATCCACTGAGGTAAAGTTTGGCCATTACACTGTTGTAGAATGAGATACTTGTAAATAACAGAGCAAAAGCAGACATAATCCAATGCAGCAATCAAACTGAGATGACGACAGTAATGGACAAATCATTGAACAAATGTTTTGTATATTGGCTTTGGTTATATATTTACATGAGAGATGTGTCATGAAAGGATTCATCTGTAGTTTGCTGGTAGTTATGGCAATTAGTATTCCAACAAGGTTAGACAAGATATCAGGCACAAGGAGTTGTGAAATAGTCATAAACACACAAAACACCCTCCTTGCTTGGACTGGATTGTTTTCTCTCCGCTACATCACCTGCTGCAATAATTCAAAAAGTACAGTCAGATAGGAGATTATTTGATTTTTTTGTGTGTCACATGTTCAACAATCTATGCTCTATTATGCTCTATAAAACAATTATTTGTCAAAAAACAGTAAAACAAAAAAAAGTTGCCTTGGTGTGGTCATGGAATATCATACATCAGCAAAAATGCACATCTGCAGGACTCAAACTGGAGGTTTGACTCACCCGAGTAAGAAGAAATAGATGAATAAAACCTTAAATACTCTCTGCAGACTCCATGTTAAATCTTGATAGATAGATAGATAGAGAGATAGATGCTGCAGGTAAGTAAGTATGAAACAGGAAGATAATATTTTAATGTAAAATTACACACAACACTGCTGAGAAGTCAAGCTCTTTGTGTTTTTGTGCAGATATGATTAACATCAGAGGGGAGGTAGACTCTGTCACTCCAGGACTTGGTTCGGGGGCTTGTTTTATCTGCTTGAGAAGGTAAGTGTCCAAACAGAGCTCACCCAGGTCAGTAACACCCTTATATACCTACAGTCAGAGAGACACAGCTTAAAATTCAGGTACTCTGACACTAATGCGGAACAGTCAATGGTACATAAACCATTGTAAAGAAAATTGTTTTAAAAATTATAAAAAGATGTTTTTTGCTATTTAATTCTCCCCAGTTTTATTGTATCAGGAAACTCAGACGTGTGGTTCTCAAGGTTAGGTTCAATAAATAATAGCTGTTCAGAAAAATAAATAGAAGATTTCTAGGCCTTTCTGTCTGACTCAAAAGACCTGATAGTAAAATAGCATGCTGCACCACTAGGGGGCAGTACGCTATCATACATTGTGACTACAAATACAAGCACAGACAGGTATAGTTTACAGCAATAGAAATGGAGTTATTCACAGGATTTTTCAAACGGAGGATGAATGTTTTTTTTCTGCTTTTACCTTAAACCTGAGGACTATTCAGACATGGGCCTTGTCTTTGTTGAGGTTGAGATGTTATTTTATTTGCGTTCTTACTTTGCAGTCCGTGTTCATATTTACCCTTTTTGTATTTAATTCATAGTTCTATCTCTGTTGTATGTGCAGCAATTACACCGCTTCTTGTTTGTAAAAGTCGAAGCTTCCCTGAGTTTCCGTGTGAGTATAAGACTTCTCCACTAGATGGTGCCGCAAACATCCAGAATGTTTCTTCTCATTTCTTTAACCAGCTTCGCCACAAAACATCCACTGAGGTTAAATATGGTCAACAGAAGACTGCATAACAAGATACTTGTAAATAAGAGAACAAAGGCAGACATAATTACATGCAGTAATCAAACCATGACGCTGACAGCCATGGAGTTTATACTTGAAGAACAAATTAATTGGGTCGTCTATTTACATAAGGGATGTGTCGTGTGTATCTAACTGTCATTATTGAACACACATGCCCATCATGTACTGTGCGGACTGATCGCACACAGTCTGATGTGCCATGGCTATTTACATTAGCAAAGTTTATCCACACTCACAGACGTCAGAGCTATGTATTGTCTGATTGTCATGGCACAACATGGAGATCTACACCCAGGCTGTGTTTTAATGGTGACAATTACACCTCCCACACATGTACACTTCACACTCTTATTGCAGTAATTTATTATTATGCACACACTTGTGTTTGTATTTTAACTCCTAACATGTAATTATTTCTCCAGGTTCAAATAAATGACTGATTTTTTAAAAGGCTTTCCTTGAAATGAAAATGTTAAAATGAAGGAGGCATCTTGTCCAGATTTGTCTAGATTTGTTGTATTTAAATGCTTCACAGCCGCAGAGAAAGCCTTATTAAGGATTTGACAGTCCATTTGGTGGTCTCACTCAAAATCTTATTGCAGCTCTGCTGTAGTGGCCATATGGGCTGTGTCTCTGAAAGTCTGCCTGAGTCCACCAACCACAATCAGACCTGCCATCTGGCGTCGAGGCGCTGCATGCTGCGCTGACTAATGTGTGCAGGTGACTTCTGTGCTTTAATTCAGAGCCATTACTCGCATTATTCCCTAGATTCGTGCTGTTTTTTTAATCGTATCAGCCAAAGAATAACGTGATGATCGGATTGAGTTTGAGGCTTTTTGTCGGCTGGCGTGGTGAGGCGCATTTAAGGATTTGGTGTGCCAAAATCCGCAGAAATTACGCATTTTGATTTAACCAATTTGGTCCATGTTAAAGCACAAATCGTTATTTTCTCTATTAAATATTGACACATCATATTTTTTAAATGAATCGTGTTGTGTTCCTAATTATTCGATTTGTTGGCACCCGAATCACAGCACCAAAGACGCTTCTGGTGCCATTACGCACCAACCTACAGTAAAACTGAAACTGTTGTTTATGATTTCACTTACGATAATCAAAAATGATGTGGATAGTAATACATTTTGGACAATGGAGGACTTTACTTCTAATTCATTCAGTCCAGTCTTTAAGTTCTGAGGGTGGGGCATGTTTGTTATATTACAGTTAGGCCATATAGTTGATTGTTTGTTTAGAAGGAGAGCTCCAAAACAGTCGATTAATCCCGAAGTCGACTGTTGTTCCCATAGGATAATTCAAATTTACGATTATAATCTCAGTTTACTGAAATGATTACAGCATCTTTGTGAGAGGAATACATTTTCTTTTCAACTCCTCAAAAGTCTGCACATTTGTATCCCTCATGCTGTTCTATCCTTTCAATAACAGCGTACGATGTTTTAGTGTTTCTAAACTATCTGTTTTTGCCACTCAGTTTTGAACTGTTCGACCAGAATCGAATGGGAGGTGATTGGGATTAAACTGGGATGTCTCTGGTGTGATGGGCGCTGTCCATGGTGCTGGAGGAGTCACTGACTCCCAGGAGTGGCCATGTCAACGCCAATCATGACTTTGAGTTGTTCTGTCCCCTTTCTTTCTTTCTTTCTTTCTTTCTTTCTTTCTTTCTTTCTTTCTTTCTTTCTTTCTTTCATTTAGGTGATGAAGTACATAGCCTACTTTGGTATCTAAAATTAGGTTATTTTTCCAGCCTAATGTCAGACCACTTCAAACCAAAACCCTGTGTCTCCGTCGCCCTCGTAGATTCTCCTCCTTGTCCTTCCACTAAACGAGCTCAGATTAGAAAGTACCTCTGTCTCTATTCGAGTACCGGGCCCGGTCTTGGTGCGGAGGCGGCCGCTTTAAAAGGAGCTGGCTTCGACGTCAGCGCCGTTTTAGACATGTGGCTCTGACATCCAATCGCCTGATCGCGGCTTTAGTCAGCCCTTTTCTCTCAGGAGATCCCTCTGCTGAAGACCAGCGTAGACAAAGGTTACCCACGGCTGCACGACCATCTCCAGATACCACTAGGATCGAGATTTTTTCCTCCTTTCTCTCACACCCGCAGCATCAGTTCTTGTCATCGGCTTGGACCACCGTGTAGCGACCATGTCTGTAGCAGGGCTTAAGAAGCAGTTCCACAAAGCCACTCAGGTAAGCGGAGGCGACATTCTGCACACCAAATCCCAGTAGATCCTCATGGTGTAGAGTCACGTTGTTTAAGGAATTTGCAGTGTTGATCAGAGGGTAAAGATTGGCATTTTTAACTAACCCTTTTATGCTGTTTATAAACGAACCTTTGCTCCATCTATCACCTCCAAACCTCTACCTTACCGCTGTCCTGGTGCTGAAATGTGCTCCTGTGTAGAGACTGCAGCACTGCACCATCAGAATCATGTACTACTCATGTCGACCGCTGCAGTCTGGGCTGTAATTTAATGTGATTATTCGATGCATGACGGGGAGATACGGGATAATTATTCATGTCATGTGTCTGCTCGGCACGACACAGCGCTCATAGTGATGATAGTGATGCCGGGAACGTCAGATCCTCCCGGTACCCTTCAGATGACATTCCGCGCCGGAATCCGGCAGAACCGCAGCTCATGGCAGCCACGGGCATTAGTAATGCGCAAACTGTAGTGTTGTATGAAGGATAATGGTTTAAAACGGTGTTTTTTCAGCCAATAGCAGTGGGAACTCCGGCGCGCGAGATGTTATGCAATCGTTAAGAGCGCCTTGGTGGAAATCCGCTCCTGCCAGCAGCAGCACGCCATGACCTCCGCGCCCTCTAAACGCATTTATCGCCTATTGCGGGACACCGGTGATGAATTAAATCATGGCTTCCCCCTTCTCTAATGCAGGATCTCCTGTAGTTAAAAGTTAAAGGCCCCACATGTAGGACACACTCAGTTCAAGGTTACTCAAAGGCTTCCTCAACCCCTCCCAGCCATCTCAGCATCTTTGTTTTTCCCACCCAGGAGCTCAGGCTGAAATTTCTTTAACCATCAGTCACTCTCACAGGGTTGGCCCCAGGTCACAAAAGGTCTCAAATGGGATCTTGATGGACAGATCCATTCCCTGCAGTAGCCTCACACTGACTCTGGGGCCTTAAGTGACTTTTATTTTCTGTGCTGGTTGTAAGGGAGGTTGTCAGTTTCTGGGTGTGAGTCACAGGGACACTGAAGCCCTAAGCCTGGCACAGCGGGACACCCCCAGCCTGGCTGAGTCACATATATACACACCTCTGTCCATGCTTGTTCTCCAGTTCACCCAGTTTCTAAATGACTAGGGTTATAGCCCCCAGTTTGTATCATTCTTCAACTTAATGAGCAATTGAAACTGGAATGGGAGAAGATGATGGCTTCATTGTGACTCTGATTACTCTGTGTGTCGTGTAGGTCAGCCTCTGTAGATATTTAACTCTCTTTACTGCACATTAAACCTGGGTTGTGGAGTCATAAGTTAATTTACTCAATTATCAGCTGGGATCAGATATGGTGATACATAATGTTTTATTTTTAGTCCATCTGTTATAAACTGACACTAAAAAGCCTTTTGTGGATTCATGTAGCTGAGGTTCTCCGCACCTTTTCTGGTCATTTGGAGTTTCATCATGTCTGAAGATTAAGTAGAAAGTAAATAATTTCAAATGTGCCTGCTCTGCTGTTAACACACTTCTCAGTTTTAATCAGCAGCTCATCTGATCTGATTGGAAGGAGACAGCAGCACTTGGGGCATTAGATGGCTGCACAGATTGTGTTAATTCAGTGTGATGAGTCTATTGTCACTCATTAGCAGAATCATGTCTCTCTCTCTCTGTGGATGAGAAATGCCTCTGTGTGAGTGTGAGGCAATGCTGCTTGGGAGGTATTTTATCTGTAAAATATGCACACAGTTATGTCTCAAAGAGCACATGCATTAAGAGGTGTTGCTGAGTGTGTAAAATTGCCTCGATTACAGTTGAATTTGTAGATTTTTACACAACACTGTCATCATTACTCAGTTTTATTCCCAATGTGATTCAGTCAGCTCGAGGCCCAGACTTAGCTGTCTCTGTGGTCTTATACCGTCTGCTCCTCTGCTTTAAAACCCCCAAACCTCTTTACCACACACACACACACAGTCCTCTCCTCCCCAGACTCTCAGTGGCAGAAGGCGCCTTACAACCCCTTTGGTCAAGTGCCACAGTCCTGTAATCCAGGCCCAGACCCACAGCAATCTGGCTGCTTAAACACACATCCTCTAAGCAGACTGCAGCAGTACCCCACAACCCAGCATGTGAAGAGGGGGTCACAAGGATTAAGGGATTAAAACGTATCAGATAACAATTTGGCTCAATATATATTAGAGGTTATGGAACAGTTTGATTTTTGAGCAAAATTGCTGATTAGCTCCCAAGCTGGAGGCAGGATGAAGAGATTAGGTCCCATTTCTCAGCTTCACAGTGAATGTTGGCTAAATTTAGTCTTAAGATTACAATCAGTACCCTGGCTGCAGAAATTGCAAGAAGGGGTGTCTCTTTGCCCAGGCACAGTGAGGATTGGGTGGTAAGGAAAACTCCATCATGCTGCTCATATTGTGACTAAACTACACCAAAATGATGTAAAGATGTGTTTCATGTTTGGATTTTTCTTTCTAATGTTGTTTACAATGTCAAATAATCCTGCTGCTGATCAATAAATCCAGTAGTCTGGCAGATAAAGTGCATAATTAATGGCTTTCCAAGGCCAGTAACAACATCCCGATCATTACATCGGTCCTGTTTGTATTCTGCCAGCCTTGTGCTGTGCTGCTCTCCCACACAGTTTTCTAGACCAGCCCTGTAATATGGAGGCTCAAGCTGAGAGGATTCTGGGACATTATTGTGATAGGATGCTTTCAAAATCAAGCTTACTCAGGCTATGTCCTTCAGACTTTCCTTCCACAGCTGTAAATTCACAACAGTTCACGGTTCTAGAATCCATTCAACACCGTATGAAAATCCAATTTTATCTTGGAGCTGTAAAGCTTACTGATCTGTAAAATCATTTTCATTTTCAAAGAGAAATACAGCCTTGAACTTAAAAAAGAGAAAAAGAAATATAAAGTCGATATGAAGTTTTGAAGTATTTGAAATTGTCCCACAGTGAGATGCAGCATCTTAGTCTACGGTCACAAAATTTTACACTTCCATGGAGACAATGAGCTGCAGTAGTATCTTCCTGTTTTATTAGAAGACTGCTGAATTCCTGAATTGCTGCGTTGTCTGTGTAGCTCTTTGTGTGGCTAAGTGCTAATTAGCTTTGCAGCTTAGTCTACAGTTAACATGCAGCATCTGCTTACTGCGACATAGAGATTCCTCATTCCTGTGCACAGAGGCTTGCAGCATTCCTTTATTACTGACTTCATGCACTCTGCAGAGGGAAGCCGCTCATAAAAGGCAGAGAGCCATGAAGTCACCAGATTTTTATGGGCTTCACATACACGAGCACGCACACACGCACGCACGCAGGCACACAAACACACAAACTCACTTTCACCTTCTTTCATACATCACTGAGTGATTTATTTCACAAGACCACAATTACACTTTCCCATGACAGAAGACCCCCCTACCCCCACCCCTGCCACTCTCTCTCACCAAGGACATTAGGCCTCACAGAAGTGCTAATATCGCAGGACATTTGACAAAGAATGGAGGCGTAACGCGTGAAGGACATTGCCTTTTAAGTAAAACAACTAATTTATTTATCCAGCAATCCATCATTCACTTCCTCTCTGGATTAGGTTATAAAACAGTGCATTTAGTAAAACATTTGAATGCTTTGGGATAGTTTTGTTCATAGTTTGACACTTAATGACATTGTATTTCCAATCGATTGATTTAAAGCTGAGATTGAGTGGCTGCACTGCATGAAACATCAGAAGTCACCTCCAGCTCACAGCCAAATGAGTCATGGATGGAGCAGATGTTACCTCCATGATGGCTCTGTTCCCATGTGGAGTCATGTTTACGTGTGTGTGAGTCTGCAGCTTATGTGTGTGTGTGTGTATCAGGGATGTTAACATCATTATGTGATGTGGCCTTTTATTTGGGAGAACTGTTATATCTATTCATCTGAAAGGAGCAAACTGCATGATGCATTTGCTGAAGCCCGATAGTCCAGCTTGTGATGTTTTGATTGTGCCCCTGTGAAAATACCAGTGTTTATCTCAATGGAGAGAGTCTGTGCTGTGAGCAAAGAGACAAAAATAAGATCATTAAATAGGAACTGCAGGAGGGAGAGAGCAGAGACGAGGATGGTGGGGAAGCTTGAGAAACTGTGCCATGGTAAAAGAGAGGGAGAAAAACAAGAAAAGAAAAGTCTCATGGGGTGCCTGAGCTTGGAGCTTTTCCAGATGAAATGGTTGCTTTGCTTCTCAACCAGCGTCAGAAGGAGGATAACAAGTATGCTCACAAGTATGACTTCTATTGCAGTCACATCACATAGGTTGGTTAGATGTAATGCTTGATTTCCTTTCCTTATATCGGGTCGTTGGGTACAAGACTAGCGAGCAGTCCTATCACTGTTTGTAAAATTATTGATACACTGCCTATTGAAAAGCCTATTGCTCTTTTAATACTGCTCTTTTCTTGTTGTCTATATGTTCATATGGCATTTTTCTGATACTAGAGGACATATAAGAAAAAGAAGTGCGAAATTGCATTTCTGAGTATTTCTGCATTCAAATCACTGTGAATCTCTGGCAGACCCAAACGGCAGGTTCAAAAACAGTGAGATTTCAATCCAAGCTCCGCCCCCGGAGCCCCTCCCCCCGAGAGGACGATCACATAACAAGCGTCTGTGTTAGCGGATTGAAATGCTCTATTAGCTTTTATCATGCCCCTAAAGACATTAGTGTCCGAGAGCTGAATAGCTCCTATGTTACCTGTTTCTTCTACTACACCGACAATGTTAGGCTGTAAGCTGACTCGAGGAGAAGTGTTGGAGCAGTGCTGTCTCCGCCCACGACTCAGAGGTGAATTGCTAATGAGCTAGGCTTGACTTGCTAGTGATCAGGCTAGCAAGTCAACATACTCCCACATACTCTTGATGTCAAGTTAACACCATTTGAACTATGTATTGTTTTTCCACTTCACCCAACTTAACAAATCCATAATAATGCAGGAATATTGAATCTACTCACAGAGAGGAATCAAACATGACAGTACCAGTGGTTAATTATGTCTTCAGAAAACCAGATTTGTTGGTAAACCACATTAAGTCTTATTCTAATTTCAGAAACTCAACGTAAATAGAGAAAAAGAAAAATGATATAAACTTTCCTCTGGAAACCTTGGTAACTGAAGCAGAGGAGTCTCTGCAGGTTGTAGAGTTATACCACATGGTGAGCTCTGGGTCGTAATATCCCCTTTGTGTGTTAAAAAGGATCTCCTGCTGTTTTAACATTTTACCAGAGGGAAACTGGACCCCTCTGAGGAACATCTGTACGCCCAGCATGAGCGCTTATGTTATGTACAGTAGGTACACGTGGACCTGTGTGACAGCAGGAATCCACATGTGTTTGAGTACTGTCAGTGATGTACAATCAGAAAGCTGCTTTAAAAGGGCTCTATCATTTTTCTTTTTTACAGTGGATAGCAGAGCAGTAATCCCTTGTTTTTTAGTCAGCGGTGGTTCTGCTCGATGTTTCCCAGTGTGTGTGCTGAATGCTAATAGCAGTATTACACATGTCTTTCACTATCCTGTGTGTAGCTTTAAGATTTGTCTACTGAAAGCAATCTCCTCTTGCCTCAAGGCAAATATTCAAGTGTTGGGGACTCTTTTCTTGGTCCATTTAGATTTAATTCTCTGTGTATGTGCGCAGACACACAGTGCCCTTTTGGGTATGCACTGTGTAGGTGTGCATGTGAGCGTGCAGATCTGTACATGCGTGCCTCCCTACGGGCAGCAGAGGGGTCCGTGGATGTGACTGACGCCTGCAGGGGCTTTAGGGCAGCAGATTGTGAGTGGATGACTCATCCAGCCCGGATCCTTACTGGGGCTACTGCAGTGCAGCGTAAAACAGATCCAGCTGGGAGATAACAGATGGGTCGGGAGGGACAAGGAGAGGGAAGCAAGCACAGTTAGATAAGAGAAGACAAGAAAGGGGGGAGAAGAAAGTAATCAGCCTTGAGCAGGTAGGGACGGCAGGGAGATAAAGAGAGAATTCAGCCAAGAGATACTGACAGTGAGGAGGGACTCAGCCAAATCAAACAGCAGAGAGTGAGAACAGTGGGTCTGTGGGGATGCACTGTTTTCCATACCTTCTCAGATATCACCAACAAATTAAAAATAGTATGTTATTAGTGCAACGACAGTAGATCTGGATAAGGTTTAAAGTATTGATTTCTTTCCATTTGACTGACCTTTCCACCCTCACCCCCTGCTTCATTGCACCAAGGAGGTGAACAGCCGCTCCATTTTAGAGCTGAAACCTGGCTTCAATTTCACTTCTAATACAGGATTGCCCAGTGGGGACAAAACTCTGAGGGCTGGGTTTTAAGTACAGATATGTTGTGTCATGGTTGTCATTTTCTAACAAGCCTGAGATGTCAAGTGACCAGTCTCATTTTTTAAATAATCCCTTGAGAATTGAATTCTCTTAGACCAGCTGACACAGTGCGTCCACTTTTGGCACGGTGCGGGTCAGCATTGCAACAAAAAGCGATGCTGCACTGGATCACATCCAGCCATACCTGCAGTTGAAAAGCTCCTCTCCTTTCATCTTTATTCTTCTTTCACTACTCTGCTCCTGCTGTATTGCTTTCCTTTTTCTTTTTCCTTGTCCTTTGCTTGTGGCTTAAAAGCAGATTTCACTCACTGAAGCAGAGCACTTCCATCAGGACTTTTTCCCTCAGGTGTCCTATGCTTAACAGGAAAAAAATCTCAGTTAGCTTTTTGACAGCTGCACCAGTATTTCCATCTGACACACTTGATCCCAGCTCCTGAAGGCTGCTCCTTTCCCCAAGTTCTCAAACAAGGAAGTGACTCACCAGTCCTGAGGCATACTATTAATACCAGTGTTATAGTAGAAATGGAATATGAACTGTAATTTTACAGCAAGTTTCTGGTCTGAACTTTTACACAACATGTCACATTCACCAGTTTAAATCACATCCATCCACTCATGCCTGCCCATCAGTATTAAATAATCATTCACTCCAGACTGGCGATGCCACAGGGAGCAATTTGGGATTTAGTGTCGCCCAAGGACACTATGGTATGTGACTGCAAGAGGTGGGATCAAATCACAGATTTAGAGACAGCCGACTCTGCCACTAAGCCCTGATGTCAGCTCCATCACATTGGCTCAAACACCTTCGTATTGATTTCTCCAAAGCCACATAGATCCTGTAACGATCCTTTTGTGTGTTTGTACAACGCATCACTGTAAGGTAGGCAGGGGAGGCATGATGATGTTTATTATAGTAAAACATTAGAGTTTCAGCTTTTATCTCTTTTGTTTTCAGAACTGTAAGATCCAAAAGTAAAAGGTGCTGTAGGTCCTGAAAAAAACAAACTACAACACACTCAAATAACAGCAACATCAGCTCGAGTAAGCCTTCAACTTGTCTGTCGTCAACATGATGAAGTTAATTGTCTCCAACTACCCCTTAGCTCTTTTCAGCATGCCACTGACTTTTAGAAACCCTGTAAGCGCTTCAAAAACTCTCCAGTAGGAGTCTGAAATAGCTTGTGTTCAAGATCCTGCATTATACATCTAAGCAAAAGTGCTGTTTAAAGATTCGTTAGCTCGAAATAGAGGAAACCATAAGAACCAAAGAAAAACTCAGCTGAAAATCATTAAAGATTGAAACAAACCCTATCAACTCACAAAGAGAATTAATTAAAGAAGTTGACTCTTTAACTTTGAGTGACCTTTCTGTTACACAACCTTTGACAGGAGTGCACATGCAGACACCAGAGGGCTGAAAACTGGACAGTGAAGCTGTCTTTGTTTTGACTTCAGCTCTGTTCTGGAGGTTAATGACAGACGGACATGGCCTGTAACCATCCTATTCTTAGCCTGGCCTGTTTGCACATTTTGAATAAGAGCACTGGTGAGGTAAACTCATTAAACGTCCTCAGCCAGAAGAAATCTGAATTAAATTGTTTAAATCTGTCAAAGAAAAAAGCAAAGACAGAAGGAAATTCAGCAGCTGTTGTAGTTTTTTTGTCTGTGAGAGCTGCTGTTTGCTTCTGTCTGTCGGTGAGTTTCTCTCGGGTGTTTTCCTCTCCCTTATTTCTCCTCCTGCTTCTCTTTCAGCATCAGTATTCAGGCCATGCTTGATGTTTTATTCAGGACTGCTGTATTACATATTCTGGGCATCAAACACTGCAGGAGAAGCTGCTGATGGCTCAGGGCGGGAAGGGGGAAATTCTCTGAACCTGTTATCACAGGTTGAAGGTTTGTCTTCTCTGACAGAATGAATGAGAAAGTGACTATCAGGAAGTTTAGGTTATTTGCCAATGATATACCTTACTGAAAGTTTAGTTATGTTACACTACAATATAATACTGTTAGGTTTGGGTTTATGTGATGATTTCAAAGTTTGTATCACCATCCTTGGAAACATTGAACCTTTTTACCTCCATGCACTCAAATATCTGCAAACACAGATAAGCCAAAATTGAACCACCTCCATACCCATACACACTCATTCTCCTTTTATTCAGGGACATTCAGGTCGGATCATTATTAGCCAAATATATTACCCAGAGGTCTGCAATCTCCTACAAAGCCATTCACTGGCTGGTTATTGGCTCTTATGATATATCTGCTGACATGTCATGAATATAATGAAAGCACGGAAACATAATTTGCAGACACGGACATTTTTATATCCTTTCAGACCTTGTGAATGTACAGACGGTCATGCATAGTGCTTCTGCTCAAAGGGTCAAAGGTCATAAAGCAGGTCAACTGGGTCAGTCAGGCTTTCACTCATTTCACTTGAGATAAAGCATTGATTTAAAAAAAATCTGTATAAAATTGTAAGATATGAGACTAAAAATGCATTTAAAATGAGAACACAGAGCTAAAAATTTTAAATAAATGATAACTTGAAAGAGCATATATTAGTGAAAAGCAGTGTTGTTTTCGTTGACGATGACGTTGACGAAAATATCTCGTCAACGTCATCGTCAACAAAAACAGCACTGCAGAATATATGTTTAGCGTTTGACTGATGAAATACTCATGAATTTTGCAACTCTGTTCGTCGTCCACCACTAACGTTTTCGTCTAGTCTTGTCTCCTCAATGTAAACACACATTTGTCTCGTCACATTTTAGTCATCTAAGACTTATGTTTAGCTCGTCAACGTCGAAGTAGAAGATTTCAGAATACAGCAGATGTCATAAAAAGTGCCCATCCTCTGCCCAATCATGCTCTGAATTTGCCCTCTTCTCAGCTCTTGAGACTTAAAATATGCAGCTAACAAAATGTGACACAGCAGTGTACAGTATGTTCTCTGTGCTCTAGCAGATGCATTAACTCCTTTGCCAGGAGAAGTAAAGGGGGCATATGGACCAGGGGGAAAAAAAGGAAAGAGGAGGGGATGAAGAGCAGCAGAGAGCAGGAGGAGATGAGAGGAGGAAGTCGTGGAGTTAAAGGGGGAATAGAGGAGGATGTTGCACACAAAAGGGGAGTGGGAGCTTTGCTCTGAGGCAGCTGCAGCATCATGTCCTCAGTCTGATGCCTAATTTAGCTGATGAAGGGACAGTAATGAGGGACCGGAAAACAACATGATTCATTGTATTCACGTTTTTTACCCAGCAGCTTTCAGGGAGGAGTTTAGGTGTTTTTTAGTGAGCTTGCTTGTATGTATCTATAAAAAAAAACATGTCGCCATGGACACGCAGTGCACACACATCAATTTCTCACTGACTGCAGCTCTGAGTCTGGCTGGTTTGTGAGGGATTATACTCAGATTAATCAGAGCACAGTGACTTTGCATCATTCTGAGGCTGTGTGTGACTCAGAATCAGAAAGCTGCAGAGATAATCTGTGAAACGTGCTGCATGTGCCCCACCAGACCAACAAAATGTACCATGTGACAGGGTCACAAACTCATGATCTCCCCCTTTGTGTCTTTTAAGCAAATTCCCTTTGGGACTTTTGGTGCAGTGGTATGATTTTTAAACTCCACCGTTATCGAATGGAAACTGCACAATCTATGCTGAGAAATTCCTCAAAATGTTTAGGATGAGAGCTAGAGTACAGCATATAAGCTTTGTTTTTGCATATTTCACTGTTAACTATGTACCAAAATCTTATCAAATATACAGTCATTAATTATGACTAATTTTGCCAGATACTGTTTTGTGATTAGCCTAATGTTGTAGCTCACAGTGAGTAGTAAATCATTTAATCACAATGCTGCTAAGTGTAAACAAGCTTCCTCATCACCCACTGGATGTGTAAAGGAAAGCCACAGACTTGTGTGTAAACAAAGTTATTGTCCTGCTGCTTGGACAAAACATGACAAACAGACTGAGCAGTGGATTAGACCGCTTAAATTAAATGCAAATGAGGGTTGTTTTTTTAATTAGGAGATGGAGGAGGATGGGCCTCTGTGAATTTGTATGAAGGTGTGTATTTGGAGTAATGTGAGCAGGTGTTTGGAATATAAAGGTAAATAAGGTGGTGTGGATGTTTATTTATTTGCTTTGAAGGATCACATGAGAGAAGGAATCTGAATTTTAGTTAAAAAAAGATATATTTTTCTACCAAACTTGTTAACTTGTGAGTTTATCTCCATTTAAAAATAATGATAGTAATAATAATACATATGCGAATAAAAATAATAACTATGCTGTACAAGTATAAATTAATACGTATAGTATTGATTTGCATTTTAAATCATTTTATTATTGTTGTGTGTAGTAGTATGAGTAAATCAAGACCCTACTGCTCTGCATTGGAGTCTGGATCACCCTCTTGAGATGCTAATTTGCATAACCACCTGCTCACTATACTACATCAACCAGCTTCATAACCAGCTACCAGCTAAACCTTAAAAAGCTGACACACATGATTTCATGGGGTTTTTAAATCTGAAAATCATTTATTTATACAGCTTAAAAAGTCTCTCCAATTGCACAGCAAGTACTGACTGTTGCCGTGGCAACATACTCTCATCAGTCTCCTTGCATTAAGGATTAATATTAGAAGGAACATCTCAGCTGACACTCAAGTCAAAACATGAGCTGCTCTTTTAATAAATTACATCAAACTCAACATTTCCATGAAATGTAATGTTAGAGGGGGTGAACAGGACTTTAGTGACAGATATTCATGTAGGCATTTTTGTCCCCATCCATTCTCGTGTGGAACGAGGGTCTCTGCATTTGACAGACCTTTTAACATACAGTAAAATAAGTTGAACACAGGTGTTTCTGTCCCTTATGGCTTCATTGATTTTGTAGAATCAGTAGCTTAGAGATGCACCCACTAGCTTTGTTGTCATCTGGTTGTCCCCTGGTGGCTTTTGCTCCTGAGAGTTAGATTCTGTTAATGCATTCAATGTTAACATATTAATGCAATAAATGCTGAAACCAGATAGAAACGCAGAATGACGTTATACAAGTCAGATGTGGGAGCTAACACTAAAGGTCACTAAAGCTGAAGAGGTCCTTACAGAAGTTTAATGTGGTAGGTACAGAGTCATTTTCTACAGTTTTGCAGCTCTTTTGTATCATATTTCCTGAAGTAGATATTTCTGTCTCATAGTGACTTCATGAGCTTTAAGCAACTTTGGTTCGTGAGTGTTATTCATTCATGTTTTTAGAGGGAGTTAGTCACCACAAACCTTTAACATGAAGAGACTGATGGGAAGACCCCAGTATCCACGCAGTAGATGTAAAGTTACTGACTGTGTGTATTAGTGCATACATTTGTCTAGGCTTGTATCCAAATAGTATTATCCACCACAGTGAAGGCACAAACACAAAACATCATCAGTAGGTTTTATTATCACTACAAAAGAGTCTAGTTACTCTCAAATAAGCCACATTAGCCTGACAAGTCCAGATATAAATCCTTTAATGCTGAATATAAGTACTTGATTTAATGTAACACATAAAAAGTGGTTTTAAGCGTTACATCTTGTCTGAAGAAACTAAAAAAAATAGACTTGTTTGCAGCTGTTTTTACTCATCACAGCCAATATAGTCCACACATTTGGGTAACATCTTAAAATCAGTTTGCTCCGTATTATAGACTTATGCTGTCGATTACAGCAGACTTTTCATAAATCACGCTCTCTGTTATGTTACGGCGCTCAGTTCTTGTTATTATTGAGCTCTGAGTTCACACCTTCTCAGGAGACACACTCTGGTACACGCTGACCTGTTTCTTACTTTTAGAAGCAATCTCAGTGTTGCTGGGTAATAAAAATTATGCTGGTAATTACTTCAATACACTTATGATCAGGCCTCAATAATGGAGAAGGTGTGCCTTCAATAAACCTCACAATGTAGTAGACTTATCTGTGCGGCTGGTCCTAATCCTATGGCATTAAATTCACAATTTTTTTTCTTTTATAATCAAACATAAAATACTTGTGATTTAAAAAGTTTCAAATTAAGGAATTAAACTTACTTTTCAGGCTGATTAGGACACTAATGCTCGAAAATATTCAGTTTATGATCCTCATTGTTAGTGGAGGGCTGATGATTGGCCCAACGGAGAGCCTGAAACCATTGATGATGATCGTGACTTTTTGTTTTTTTCTCAAAAATATTCCCCTTTACTTTTGCCCTCTGACTAATAAATGACCCACCTTACATTTGTACATCCTTTTATTTGATATTTGAATACACCACAGTGCTTTTTCAACTAACATGAACTGTCTCTGCATGAATGAGGAAGTTCCGCCTTCATTATTTTGTGTATCCTTATATTACCTTTTTTCTTTTGTTCTCCTACTGTTTCATCTTCTTAATGGACAAAAATCTAATCTAATCAGACTGCTGTTGAAAAGCAGACAGTCAATACCAAAATGGTTCATGCTGTCCTCCGGCTGTATTAACATTAGGGCTTATACTCTGGTAGATACCCATGCGGTGTGATTGAAAGTCTGCTGCTGTCTTGCTGTTTTTTTATCTGCTCATTGATTTTTTTGTGTAAAAGCTGGGCTGCTTGTTATTTGCTGGATTCATTATTGTGTTGTCGCTGCTGGATGGTTGAGCCTGAAGTCAGAAGCACAAAGACATTTATCTTCATCAATGCTTGTGATGAATCTTTTCTCATGCTGGCCTGCATTTCTTTTTCTTTGTCATGTCAAAAGCTCATGTGGAACGAGGTGTTGGGTTCAGGGACCTCAGTGTTGACAGTGTGTTTCAGTGTGCCCTCGGTCTCACAGATAATGGACTCGGTTTGTGTACACATCTTGTGGATCATGAAAACATGTTTTCCTTATAGTGCAAAACTCTGCAGACATGGCACCACAGCATTTACACTCTGTCCGCTGTCCGTCTATTAGATTTCTTGTATTTTTTAAATCATATTATCCCTTTTTTTATCAACTCTTTTTTGTGCATGTTATGTAGGTAGAGTATGTCCTAATTCTACATTTGCTCAAGCTTAAGATTTTCACTTAATGATCATATAAGGCAGAAAGAAAAGCTGCAAATCTTAACATTTCAGAAGCTGCAACAAGGACATTTAAACTAAAGTGACTTATGCACTACAGAAGTCATGACCCACAATTTTATACCACATTCTTGAACACTACAGTGAAATACACAGTACCATTAAAGGCCATGCGCTGAGTTTTATACTGAGGTTAAGACAGCCTCATTCTTATTCACATGCCTATCATGATCCACATATCGATGTAAAATAATCAGCAACAAGATCGGCCATTCCTGACACTGAATGTCACGGCTTTTGTTTGAGTAAGGTTGTTTGAGTAAGGTTTTTTCCTGAAAAAAAAAATGTCTTCAATACATATTTGATGTTTTTGTGTGACTCACTGTGACTTTACCTGCCGTAATGATGCAATTTCTAGCAAGGTATTAAAAGAGTATCTATCCTTTCCTTTTCTTTTCTTTCCTTCTCTAAGCCAACGGTTATACATCTTACATGCGAGTTCATTAAGTTATGTTGTTATTTTGGTACAGTTAGTCTTACATAGCTGTAAATCAATAACTCACCCCATCACTTTGCATCCAGCATAAAAAAATGTGTCTTTAATAAAGAAAAGTAGTTTTAAAAAAAGAATTTGCCCCCACATACATTGTACACTTCTTTACACAGTGGGTGATGGTGTTCATGGGAAATGCAGTCTTCATCCTGTAAAAACACTATTTCATCTAAAGGGGTCACCAGAATCAACACGACATGAAAGTTCCTCACAGTGCCTTTACTGAGGATCTTTTGTCATCTATCTATCTATACATTTTGATTTGCTATCTATCTTTGTATTTGCGACACCTTTTTCCCTCCCTTCCCTCATAGCTATTTGACTGTTAAATACTTTCCTTTAACTTAGACAAATCTGAGTATCCACAGTTTGACAGTCTCTTTAATTTAAGCTGTAAATCTTGTGTAAACATGATGCTCACAGCATCATTTCCCTCACCTATAACCAAGTTAACCTCAACAAAGATTCGGCTAAGGCATCTCTGTAATGTTTTTGTGTGAGGCAATATGGGAGGCCATGTGCTAATGCTATTTTCCTCTTTTACTGAAAGTTAGATGGGCTAATGAGGGTTGTAATCCAATTACTCTGATAAATGTCAAACATTTCCTCATGTTTTCATCAGGTTTTCTTACTTAAAAATGTCAAATGATGGATAACAGCAGCTTGCTTGTGTTGACTGAGGATTTGCGTGACATTTCAGGACTCACACCAGGTCAGGTATTATTGTCCCTCCTCTGTGTGAGAGCACACAGAGCAATTTGTGTTTAAGGTCAAACCTCTCATGGAGGACAGAGTGGAGAGGGCCCCTCTGGGACTAAAATAAGTAGAAAAAAAACAACCCAGCTCCAAACATGCAGTCGGAACAGTGGGAGATTTATAACATGGATGCTGTGTTTGTAGATTTTACCCACCGAGCATTATAATCTCTACTTTTATAGATTCCACGTGTACAAAAGCTTCTCTGTACTGTGGAGACACACTACAATCTCAGTGGATCGCTTAAATGCCCAACAGCATGCTCAGCTTGTGTGTGTGTGGATTTGAAGCGCATCCTATTTTCTCTTACTTCTTTAGAAATAAATAATATCGCAGAGGTACACACTTATTAAGCTTACTTTATTTTGATTCAGTTTTTTTTTACTCAGTGCAGAATTATAGCTGAACAGCAGCTGGACTGTAACCTTAAAGATGGATGATGTATTAGAGATATCATTATGAATACACACACAGTGCAGTCCATCAGTGTGACTTATAGCTTTAATAACTCCCATCAATACTCATTTTCAGTACTCATTGTCCTCAACAGAATCACTATTATGCTCACACTGCTTTAACTTACCACACTGCTTGTAAACATTAGGATAATATGACTGAAGAAGTGCTGTATCAACAACACACGAGTCCTCTCTCCAGACCTCAGAGTGCAGTGATTATTTCTGCTGAGAGACTCACTCATGTTTCAAATGGAAATTTCACAGCAGCAATCAAGTGCAGAGAAAGACAGTGTGTTGTTCACTGCAGGTATCTGGAGTGCTGTAACAGTTAAGTGTCTCTGCACAAGTGTGTTTCTTACTGTATGAGGCTGTGCGTGCTCCATGAGTGTCTGTGTGTGTGTCTGAGTGTGTCTGAGTGAATAGTGAGTCACTGGATGTCAGTATGAAGTATCCCGTCTTTGTTTCACGGTCATCATCCTCTCGCTCCATGTTGGTCATGAATGAAAATGAGAGACTTTGTCTCTAATGATTCTGATTTCCTCAAATATTTTCATTACCTTTTAACTTGAAGGTTAAATTTGATTGTATCACATTCTCTGGCACCCGCATCTCAGATTTTTTCAGCTTTAAATCTTAACAATAGTGCTGTGCACGTTGAATGCTTTTTGAGCTTGTCAGTCACTCAGAGCTCAGCTGGTTTAGCAGAGAGTGTTAACATCCTTTATTGACAGTCAGCACCAGCACCTCCTTTTTAAAGACATAGTTTGAGATTGGCCTGGGTATGCAAGCAGGTGTAAGCATAAAACTGAAAGTGACATCTTTCGTCAAATATGTTTCCTTAAAGCTACTAAGAGGAGTTTTTAATTGGTTGTGACACAGATTGAAAATAATACTCATACTAACTAAGATTGACAATTTTAACCTTGTTATTTTTAATCCAATTAACAGCTGTTAGAGGGTAGATGTAGATGTCTGATCTTAATATCTTTCCTTAAGCAGTGTCTTCTTACCAAAGTCTCGTCCTGCTGAATTTTGACAGTTAAATGTATCATTATTTTTGAATATTTCATGTGGAAAACATATAAGCAGGGCTGTCTCTTCAGCTGCTCCTCTGATACCTACCCCCTCGCATTGTTTTCAGGTATTGAAAGTTACAAAATCAAAATTGCGTATCTTGCCACTGATTTTGTATATCATAAAAAGGCAACTTTTTGAATTTCAGTCAATTTCATAGACATAAAAAACTCCTCCATAAAAAGCTTGAAGTGAATCAAATGTAGCGTCCTTTTCTATGGCTTGTTGATCAGCTAAATTTGAAAGCAGGAGTGATATGATGTTTGCTAAAAGTAGCTGAAGGTAAAAAAAACATAAGTACCACAAAGCCCACTTAGAGGAAACAACTGCACTTTAATAGATTGCACTTTTAAGAATTTATTGTGAATATTTAAAGGATAATATATAGCAAACAGGTGACATGCAGATTAGAAACCTGACTAGATGAGATGAATCCTAAAGGTCTCCTGCTCCGTCTCACCTGGTCCCTGTACATTATACTGCTACAAACTAAAGCTGAAAACAGGCAGACACTTTTAATTTAAAGAAGGTCATTTTTATTTTTACATTTTTTATTAATGCAGCTTAAAAAAGTGCATAAAATTCTTTGTAAGGAATCACTTCAATGGCAAGTCCTGTACTCCAGGCCTGTAATACTGCCAAAGCCAAGACCGTGTTCCTGTCAGGGCAAAAATTGAGTCTGTTTTCTTCAATTTGGGCGATGTCTCTATCACTAAGCGCTTTGTATATGTTTTCTAATCTAGCATTTATTCCAAACAATTTAATTGTTTCAGTTTTTTTCATGTTTCATCTTCACTTTTTATCACACCTGTATTTATATGTATTATAGATATTTGAGAGAATAACATGAAATCTGATAAGAGCACACCTTTCCTCAGCTTTGACAATAATACCTGTGGACTCTTTTCCATGGATTGATTTAATGTGGGTTTTGAACAATCAGGATTAAGTACTTAAACAGCTGGGTGATAACGCTGAAAGCTGGGCAATAACGGGCTGTGATTACAAACAGATGAAGAGTTGTCCTGTGTTACAAAGACCAAGCCAGCAGGTTTTAGACTTCCTTCATGGAGCTTTCTAAAGTGCTGCTGTAGATTTAAAAAAGGTGTTTTTCCCATCCTTATTTAGCATTGTAAAGTTTGTTAACACCAGTTATGCCATATACAAGAAAACACAAATTAAATTGAGCTGTCAAATCATTTTAATTGACATAAAGAATAAGAATTTCACACAAATTAATAAACAATGTGATTGGTCAGAAGCAGTGTTTGAAACTGATCAATATAACCTGTTGTTTGAAAACAGTGTAAGAAAGACAGAAAAATGATGTTCAGCAAGTCTAGGTGAGAAAAACAAACAAGCAAGAAAAGCAGAGAGTGCTTTGGATGTGTTTGCAAGTGGGAATTAAAAGGGAGCATTAAACACATTGAGTCTTTCACACCTTTACTGTGTTCCTGGGAAGAACTGGAGGAGGTCTGGCAGGAAAATACTGACATTTCTATTGTCCTGAAAACACTGAGCACTGCCATCAGCCAATTGTAGAAGAATTTAATACTGCAGAGAAACGACGTCTGCTGAATGATTCTTGATTTAAAGATCTTATTATTTGTGTGTTCTGGTTTTATTTTAGTTGTTAACAAAAATTTAAACACAGATTTGATTTGTACTTCTCCCCCGGATAAACGGAAGCAAACATTCAAAGTCAAAGAATATCCTGATATCACAAAATACTATTCGTCATACATAGTGATCTTCGTCATGCACTCTCAGTCCACTCATGCATGTCAGCAAAATCTCTCCATCATTCATGATGCGTGTGCTGTTACTCATCCACCATCGTTGTCACATCATGGACATAATATATCCTGATGCTCACAAACTCTGGCACGCTTCCCCCACACAAACATCCATGCTGCGCCAGCTGGTTCTTCCTCACCCTCCTCCCTCCCCTACCTCTCTACCTTCCCTTCCTCTCCTCTGTTTTGTGGAGCAGTACAGGGATGGATGGTTCGACTGGAGAGTGCACACATCTCCCCAGCTCCAGACTCATTCCTGCTGTTACATAAGACCCATGCAAAGGCTTACAAATCAGATTATAATAGCCACGGGCCACACACTCAGGGAGGATAGAGGTCAGTGAAGCAACACGGCCAAACAGTGGACTGATGCTGGCATGACTGTGGACAGAGGAGATGCTGGCACGCTGTCTTGTCTGGGTCCTCATCCTTTCAGTCTGTATCTGTTCTGCAGGTAGTGAAAAGTTAGGGTTAAAGCTTCCTAGATGGTTGTTATTGTGTGTCTCTGTCCCTTTATAAAACATAAAACAGGCACATTGTTGAATTTTGTCCCTTTGAATGCCGCCTCAGGCCCCAATGTTCCGCAGGATTACAATCATCCTGGAACAGCTGTAGTCTGAGCAGGAACCAGCCACCCCCACACCGTGTCTGAACACCAGGATTTTCGAATAACAAATAGTTTTTCATGTCTTTTCATTACCTTTCATTACAGGTACAGTTGTAAAGGTAGCATGTGAATAAAGCATCAGATTTCACTCACAGTTCTGTCCAAGGTGCTCTAGTACTTCCCTAGAAATCCTGATCCGCGAAGGTTTAACTGTGATGGGCTGGATTCCAGTTACGGTTAATGCAGTGAGACATATTGTTGAGTCACTGTGCAGGAGTGAGTATACCCGGCGCAGCATCGCATGAGAAACGTGATGCCTAAAACAGCAAGGCCTGAAGGGTGTTTGGAGGTGAGACGAGAGGCAAAAGGGACGTGATGAAGACAGGAGAGGAAAGGAAGACAGAAAATTCGAGGAGAGTCTAAAAGTGTAAGAGGAAAATACAATGAGACTGAGATCTTCTGGCCATTGTTATGCAATTGTTTTTTTACTTTTCCCAAATTTTCCAGTTCACTCTCAAATCTCTCAACTGACCAGAGCCTCTTTTTTTTCTCAAACCATCTTTTGTCTTCTTTCACAACAATCAAGGTGAAAATGGAGAGAAAAGGATGGAAAACAAACCAGTTTTACAGCAGCTTACACAAACCTAACAAGCAGATGTAAGGAGAATATCTTTTTTCCCTCGCCACAATAGGAGAAGCTTCTACTTAGATCCTTCCCCACAAAGGTGACAAAGGGCAGTAGGTGGAGTAAGAGGGGGAGGGCTGTTTTAATGCTGTCAGGAAGAGTCAGATCTTCTTGTTATTGTCCAGCAGCAGGGGCTGTCCTTCTAATAGCCTCACTAATCACTCTTGTCATTTTTAATCTCCCTCTTTCACCCTGCGCGTATTTAAAGCAAGGCCTCTGTGTGCCCAGCCGGGATTAGAACCATTGAGGGGGGAGAGGGAGGAGGAAGGGAGGGGAGAGCAGCAGAAGCAGTGGTAGCACGCTGCTTTTATGCCTCACATTGGGTGCCATGTGACTGATGCTCGTGCTAGCCGTGCCGTTGTGAATGCTAAAATGTAAGCTAGCGCACAGATGCTTTAGCCAGTGATGTGCGCAAAGCAAACAAGGAGTGGAGACCGATGGAAAAAAGAAACTTAAACTGTATCAAAAAATTTAATTTATGTATTGTCTCCTACTGAATAGATACCTCATGAGCAAACATAATCCTTTTAGGTTTGCAGGTTAAAGCTAACATGTTCAATTTTACACATCGTGTTGCAAAAAATTATTATTCTGTACACTCAGAAAAATAAATCATAGTATAGTTTATTTTTAAGTATTACTATCTATTTGGTTTTGTTTAAATTATTACATTTTTTAGAACTTATTTATTCAAATTTCTTAAAATCAGCATAAATCTGTTAATTGTGATAATAATTCAATTCAACCAGTTAAAATATATGAATATGGTTTGAATATGATGAGCTATGGATCAACCACGATTCATTTAGTTAGCATTTATGAGACAGAAACAGATTAAATTTACCAATGATGAATGTATAAATCTTCATTATTTAATCTAAACACATTGGGTTTATTGTTTTTACTACATAGATATAATTCTTAATTGTTTCATTTACAATTAAAGAGGTAATGTTCCATTAAATCCATTCATTGAAATGTTGCTCTGTGATGGTGCTTCACATTTGAAATCTTATTGTAAAAGTGAAAGTTAAGAGAGCTACACAAGAAGTCTGCCTGTGTCGGCTCATTACATAAACAAGCATCCACCAGTAAGAAATCTGCAGACAGGAAAATCCCAAACAAGCTCAGATATTAAAACAATCGTTTAAAACATGTGAAAACATCCTCCTTATAGATGAGTCTGCAGATTAAAAAAATCAATTGCCATGCCAAACAGACCTCATTAAGTATGTGAGGTTTGGAAAAACAAAGCAGATGTAAAACTAGTCGTTCAACATCAGACGTCTGTGTGCCTCTCCAAGTATGATGTTGTAGTATTGATCACTCCGTGTCCTGCAGTGACTGGCGTAATCTAATCCCTGACTTCCGTTTGAAAGCAACAACAGATGCTTTATGTGTCACAGCCAGTCTAAGGTTGGTGTCCTCCTCAGCTGTTTTAATAGTATTAGTTCACACACAGGTGTTAATCCTTGCTGTTTTAACCCTCCCGTTGTGTTTGCCTGGAGTGTTTCCATTAATCTGCATGGGCACGTCTTTTTATAGAAAAGAAAATACCGCTAACCTGCAGAGGAGTTAAATTTAGCATGGTGTGATTCCATTATCTGAGAATGGTTTGTTATTCTGGGCGAGCGCTGTGAAGGTACTTACATAAAGTATCGTCATTGATGAAACCTGAAAAGCCTAAAGCACAAATACAACACCAAATCATGAAAAAATATATAAACTGTTTGAATATACTTTGAGATATGAGGTCATTCACGTGGTTGCTAATGGTTAAATGAGAATATTAAAATCACTGACATTGTGAAACTCAAAGTTAAACACTTAGGAAACAAGGTCTGTATTTGTACAGAGGTAATAAAATATTCCTGCAAGAATCTCTGGTACTTCGATTTAGGCGAAGATTTATTTTATTTCAATTATTATTTGGTTCTTCAGACTGGCACATTTGTTATGTTCCTGTCTTAGAAACTCCAGACTCAAATATCTGTGGAGCGAATAAAGATTAGGCTATATATGAGTCAGGAAAAGTAACAGACACCAACAGTGGAAACTTTTTATCGTGTCAACACCAGAAAATAGGATGAGATTGCTAATAAATCCAGATCAGATTGACTGGCTTTGATAACTTCATGACTTCCCAGGATGAGTTCCTGTGGGTGTGTGAGCAGAATCCCTTTAAGAGGAGTAGTATGCAGAGTACCTCAGCTGACCCATGGAGCTGGTTTTTAGTCGTACCGCACCTTGGCCGGGCTCTATGTTGTACACTGATGTGTCCTTAAAAACATCCCCTGTGAGAGCGTGTTAGGACATGCTCTCTGCTGTCCAACCCATGCAGTGATGCGAGGGATTTTGGAGGAGGAGGGAGAGAGGCCGCCCGCCCACAGCCATTGCAAAGATCCCAGGGCTATTTACCGCTCCACTTTTAGGTTCTTTAATCTGGTGTGATTTGGTGAACATAGACGCCAGCTGGAGAGAAAATGAAGTGAGGACAGAGACCTGAATCCTTCAGGGAAGTGGACCTGAAACTTCTACAAGAGTGGTATATTTAGGCGATTTAGCATTTAGCATTCGTGACCCCCCTTTTTTTTCATCTGTCCATCCCTGATGTTTGTTTCACTGGATTATTGGCCATTAGATTAGACCTAAAGATGCTGTACAACTTTATAAAGGACAAAGTTATAATCTAAAGCAGTCTGTGTTTCAAACATGTCTTCAGGGCATCATTTTTAGAAAAGATCTGAAGTAGCCTGGAATGTGAAATCTACTTTACATGAGGCACAGCCCTGAGCTCTGCAGTGAAACTTTATCCCTGCCTCTCCCTCTAACTGAATCATAAATCCAGTTGCATGAGCCGATACGTACATACATCAGCCCTGTGTTAATCTACGCAACCAAAGCTGCCCTGGATATGACGTCTCAGTCTGTGACGTCACAGCGTTACACATCATCTACGCCACTGCTGCTATTTCCTAGCTGCCAACTGCGCATTACACTCATCCCCGTAAGGTTCACTTCCCACTGCTGCTCTGTTCACCTTGTGGCGTCCTTCTCCTGGAGGGAGGAGGAGGAAGAGGCTGAAAGAGAGTGATGTGAGAGAAGACAGAGAGGAGGGTTGTAAAGTGAGGGGCAGATTCTTTAGACACGCAGAGGTTTCAGATCGCTGATTTTCTTCATCAGCAGATTGGTTCTATTTTAAATAAGAGTGAGAAACAGATCGATCATGTCCTGTAGTGAGACGCTACAATCACTCTGTGTTTGTGTATGTTGAGGTCACTCCTGCGTGCAACTCCCCCCCGTTGGTGCTCTAAATTACCAACTCTTCAGCAAAGCACAACACTGCTCTGTCTTTGCTCACCACTTTAGAGAGTCTGGGGAATGAGTGGTGACAGCAGCTATAGGCAGCAGCAGCAGCAGCACTGTTCCACTTACTCAAAACAGCCATCAACAGCTCATTTTTATTCATTCAGATGCTCTTCCCCTGCCAAGCTATGTGCATGTTCCCACAGGCAAGTGCCGCCTGGTTGAGTTGTTTTTCATCCATTTAGCTTGAGACAGACCCAGACTGCTTTCCCGCACTTTATCTGCCAGCCAGCAGAGTCATAGATGTGGGACAGACACATAAAGAGATAAAAAGTCATGATTGAATTTAGAGGTCTGGTACTTTGTGAGGGGGAGTCTGTTTTCATGCTGAAGGTCCCACACTGTTGTAGTATTTATTATATTAGAATAAGCAGTTGGCACTGTCCTCTATCAGAGCTCAGATGTGATCCAGAATTTTTACACCTTTTACCCAACTGTGAATAAATGAAAAAAAAAAAGCTACTTCAACCAGTAAGATTAAGGGTTTTTCTTCCTTTCATCTATCATCTGTGCCACTTCTTTCATTTTATGGGCGCAGGATTTAAACCAGGAACCTTTTTGTTGTGAGGCAGTCGCCCTAAAATTAGATCAGCATGCTGCCACTTTCTTTTCTTTGTTTTTGTTTCAGCACAAACTGGATCGATTGGTGATGGAAAGATGGTCAGATTGCACATTTACTATTTTTTATTGAAATAAACAAACTGTGACTCAGCACCAGGCGAAAACTTCTAGATTAATTGTTACTGATATCATTGCTCAGCAGTGATTTATTGTTGTTATAATTGTAGCTGAGGTTTGCCAGTAGTTCTTTTCTTTTTATGTTTTGAGTTTTGTGCCTTCAAGTCCTGCGGGGGTGTGTACCACTCTGTATATGCTGCTTATTTTGAGTATTGGAGGCTTCTTTCAGAGTTTATTCAAACCTCTCTGCCAGTTTATTGCCAAGTGTGAGATTATGGACAACTTAGTCAACCCACACTCCTCCTTATAGTTATAAAACCTACCGTGGAGCATTAATCATCGACATGGTCAGTACATCAAAATTAACAATATCCTCTAACAGCAGCGCATAATGTCTGTCATTATGTTCAGCTGAGAAGCGCTGAATTAATAAGAAAGAGAAAAGAGCTTAAAATAACATGTATCCAGCACAAATGATGCATTAGGACTGTGTGAGTGAGTGTGTGTAGGTGTGTGTTGTTCAGTAGCATGTGTGCTTGCAGCTTCTTTTTTTTTTACATATATCTAAGGAAGTTTCAATCCAAAAAGAATCCGTACGTTCACAGTAGATGGTTATACATCTGAAACAAGGTTGTCATGTATATAAATGTGGTCATATTCCTCTCAGGTGTAAAATAGTACAGTTTGTGATCAGGCAGCTTGGATGAACACCAGAGGTGTCATTTCTAACATTACTAATGATGATGCAGCAGCTGTGGCTCACAAACCTACTCGCACATACATATGCATTATGTTTACACGTACAGATTACACTTTTCCTCTTTATGGTCATAAATTATGTATCACACCTCTATCTTTAAAGAACAGCTCATCTTGGTATCACATATAGTGAATCTGTCATCACAAGGATTATTTTTCCTTATTTTCTAAATTATTGATCATCAATTCAGTTGTAATTATCTAATGAGAGAATAACAGAAGTGTTATGAGACACATGTACCTAAAACAGGAACAACATAAAAAAAAGAACAAAACAAATAAAGAAAAATAAATCAATAAATAAAGGGAACATGTTCCTTTCATCCTCACTGTGACAGGAAAGTGGTGAGAAAAATAACAGGAAGTCAAACCTGCTGTCACATACACCTGGTAAAGCCAGGCATGGGCAAGTACTTGTTTCCATGGCGACCAGCTCAGGGAGGATTTGAAGACAATTTAATGATGTGTAGGTGAAACGTATGACAGGATATGTGACTTCTGCTATGCGTGTGTGACGCTCAGAGAGGGTTTTGCGTTGCTGTCAAAATATTGAGGTGCCTCAGTGGAGGGATCAGAGGAGACTTTGATGACTCATAGAGCACAGATCCTCAAGAGGTCTTACATTGCATAAACTGCTGTCATAGGCTTAGACGTATTTAAAATCTGCTCTCTCTGTCACAAATCACCAATATAGGTTTGTAAACGTAGTCTAATTACTTAGTTCAGGACACTTGTAAAACCTCAAAAGTTCATGTAAAGTGTGATTGTTTGGTCTGTACCTCGAGGTAAAGTGTCATCCTCTGACCTTATCTTTCACACGCTCTGTAATCACACATTGTGACGTTCCCTGAAAGCTCCTCTCCCTCCCTCAGTCCATCCCCTGAGAGGCCCGTGTCTGGCCTCGTTGCGTCAGTTTGCTGCCCCCTCGAGCCTTCTGGTTACATCACAGACAGGAGTTGGACGGTGGCAAAGCTGCAAATATTATCAGCAGACAGACTGACGGGAACCTAGAGGACTTATTTCTATGTTTGTGTCTGTGCGCGTGGATCAGTGCCAAGTCTGACGCCATAAGGGCCATCGCTTCCAGCTTTGCTGCTGCCCATACTTCATCCCTTTCTCCTATTTGATCTTCCTGTTTCTGCTGCTGTGAGTGAGTCAGGCAGTGAAGGTGAAGCTCTGCATGGCCCAACAGTGAGCCTGATTCTGATGAGTCTAAGGAAGGATAGTCTGGTTGAATAAGTGATATAAGAATGTATACATATATAGAGAGAGATATAGATATAGATATATATCCTGAGCATTAAAGGGATATTCTGGCGTAAAATTAATGTAGGGTCAAACACACCGTAACACAGAGTTAGACACCCCATCGAGAGATTAATGTTGCCGACCGCTTGCTTCTCTAGTTATACCAACTTTAGTAACAACCGCATGATAGCAATACACAGCGGTCTGAGGAGCCATAAACAAACCTCAACCAAAAACCCACTCTATAGCTACAAATAATGCTCAGAACAGCACCTAACTTCATCAACAGTACATATAGGGTCCTAGCCAAAGCACTAGCCACCAAACACCTTTTTAACTTTGCCTAATTTTTTTTAGCAAAGAGACTAAACACAACTCACCTACTCTCTTCCAGCGGCCTCAGGTCAATCCATTACAGACTACAGCGGGGTGACGCAGCTCAAGGAAGAATATTTATGATCTTTAGTTTATCATTTCCTTGAAGTAATAATCATCATATTAATCATTTTGCACTGCAGACGCGGTAGTTCTTCAGCCTTAGCGTCTCGGCCTGATTGCATTTCCATGAAGAAAAGAAAAGAAAAGAAAAGAAAAAGAAAAAGAAAAAGAAAAGAAAACAAGCCAAAGAGGGCAAATCAGAGAGCTCACAAATGATGATCAAAAAGAGGGAAAATAAATATTCCTGCTAAGACAAGTCAGAGAGAGAACTGGCAACATAACGTAACCCAAACTGCGCTGTGCACAGCAACATGATATGAGAAGAAACCAAGAGGACAAAAGCAATAAAAAGCTAAGAGAGAAAATAAAGAGAAAAAACCCTAAATATTAGTAAGAACAACAACAAGCATCAAAATAGTGTTGCACAAAGTGACATGGAACAACCAGTATTAAGACAAGATAAGATAAGCCTTTATATATCACATTGTGGAGGAATTTGTATTGTTAACAGCAGCAAAGGATCAGCATAGCAAACATATAAAACATAGAAGAAGTAGAAGTAAGACCTTAATACCTGTTTTAATTTCATAAAGATCAACAACACATGCTTTAAAAGGTCACCCACACACTCCAGACTGATGCTGTGATCATGGAGCGCAGCAGCTTGTTGCAACAGTCAGAGATAATGTTTATGTCACAGTGTTATCGTGGATGAAATCCGTTTGTGTGAAGGTCGAGCCGGTGTTCGTGTGTAGCCGTTGTTTGACATTATCTAAATTGAAAAAGAGACGTTGTGCGAGAGTGTTTTTGAAGACAGTCTGGGTCACGCTGCATTAGCTGACACAACAAACAAACCTCCTGTTGTTACACGTCACTCACTGTAGACTGCAAATTCTTAAAGAGCCGCATCAGACAAATTCTTATTCCTTCTTAGACGAGTACACCAGGCTGTAGTGTGAACCCATCATGAAATGATTTAAACTTTTGCCCTCAAACACAGACTGAGACATGTCCATCTGGAAGGTGTCATGTGGGTGTTACACAATTTTCCCATTTAATCAATTTTCCTGAGATCTCTTTCCTGCCTTATTTTTTATCATGAACCTGTTATGTATTTTGGTCTACATGGGCTGTCATAGTTGATACCTTGCAACACTCAGAATTCTGGAGCAATGATTTACTGTATGTGGTTGCCATGACTACGTATTGTGTGCTTCTGCTGTTCTGTCAATGTTTTGTATTATGTTATCAGCTGATGATGAAATTGTTTCTATGTTGTGGATTTACATATGTAAAATAAAATGATAAAACTAACAAAAATTAACTGCTTTTTTCTTGTTTGTCTCTTTGCAGAAAGTGAGTGAGAAAGTTGGAGGTGCAGAAGGGACGAAGTATGATGTAGACTTCACTGAGATGGAAAAGGCAAGACTGAACTCTTCCTGTTTTTGAACAAAGAGCTTCAATTTTACCTGTAAAAACTTGATGTAGAAGAAGTAGCTCTGGTATTAACAGTAAAATTTAACTAAACTGAACAACACTATCGTCTCAAATCTGTCTCATCTCTCTTACCGTTGGATAACCGGTCCCTTAAGATCTATATTTTGCTGTGCTGTGATATTTATCTCACAGTCTGTCAGACATTTATTGTTTCTTCTCTTTTATTGCGGTTTCTTCTGTCCCCGTTGTCCTCCTCATGTTGTTTTGCTTTATGCTCTGCAGAAGATGGACACCACGTCCCGGGCCGTGATGGACATCATGACCAAGACCACCGAGTATCTGCAACCAAACCCAGGTGACACATGACAGCAGTGAAACATGTTGATGGGATGTTTGTTTTTTTGGATCTCTACCTACCGGACAAGCTGTTTCAGCATCTATCAGATTCAGCTCTGTAGATGCTATCGACGTCAGAGAACCCTTGTGTTGTTGAATGAATTGTAAAAATTGAGTAAGAATTTAAAAGTTGGTTACAAAAGAGTCTGGTGAGGGAGATAGAAGGAAAAGTGTCAGACACCAAACTAAATCTAATTTCATAATCATAGTGAACTAATTTAAGATACGCTGTTTTTATCCTTTACTTCACATACCCTTGAAATACTCGGTCAAAAAACTTCAAGTTCCTATCTTAAACTCATCCATGTGTTGTTAAATCAAACTGCTGCTCTGTCTTCACAGCCACCAGAGCTAAGATGAGCATGATGAACTCCATGTCTCGTATGCGAGGGCAGGAGAAGGGACCTGGTTACACACAGACTGAGGCCATCCTTGGAGAGTCCATGCAGAGGTTTGGCAGGGAGCTTGGAGAGGACTCCAACTTTGGTAAGATGCAGAATGTTAAAGCTTTATGCAGAGAGAAAAGTATCATAACTTCATTCCTTTGTAACTAGGTTATGAAAACACCCAGAGGAAAAGTTTTAAATTTGCTTTATCATTGAATTTACGAGTGATGAAATTAAAATGTTGCCTAAAGAGCGTGTCTCTTAAAATCTGCTGATCCTAGTGAGACAGTGTTACAGGAGAAAAGCAACATTATGAACTGGCATTGATGTGTGGAGTGTTTCCAATGTCTAAATGTGTCTTTATGTCTCCAGGCATTGCTCTGATCGATGCTGGTGAAGCCATGCGTGAGCTGGGAGAGGTGAAGGACGCTCTGGACATGGAAGTCAAGCAGAACTTCATCGATCCACTGCAGAACCTGTACGAAAAAGATCTGAAGGAGATTCAGGTACGAGTTCACAGCTTTGATGCATAAAACAGAAAAAAATAACCACCTGGTAGTCTTAGTCGTCTATCGATTCAGGATTCAGGTTTAACTTTTGGGTCTTCTCTTGCAGCATCATCTTAAGAAAATGGAGGGACGCCGTCTGGACTTTGACTATAAGAAAAAGCGTCAGGGCAAAGTGACAGAGGATGAAATCAAACAGGCGCTGGAGAAATTTGATGACTCCAAGGAGATCGCTGAGCAGAGCATGTTCAACCTGCTGGAGAGTGATGTGAGGGTCTTTTTTACCATCCTCCTATTTTTCCTCAGACTACTGCATCAAAAATGTGACACAATTCAAATTAAATCATAAATATTGGGTGACACAAGTGAGCTGACAACCACGAGGAGACTTTGAAGTCAACATTTTGGCCTTTTACCTTCTGAACAAGATGGTGGATACACATGCCCCAGAGTGACTTCTCAGTGACATACATTTGATGTAAACTCTTTATTCAACCTCTATAAAGAAATTTAAATGTTATAATAAGAAAGCAGTTGAGACCATAAACTCAGTAATTAAATAATAAATGACTGAACATATCAGGTCATCTATTTATACAGCTCTTAACTCCTCTTTGAAACCAAGGGAGTTGCCCCCTGCTGGCTGTTAGCTGAAGTGCAGATCTGATGAACTCCTGTGCTGTACGGAGTGCCAGGCCTCGTTGCCTTGATTTAAATAGACTGTGTGCTGCTTCACATCAATTCCATATTGAGTAACAGTTCAACAGCACAGCATTTAAATTTTTTCTTCTATTTCTGGTGAAAAGGAAAGAAGAGAGAAATGAGGAAATTCTGTCTGACATTCATCAAGTTGACAGGAGCATGATTGGGTTCATTTTGTATTTATGCAGCCATAACTATAAAACACGAGTATTTGATTTTTTTGTCCAAGCTTTCTGAAGTAGTTTTGTTTTTATTTTTATAAAGTGGGCCTCAATACTCACAAAACTGTGACAAACCTGTCCTTATTTGATGACACTGATTACATACTGGGGAAACAGTCTCTTTACACAGTCCATTAGTAACTGCTCTTGAGCTTCCTTGAGTTCCCCCAGTAAATATGGCTTCAAAAGCTCAAACAGCTGCGACCAAACCTCACGGCAAGGTAGTTTGACAACTGCTGTATCCAAGGTTAAGAACAGGCTGTCAATCTCAGTCCTCTTTTTTCACTTCTATGACTCATCTGGGTCAGCGGATATTCTTGGTTTGTGATCTTGCTGTTCAAGGTCTGATGGAGGGGGGGCTGTAACTGTTTCACAGATCGAGCAGGTGAGCCAGCTGGCTGCACTGGTCCACGCTCAGGTGGAGTACCACAGCCGCGCTGCTGAGATCCTCACACAGCTCTCCAGTAAGATCGATGAAAGGTCAGTACTTCACTTTGTGTTTCACCGATGTACGCTGTTAAAAGACTCTCACTAAAATCTCAGATCTCTGTTTTATCTGCTCTGTTTCTGTGTTTTTCAGAATAAGGGATTGTTCTAACAAACCAAAGAAAGAGTACATGCCTAAACCACGTACATCTCTGGACTTCTCTATCAGTGAGAACCACAATGGAGGAATCCACGGTGCACGCTCTCCAGGTGAGACCAAGCATCACAGCTCTGAAACATGTTCAGAAACTGGTCCCTGTGCTGTGTCTACACTGTGCAAACTCTTGAAGAAACCTCATATATTTTTTTATTTGAACTGATACTTGGACCAAACATCAAATTCTGTTTGGGTTTATTTACCTAAAAAAGGGCCGTTTCTGGGCTTGTTTCTACTAATTCATGACATCCTTTCCTTTAACAAGCCTGCCTTGGTTTTATTTTACCTGTAAATTTTCAAATAGCTCCAATAGAAGAAAAGAAAAGGAGGTGAAATACAACATACTCAAGTCACACAGTGTTTGTGGTGTGTTTGATTGCATAGGATGGGAAAAGCTGTAACAATGAATCAATCAGAAATCAATCAATCAAAGCTAATTGGTTCACATGTAGTTGATCAAGTAGTTCTTCTGAGATTTTGAGATGCACAATTAAAGTAAGAGCATGGACACACATGCAGAAATACACACCAACGCTAATTTCACATTCATCAGTGACAACAGTAAAATTGGATGACTTTGATTAAGTGGACAAGGACATGTATTTGAAAATTGACAGTGGGTTCCCTTTGTTCGCTAATTTCGCTCTTTCTTTTCCCAGCGTGGTTTTTCCAACATTTCAGTTAACAGAATTTCTGCCAGTCCAGAGCAAACTAATACAACTGTGCACTCTTCTCTTTCCCCTTTATGATTTTTGTCCATTTTTTAGGGGCGAGGTCTCCAGGTGAGCATGCAGGTCAAACTTATCTGTCAACATCTTTCCTCCACTTTCGTTCTCATGACTTCATTTCTTTAACCACATCCTTTCATTTTCACCTAAAACTAAAAAAGCCTTTATTTGTCTTCTTCACCTCCCTTCCTGTTGTGTGATTTCCTTTTACCCTCTTGCAGCAAGGTCTCCAGGTGAGACAAAGTGAATCCCTGCAGAGAGATACAACAATATCTCTTCCATCACTCTTTCATTCTTATTTTATTTCACACCCATCTCTCATTCTGTTTTTCTCTTTTCATGAGAAAATTTTTTGCAAATGACTGAAACATCAGAAAAACAAGTGCTGTCAGTTCTCTGTATGAAGAACACCAGACCTACATTAACGATGATAAGTTGATTGGTGGACAAGCATTTGTTCTTCTGTTTTGTTCACTTGTCAATCTTCTGGTCTGTTTAATCCTCCTCTTTTTTACCCGTCTGCTCTCTTCCAGTATGTTTTCAAACTTGTGTTCCTCCTCACTTTGTTATTGACCTCTTCATCACTGTACCGACTGTTCTTACATATCCCTTTGTCATAATTTCATCCTGCAAATGTTAAGAAACATAACCACTGCTCTGCTTTGTTTGACCTGTGTTTCTCCTTTCCCCTTTGCAGCAAGATCTCCAGGTGAGCTAGAGTGACTTGGGAGGAGATGCAAAATCTCTTGATCACTCTTTCTTTTCTGACATTTTACATGTATTTTGTGGAAGTGTGTTTTTGCCTGGACTTTCCGTCTGCAGTGCAGCTCGTCTGCAGTGCTGTCTCTGTCTAACCCCCCGTTTCTCTTTTGATCCTGTGTTTTTTTTCTATCAAATCTTCTTTTATTGTTAAAGGATGAGTTCAGAATTTTGGGAAATGAGCTTATCAGCTAATTTCCTCGAGGTTAGATTAGAAGATTGAAATGTCTCTCGCTCCTGGATGTTAAATATGGAACCACAGGACGTAAGCTTAAAACAAAGACTTGAAAGGATATTAAATCCACCTATCAGTACCTTTAGACCTGGCTCATCTCTTTGTATTATAGGGTTATGTCCCTAACCACCCTGCCTGGGAGCGTTACAGAGTCACTGCTTGTTTCCAGAAACAGTTTGGAGAACAACTCTAAACTCTGGTTTTGGTATGAGATGAGATACCTCCTTTTTAAGCACCCGTTATTCCACCAAAGTCTTCGGTATTTAGTTTGTTTTATTGTTTGCGTTGGCAGTCGTGGCCAAAGGAGGATTTGGACAATTTTCTGTACTTTCTGGTTGGTTTCTACTGTCCGATATTGTAGCACGCTAACTTTGTTTGGGCTTATGCACGTTATTCGAGGATGTGAAGCGTGCCTAACCACCACCAATCAGCACTAAGGAGCAGCACCTGCCTCACAACCAATCAGGTTGGGGGAGGTGGAGAATGGCTTTGTTTAGAGTCAGAAAGAGCGGGCCGCTCAAAAAATTTCAAATGTTGACTACACACACATAACAAAACACAGCGATATCGTTATATTACCAAATGTCATCAATAACTACTAGCTATTGGCTGATATTAAAAGCTTTCTTGTATATACACCACAAAAAAAGATGCTTCTTTAACAGAATGCTGCCTACCCCACCTTTAAGTGTCTCTCTCTTGTTGTATAATAGTCACTTCAGGGTCCAGACAAGCTTAACTCAGGTATTAAATGGCGGAGGACAACTCTGATGTTGACATCACAGGGGCTTTTGTTTGTGTTAAAAATGGCTACTCTAAGAAAAACTAAAGTTCTTGTGTCTGTGTCCACAGTTAGTGTTGGCATATTTCTGATCTTAATGTAGTTGTTGCCTTTACAGAAAGGTGTGAGAGTCATATCAATCATCTTTTCGAACCATCCGGCAAGGAAGACAATGACAATTTCCCAATCTACGGAGCTTTTCCTTTAAGCATGGTATTCCTCCGATTGTTGTTGCTCACTCACTGACGGTAATATTTTGTGTCTCTCTTTTGCTGTGTCTGTTCTTTTCTGCTTTACCATTCACAGCCAGGTCTCCAGGTGAGCTTTTGTACAAGCTTTCCTCATGGATTATATCGATTATGTCTGTTATCTAAATGCAGCGTCCTCTCCACTGGACCATCTCCTAACTCTTTTAACTCTTGTTTTTCTGCAGCCCCCATGGACCAGCCCTGCTGTCGTGCTCTTTACGATTTTGATCCCGAGAATGAGGGTGAGCTAGGCTTCAAGGAGGGCGACATTATCACCCTGACCAATAAGATCGATGATAACTGGTACGAGGGGATGCTTCATGGCAACTCGGGCTTCTTCCCCATCAACTATGTGGATATCCTGGTGCCGCTGCCTCACTAGGACGTCACCAATATGAGCTGTGTCTGCAAAGGTGGTGAAAGAATCCAAGTGTCCAGTTCCTCCCTCGAGTATTCCCAGTAATCTTTTTCCTAAACATTCCTACCAACCACCTGCACTCCACTTTACAGGAGGCAAACAGCAACAACACAATAATGAGCAAAGATTGAAGAAATATTAGAGCAAGTATGCAAAAATTGTGTGTAAAAACTGTAAGTGAAGAAATATCTGCATTGATGTTGTTGCTGCCCTTAGTCCCAGGAGGTTTCTTCAGGCTTCCACGGTCATTTTATCCAACTTCTGTCCCGGCTTTTGTCTTTGTTAAGTTGGCTGTCAGTCCTTCATGAGTTTATCAGAACAGATTTACAAAAAAAACTCACTCTTTCTCTCATTCACGGTACTTTGTGAAAACCTCTACAGTAGATAGAAACTTTTTCTCTCACATATTAGAAAAAGAGAAATTGGTCCACGTGCTTCATGTTCATTAGAGACTCTAGGTCAAGCATGGTTTCAAGTGTTCAACGTTTTATCTTACAAAAAAAATATGTTGAGAGGATTCTATTTTTGTTTCAAATGTTTATTTCTTTTTTCTTTTTAATCAATACTCGTATTCTGGCATGCTTGGACAGAAACTATGTCCAAGTCATGTTCAAAAACTCTGTCCAAAGGATGTCTGTCAACTTTCAGATAATCAGATTTTTGACAAAAGTCATAGATCGTTCCATATCTTTACAGTGTGAACTTTAAAAAAAGAACAAGAATAACTGCAATATTTTATTTTAAAATATCAAAATGTGCGTCTGAGTGATTAAGATACCAAAGTTACCTGCAAAAACCTGTATCAACTCCAGTTTTAGCTTCAAGATTTCAAGACAGTAGATGTCGGTAAATCTGTCGGATGCACCAGGGTGAAGCTTGCAATCTCTATTTCTTTGGTATTTTCATCAGGAGGAGAAAACCCGTATTCTTCAGTGTGTGACATTTCCTATCTGAGCCAGTGGTTAGTGGAGTGATGAATTGATTTGCAAAAACACAAGTTGTGCAGTTTAACCTGTTTGAAGTGATGTAAGAAAACTATGGTGCGTAAGTTTCAATCCTCTAACGTGTATTTTATCAGCAGCTTGTGTGACAAATGGTTGATGTATCGTGATATACTAATAACTTATAGGATTAACTGCTCTTTAGAGCAACTGTTTTCTCTGCAGCTGATGGCACTGCTCTGCTTTGGCTGCATCCCTACTAGCCTGATTAGTACTGTGTAATTTAGCTGTCTATAACTCATTGATTAAGCAGAAACTGAAATAGCCAGGAGTGCACAAATGGCCTAATGGAATGAAAATTTTTTTTTTTTTTTTGGGTCGATTTCAGTAGAAATCTTAGGCAACTTATGAAAAAGAAAACCCATCCTTGAACATAGAATTGATTAAAAAAGCTGCTGGTTTACTTATTTCATTTAATGTTAAATCTCAGATAAAACGATAGATCTTATATTTTCTTGAACTCCTCTTTCCAGCTGTAGGATTTAGGAAGTACTATGTAGGTTTCTTTCGATCTCTGGCTGAAAATCTAAAAATCAGATTATGTTTTAGTCAGCTGAGTATTTATGTGCTGTAGTCAACCAGAATAATCCCAGGGTTTTATCATCTGCGATTCAAAAATGTGTTTTCATCATTCTGCAGCAGTTGTGTCACTCATCTTGTGGTAATGTTGTGCTTGTTTTGGGGGGGAGGGTCTGCATACTGTACATGCAATAATGCAGAGGGGCTGGGCAGCAGAGGACCTGTAATATTGAGGTATTTATGATGTACTGTCTCTGACAGTGTTCAACATTAACAACAAACATGGATGTCTCTTTTCTCAGCAGAATCCATCAGATTCAGTAGATTTACAATATCTGATGCAACATCACCTGACATTAAGTGTTATTTTTGTAAGGGAAGCACAACTTTATCAGGCAGAAAACTTCATGGGCTGGGGATAGATAATCAAAGGTCATGTACTAATTTGTTTTATAAAGGTTACACAATTCCTTCCTTCTTTTTCTCTTTCACTTTTTTTAACAATCGTGTGTATCTTTGCCCTCAATGAGGACTGTACAGCTTTTCTGTGTTTTTGTTTTCACCTTGTGTGTATAGTCTTGCATCTACAGTAACGTATCTTATTTTTGTAACTGTGATTAAAGTATACTCTAACAGTATAGATGTATATATACAGTATATTATCCAGAAGCAATGTGAAAGGAGGGATTCTCTGTGCTGCACATGATTGTCTTTGGATTGTTTTTCTTTGGTTTGTTTCTTTTCTGTTTTGGTTTTTCTTTTATTCTCGCACTGGATTCTAAGACTGTATGCTTGATGTAAAGAAAAAAAATGTGATAAGTCAATGTAATTTATTCAAATAAATACAGAGAGATGGTTATTGTCAAGATGACTTTTCCTACTTTGATGCACAAAACTCTGGGACTGAACTCTAACTATTTTGTTGTGTTAAAATCAGCTTCTTAAAACCATTTGCTCTTTCCTTTCTTGTTTACCTTTGTCTGTCTCTGGCTGCAATTCTTTCAGGATGTAAGCTAGGCACAGCAGAGACGTAACTCAGCAAATAGAAGACAATAAATGCATTATTTATTGTTCTGGTGGAGTCTTTGATATCCTCCTACAAGAATCCAACCGGTGAAAAAATAGGTCAGGTGCAAAAGTGACTATGGTATCTCTGAGAGAGCAGAAACGTCTCAATAATGCTGTTCGCTCAACATCATTAAAGCCATGGTGACTGCATCCTCAAGCATGTTTGAGGCTTTTTGAGATGTAACATGTAAACATGTTGCACCAGGATACACCATGCAAACTTCACACAACCTTTACGGATGAAAAATTGGAGTAAAGCCACTGCAAAGTTCGCTCAGCAAAGTAAACCAAACAGTGCATAAGGCATGGTACTGCAAATATAGGAAATATAATCCTTAATGTCAGTTGGAAAAGGGATGCAATTGAACTGTGATTAACTCAAAGGAGGTTGATGTGCTGCCATAACCCTATCCCTCACCCTAACCCCGTAACCCTAACCCAAATAAAAAAAAAAAAGATACATAATCTATTTTTTGTTGTCCTAAGTGACTCCAAATGGTCTGAAATGTGCTCCTAAAAAGGTGCTGGACAATGATTTTAACCCTTTTCCCATAACCCCAGTGATGGCGTGACCCCTTTTTTTTACATTTCTCCGAATTTTTTTGGGACTAAATTAGTCCCAATGGTCTGAAACATGCGCTTAAAAAGGACCTGGACAGTGATTTTTAACCCTAACCCTAACCCCAACCTTAACCCGAATGCCATAACCCAGTACCTAACCCTAACCCCATAAACCAAAACCTATCATACATAAATATATATATATATATATATATATATATATATATATATATATGTATATTTTATACAAATAAAATTAGGAAATATATATATATTTCCTAATTTTATTTGTACTAAATAACTCCAAATGGTCTGAAACGTGCTCCGAAAAAAGGTCCTGGACAGTGATTGTAAACCTACACCACAACCTTAAACCTAACCCTATCAAACATTTTTTTGGACATTTTTCCTAATTATTTTGTACTAAACGACTCCAAATGGTCTCAAACATGCTCCTAAAAAGGTCCTGGACAGTGCCATAACCCTATCCCCAATGCTGAACTCTAACCCTAACCTTGTTTTTTGTATATTTTTCATAATTATTTTGCAATAAATGACTCCAAATGGTCTCAAACATGCTATATATATATAGTATATATATATATATATATATATATATATATATATATATATATATATATATACATATATACATATATATACATATGTATATTCTAATTTTTTTGTACTGAATGACTCCAAATGGCCCTAAAACCAGTGGACCCAATCCTAACCCTAATGCCAAAACCCAATCCCAAACACGAACCCCATAACACTTACCCTGACCCCATAACCCTAAGCCTAACATAAAATTTTTTATATATAAATAATTTTTTTGTGCTGAGTGACGCCAAATTTCCCTGAAAACTACATGTAGAAAGGTCCTGGAAAGTGATTCTTAGCCGAAATCCATGACCCTAACCCGAACCCTAACCCTAACCCTAACCCTAACCCTAGCCTCAACCCTAACCCTAACCCTAGCCCTGACCCTAGCCCGAACCTCAACCCTTACCCTAACCCTAACCCTGACCCTAGCCCTGACCCTAGACCGAACATCAACCCGTACACAAACCCTAATCCTAACCCCTAACCCCTACCCCGAGCTCAAACCCTAACCCTGGCCTCAACCCTAACCCTAACACTAGCCTCATCAATGACCCTAACCCTAACCCTAGCATCAACCCTGACCCGAACCCTAACCCTAGCCTCAACCATAACCCTAACCCTAACCCTAGCCTCGACCCTAACCCTAACCCTTACTCTAGCCTCACACATAACCCTAACCCTAACCCTAGCCTCAACATAACCCTAACTCTAACCCTAGCCTCATCCACAACCCTAACCCTAACCCTAGCCTCAACCACAACCCTAACCCTAACCCTAACCCTAGCCTCAAACATCACTCTAACCCTAACCCTAACCCTAGCCTCAAATGTAACCCTAACCCAAACCCTAACCCTAGCCTCAGCCACAACTCTAACCCTAACCCTAACCCTAGCCTCAACCATAACCCTAACCCTAGCCTCAAACATCACTCTAACCGTAACCCTAACCCTAGCCTCAAATATCTCTCTAACCCTAACCCTAACCCTAGCCTCAACCACAACCCTAACCCTAACCCTATCCCTAGCCTCAAACATCACTCTAACCCTAACCCTAACCCTAGCCTCAAACGTAACCCTAACCCAAGCCTCAGCCAAAACCCTAACCCTAGCCTCAACCATAACCCTAACCCTAACCCTAGCCTCAACCATAACCATAACCATAACCCTAACCCTAGCCTCAACCATAACCATAACCCTAACCCTAGCCTCGAAAAGCTCTCTAACCCTAACCCTAACCCTAGCCTCAACCACAACCGTAACCCTAACCCTAACTCTAGCCTCAAAAATCACCATAACCCTAACCCTAACCCTAACCCTAGCCTCAGCCACAACCCTAACCCTAACCCGACCCTAGCCTCAACCATAACCCTAACCCTAACCCTAACCCTAACCCTAGCCTCAACCACAACCCTAACCCTAACCCTAACCCTAGCCTCAAACATAACTCTAACCCTAACCCTAACCCTAGCCTCAGCCACAACCCTAACCCTAACCCTAACCCTAGCCTCAGCCACAACCGTAACCCTAACCCTAACCCTAGCCTCAACCATAACCCTAACCCTAACCCTAACCCTAGCCTCAACCACAACCCTAACCCTAACCCTAGCCCCAAATATCTCTCTAACCCTAACCCTAACCCTAACCCTAGCCTCAACCACAACCCTAACCCTAACCCTAACCCTAGCCTCAACCACTACCCTAACCCTAACCCTAACCCTAGCCCTAGCCTCAAACATTACTCTAACCCTAACCCTAACCCTAGCCTCAAACATAACTCTAACCCTAACCCTAACCCTAGCCTCAGCCACAACCCTAACCCTAACCCTAACCCTAGCCTCAGCCACAACCCTAACCCTAACCCTAACCCTAGCCTCAACCATAACCCTAACCCTAACCCTAACCCTAGCCCCAAATATCTCTCTAACCCTAACCCGAACCCTAACCCTAGCCTCAACCAAAACCCTAACCCTAACCCTAACCCTAGCCTCAAACATCACTCTAACCCTAACCCTAACCCTAGCCTCAAAAATCACCATAACCCTAACCCTAACCCTAGCCACAACCGTAACCCTAACCCTATCCTCAACAATAACCCTAACCCTAACCCTAGCCTCAACCACACACCTAACCCTAACCCTAGCCCTGGCCTCAAACATCACTCTAACCCTAACCCTAGCCTCAAACATAACTCTAACCCTAACCCTAACCCTAGCCTCAGCCACAACCGTAACCCTAACCCTAACCCTAGCCTCAACCATAACCCTAACCCTAACCCTAACCCTAGCCTCAACCACAACCCTAACCCTAACCCTAGCCCCAAATATCTCTCTAACCCTAACCCTAACCCTAACCCTAGCCTCAACCACAACCCTAACCCTAACCCTAACCCTAGCCTCAACCACTACCCTAACCCTAACCCTAGCCCTAGCCTCAAACATTACTCTAACCCTAACCCTAACCCTAGCCTCAAACATAACTCTAACCCTAACCCTAACCCTAGCCTCAGCCAAAACCCTAACCCTAACCCTAACCCTAGCCTCAGCCACAACCGTAACCCTAACCCTAACCCTAACCCTAGCCTCAACCGTAACCCTAACCCTAACCCTAACCCTAGCCTCAACCACAACCCTAACCCTAACCCTAACCCTAGCCCCAAATATCTCTCTAACCCTAACCCAAACCCTAACCCTAGCCTCAACCAAAACCCTAACCCTAACCCTAACCCTAGCCTCAAACATCACTCTAACCCTAACCCTAACCCTAGCCTCAAAAATCACCATAACCCTAACCCTAACCCTAGCCACAACCGTAACCCTAACCCTATCCTCAACAATAACCCTAACCCTAACCCTAGCCTCAACCACACACCTAACCCTAACCCTAGCCCTGGCCTCAAACATCACTCTAACCCTAACCCTAGCCTCAAACATAACTCTAACCCTAACCCTAACCCTAACCCTAACCCTAGCCTCAACCACAACCCTAACCCTAACCCTAACCCTAGCCTCAACCATAACCCTAACCCTAAACCTAGCCTCAACCACAACCCTAACCCTAACCCTAACCCTAACCCTAACCCTAGCCTCAACCACAACCCTAACCCTAACCCTAACCCTAGCCTCAAACATCACTCTAACCCTAACCCTAACCCTAGCCTCAAAAATCACCATAACCCTAACCCTAACCCTAGCCACAACCGTAACCCTAACCCTATCCTCAACAATAACCCTAACCCTAACCCTAGCCTCAACCACACACCTAACCCTAACCCTAGCCCTGGCCTCAAACATCACTCTAACCCTAACCCTAGCCTCAAACATAACTCTAACCCTAACCCTAACCCTAGCCTCAGCCACAACCCTAACCCTAACCCTAACCCTAGCCTCAACCATAACCCTAACCCTAACCCTAACCCTAGCCTCAACCACAACCCTAACCCTAACCCTAGCCCCAAATATCTCTCTAACCCTAACCCTAACCCTAACCCTAACCCTAGCCTCAACCACAACCCTAACCCTAACCCTAGCCCCAAATATCTCTCTAACCCTAACCCTAACCCTAACCCTAGCCTCAACCACAACCCTAACCCTAACCCTAACCCTAGCCTCAACCACTACCCTAACCCTAACCCGAACCCTAACCCTAGCCTCAAACATTACTCTAACCCTAACCCTAACCCTAGCCTCAAACATAACTCTAACCCTAACCCTAACCCTAGCCTCAGCCAAAACCCTAACCCTAACCCTAACCCTAGCCTCAGCCACAACCGTAACCCTAACCCTAACCCTAACCCTAGCCTCAACCATAACCCTAACCCTAACCCTAACCCTAGCCTCAACCACAACCCTAACCCTAACCCTAACCCTAGCCCCAAATATCTCTCTAACCCTAACCCGAACCCTAACCCTAGCCTCAACCAAAACCCTAACCCTAACCCTAACCCTAGCCTCAAACATCACTCTAACCCTAACCCTAACCCTAGCCTCAAAAATCACCATAACCCTAACCCTAACCCTAGCCACAACCGTAACCCTAACCCTATCCTCAACAATAACCCTAACCCTAACCCTAGCCTCAACCACACACCTAACCCTAACCCTAGCCCTGGCCTCAAACATCACTCTAACCCTAACCCTAGCCTCAAACATAACCCTAACCCTAACCCTAACCCTAACCCTAGCCTCAACCACAACCCTAACCCTAACCCTAACCCTAGCCTCAACCATAACCCTAACCCTAAACCTAGCCTCAACCACAACCCTAACCCTAACCCTAACCCTAACCCTAGCCTCAACCACAACCCTAACCCTAACCCTAACCCTAGCCTCAAACATCACTCTAACCCTAACCCTAACCCTAACCCTAGCCTCAAAAATCACCATAACCCTAACCCTAACCCTAGCCACAACCGTAACCCTAACCCTATCCTCAACAATAACCCTAACCCTAACCCTAGCCTCAACCACACACCTAACCCTAACCCTAGCCCTGGCCTCAAACATCACTCTAACCCTAACCCTAGCCTCAAACATAACTCTAACCCTAACCCTAACCCTAGCCTCAGCCACAACCCTAACCCTAACCCTAACCCTAGCCTCAACCATAACCCTAACCCTAACCCTAACCCTAGCCTCAACCACAACCCTAACCCTAACCCTAGCCCCAAATATCTCTCTAACCCTAACCCTAACCCTAACCCTAACCCTAGCCTCAACCACAACCCTAACCCTAACCCTAGCCCCAAATATCTCTCTAACCCTAACCCTAACCCTAGCCTCAACCACAACCCTAACCCTAACCCTAACCCTAGCCTCAACCACTACCCTAACCCTAACCCGAACCCTAACCCTAGCCTCAAACATTACTCTAACCCTAACCCTAACCCTAGCCTCAAACATAACTCTAACCCTAACCCTAACCCTAGCCTCAGCCAAAACCCTAACCCTAACCCTAACCCTAGCCTCAGCCACAACCGTAACCCTAACCCTAACCCTAACCCTAGCCTCAACCATAACCCTAACCCTAACCCTAACCCTAGCCTCAACCACAACCCTAACCCTAACCCTAACCCTAGCCCCAAATATCTCTCTAACCCTAACCCGAACCCTAACCCTAGCCTCAACCAAAACCCTAACCCTAACCCTAACCCTAGCCTCAAACATCACTCTAACCCTAACCCTAACCCTAGCCTCAAAAATCACCATAACCCTATCCTCAACAATAACCCTAACCCTAACCCTAGCCTCAACCACACACCTAACCCTAACCCTAGCCCTGGCCTCAAACATCACTCTAACCCTAACCCTAGCCTCAAACATAACTCTAACCCTAACCCTAACCCTAACCCTAACCCTAGCCTCAACCACAACCCTAACCCTAACCCTAACCCTAGCCTCAACCATAACCCTAACCCTAAACCTAGCCTCAACCACAACCCTAACCCTAACCGTAACCCTAACCCTAGCCTCAACCACAACCCTAACCCTAACCCTAACCCTAGCCTCAAACATAACTCTAACCCTAACCCTAACCCTAGCCTCAGCCACAACCCTAACCCTAACCCTAACCCTAGCCTCAGCCACAACCGTAACCCTAACCCTAACCCTAGCCTCAACCATAACCCTAACCCTAACCCTAACCCTAACCCTAGCCTCAACCACAACCCTAACCCTAACCCTAGCCCCAAATATCTCTCTAACCCTAACCCTAACCCTAACCCTAGCCTCAACCACAACCCTAACCCTAACCCTAACCCTAGCCTCAACCACTACCCTAACCCTAACCCTAACCCTAGCCCTAGCCTCAAACATTACTCTAACCCTAACCCTAACCCTAGCCTCAAACATAACTCTAACCCTAACCCTAACCCTAGCCTCAGCCACAACCCTAACCCTAACCCTAACCCTAGCCTCAGCCACAACCGTAACCCTAACCCTAACCCTAGCCTCAACCATAACCCTAACCCTAACCCTAACCCTAGCCTCAACCACAACCCTAACCCTAACCCTAACCCTAGCCCCAAATATCTCTCTAACCCTAACCCGAACCCTAACCCTAGCCTCAACCAAAACCCTAACCCTAACCCTAACCCTAGCCTCAAACATCACTCTAACCCTGACCCTAACCCTAGCCTCAAAAATCACCATAACCCTAACCCTAACCCTAGCCACAACCGTAACCCTAACCCTATCCTCAACAATAACCCTAACCCTAACCCTAGCCTCAACCACACACCTAACCCTAACCCTAGCCCTGGCCTCAAACATCACTCTAACCCTAACCCTAGCCTCAAACATAACTCTAACCCTAACCCTAACCCTAGCCTCAGCCACAACCGTAACCCTAACCCTAACCCTAGCCTCAACCATAACCCTAACCCTAACCCTAACCCTAGCCTCAACCACAACCCTAACCCTAACCCTAGCCCCAAATATCTCTCTAACCCTAACCCTAACCCTAACCCTAGCCTCAACCACAACCCTAACCCTAACCCTAACCCTAGCCTCAACCACTACCCTAACCCTAACCCTAACCCTAGCCCTAGCCTCAAACATTACTCTAACCCTAACCCTAACCCTAGCCTCAAACATAACTCTAACCCTAACCCTAACCCTAGCCTCAGCCCCAAACCCTAACCCTAACCCTAACCCTAGCCTCAGCCACAACCGTAACCCTAACCCTAACCCTAGCCTCAACCATAACCCTAACCCTAACCCTAACCCTAGCCTCAACTACAACCCTAACCCTAACCCTAACCCTAGCCCCAAATATCTCTCTAACCCTAACCCGAACCCTAACCCTAGCCTCAACCAAAACCCTAACCCTAACCCTAACCCTAGCCTCAAACATCACTCTAACCCTAACCCTAACCCTAGCCTCAAAAATCACCATAACCCTAACCCTAACCCTAACCCTGGCCACAACCGTAACCCTAACCCTATCCTCAACAATAACCCTAACCCTAACCCTAGCCTCAACCACACACCTAACCCTAACCCTAGCCCTGGCCTCAAACATCACTCTAACCCTAACCCTAGCCTCAAACATAACTCTAACCCTAACCCTAACCCTAACCCTAACCCTAGCCTCAACCACAACCCTAACCCTAACCCTAACCCTAGCCTCAACCATAACCCTAACCCTAAACCTAGCCTCAACCACAACCCTAACCCTAACCCTAACCCTAACCCTAACCCTAGCCTCAACCACAACCCTTACCCTAACCCTAACCCTAGCCCTAGCCTCAAACATTACTCTAACCCTAACCCTAACCCTAGCCTCAAACATAACTCTAACCCTAACCCTAACCCTAGCCTCAGCCACAACCCTAACCCTAACCCTAACCCTAGCCTCAGCCACAACCGTAACCCTAACCCTAACCCTAGCCTCAACCATAACCCTAACCCTAACCCTAACCCTAGACTCAACCACAACCCTAACCCTAACCCTAACCCTAGCCCCAAATATCTCTCTAACCCTAACCCGAACCCTAACCCTAGCCTCAACCAAAACCCTAACCCTAACCCTAACCCTAGCCTCAAACATCACTCTAACCCTAACCCTAACCCTAGCCTCAAAAATCACCATAACCCTAACCCTAACCCTAGCCACAACCGTAACCCTAACCCTATCCTCAACAATAACCCTAACCCTAACCCTAGCCTCAACCACACACCTAACCCTAACCCTAGCCCTGGCCTCAAACATCACTCTAACCCTAACCCTAGCCTCAAACATAACTCTAACCCTAACCCTAACCCTAGCCTCAGCCACAACCGTAACCCTAACCCTAACCCTAGCCTCAACCATAACCCTAACCCTAACCCTAACCCTAGCCTCAACCACAACCCTAACCCTAACCCTAGCCCCAAATATCTCTCTAACCCTAACCCTAACCCTAACCCTAGCCTCAACCACAACCCTAACCCTAACCCTAACCCTAGCCTCAACCACTACCCTAACCCTAACCCTAACCCTAGCCCTAGCCTCAAACATTACTCTAACCCTAACCCTAACCCTAGCCTCAGCCACAACCCTAACCCTAACCCGACCCTAGCCTCAACCATAACCCTAACCCTAACCCTAGCCTCAACCACAACCCTAACCCTAACCCTAGCCCTAGCCTCAAATATCACTCTAACCCTAACCCTAACTCTAGCCTAAAACATAACCCTAACCCTAACCCTAACCCTAGCCTCAACCACAACCCTAACCCTAACCCTAACCCAAGCCTCAGCCACAACCCTAACCCTAACCCTAACCCTAGCCTCAACCATAACCCTAACCCTAACCCTAGCCCCAAATATCTCTCTAACCCTAACCCTAACCCTAACCCTAGCCTCAACCACAACCCTAACCCTAACCCTAATCCTAGCCTCAAACATCACTCTAACCCTAACCCTAACCCTAGCCTCAAAAATCACCATAACCCTAACCCTAACCCTAACCCTAGCCACAACCGTAACCCTAACCCTAGCCTCAACAATAACCCTAACCCTAACCCTAACCCTAGCCTCAACCACAACCCTAACCCTAACCCTAGCCCTGGCCTCAAACATCACTCTAACCCTAACCCTAGCCTCAAACATAACTCTAACCCTAACCCTAACCCTAACCCTAACCCTAGCCTCAACCACAACCCTAACCCTAACCCTAACCCTAGCCTCAACCATAACCCTAACCCTAAACCTAGCCTCAACCACAACCCTAACCCTAACCCTAACCCTAACCCTAACCCTAGCCTCGAAAAGCTCTTTAACCCCAACCCTAACCCTAGCCTCAGCCACAACCCTAACCCTAACCCGACCCTAGCCTCAACCATAACCCTAACCCTAACCCTAACCCTAGCCTCAACCACAACCCTAACCCTAACCCTAGCCCTAGCCTCAAATATCACTCTAACCCTAACCCTAACCCTAGCCTAAAACATAACTCTAACCCTAACCCTAACCCTAGCCTCAGCCACAACCCTAACCCTAAACCTAACCCTAGGCTCAGCCACAACCGTAACCCTAACCCTAACCCTAGCCTCAACCATAACCCTAACCCTAACCCTAACCCTAGCCTCAACCACAACCCTAACCCTAACCCTAACCCTAGCCCCAAATATCTCTCTAACCCTAACCCTAACCCTAACCCTAGCCTCAACCACAACCCTAACCCTAACCCTAACCCTAGCCTCAAACATCACTCTAACCCTAACCCTAACCCTAGCCTCAAAAATCACAATAACCCTAACCCTAACCCTAACCTTAGCCACAACCGTAACCCTAACCCTAGCCTCAAAAATAACCCTAACCCTAACCCTAACCCTAGCCTCAACCACAACCCTAACCCTAACCCTAGCCCTGGCCTCAAACATCACTCTAACCCTAACCCTAGCCTCAAACATAACTCTAACCCTAACCCTAACCCTAGCCTCAACCATAACCCTAACCCTAACCCTAACCCTAGCCTCAACCACAACCCTAACCCTAACCCTAACCCTAACCCTAGCCTTAAACACAACCCTAACCCTAACCCTAAAACTAGCCTCAAACATCACTCTAACCCTAACCCTAACCCTAGCCTCAGCCACAACCCTAACGCTAAACCTAACCCTAGCCTCAGCCACAACCGTAACCCTAACCCTAACCCTAGCCTCAACCGTAACCCTAACCCTAACCCTAACCCTAGCCTCAACCACAACCCTAACCCTAACCCTAACCCTAGCCCCAAATATCTCTCTAACCCTAACCCTAACCCTAACCCTAACCCTAGCCTCAACCACAACCCTAACCCTAACCCTAACCCTAGCCTCAAACATCACTCTAACCCTAACCCTAACCCTAGCCTCAAAAATCACAATAACCCTAACCCTAACCCTAGCCACAACCGTAACCCTAACCCTAGCCTCAACAATAACCCTAACCCTAACCCTAACCCTAGCCTCAACCACAACCCTAACCCTAACCCTAGCCCTGGCCTCAAACATCACTCTAACCCTAACCCTAGCCTCAAACATAACTCTAACCCTAACCCTAACCCTAGCCTCAACCATAACCCTAACCCTAACCCTAACCCTAGCCTCAACCACAACCCTAACCCTAACCCTAACCCTAACCCTAGCCTTAAACACAACCCTAACCCTAACCCTAACACTAGCCTCAAACATCACTCTAACCCTAACCCTAACCCTAGCCTCAGCAACAACCCTAACCCTAACCCTAACCCTGGCCTCAGCCACAACCGTAACCCTAACCCTAACCCTAGTCTCAACCATAACCCTAACCCTAACCGTAACCCTAGCCTCAACCACAACCCTAACCCTAACCCTAGCCCTGGCCTCAAACATCACTCTAACCCTAACCCTAGCCTCAAACATGACTCTAACCCTAACCCTAACCCTAACCCTAGCCTCAACCACAACCCTAACCCTAACCCTAACCCTAGCCTCAACCATAACCCTAACCCTAACCCTAACTCTAGCCTCAACCACAACCCTAACCCTAACCCTAACCCTAACCCTAGCCTCAACCAAAACCCTAACCCTAGCCCCAAATATCTCTCTAACCCTAACCCTAACCCTAACCCTAGCCCCAAATATCTCTCTAACCCTAACCCTAACCCTAACCCTAGCCTCAGCCACAACCCTAACCCTAACCCTAGCCTCAGCCACAACCGTAACCCTAACCCTAACCCTAGCCTCAACCACAACCCTAACCCTAACCCTAACCCTAGCCTCGAAAAGCTCTCTAACCCTAACCCTAACCCTAGCCTCAACCACAACCGTAACCCTAACCCCCAACTCTAGCCTCGAAAATCACCATAACCCTAACCCTAACCCTAGCCTCAGCCACAACCCTAACCCTAACCCGACCCTAGCCTCAACCATAACCCTAACCCTAACCCTAGCCTCAACCACAACCCTAACCCTAACCCTAGCCCTAGCCTCAAATATCACTCTAACCCTAACCCTAACTCTAGCCTAAAACATAACCCTAACCCTAACCCTAACCCTAGCCTCAACCACAACCCTAACCCTAACCCTAACCCAAGCCTCAGCCACAACCCTAACCCTAACCCTAACCCTAGCCTCAACCATAACCCTAACCCTAACCCTAGCCCCAAATATCTCTCTAACCCTAACCCTAACCCTAACCCTAGCCTCAACCACAACCCTAACCCTAACCCTAATCCTAGCCTCAAACATCACTCTAACCCTAACCCTAACCCTAGCCTCAAAAATCACCATAACCCTAACCCTAACCCTAACCCTAGCCACAACCGTAACCCTAACCCTAGCCTCAACAATAACCCTAACCCTAACCCTAACCCTAGCCTAAACCACAACCCTAACCCTAACCCTAGCCCTGGCCTCAAACATCACTCTAACCCTAACCCTAGCCTCAAACATAACTCTAACCCTAACCCTAACCCTAGCCTCAACCACAACCCTAACCCTAACCCTAGCCTCAACCATAACCCTAACCCTAACCCTGACCCTAGCCTCAACCACAACCCTAACCCTAACCCTAACCCTAGCCTCAACCACAACCCTAACCCTAACCCTAACCCTAGCCTCAAACATCACTCTAACCCTAACCCTAACCCTAGCCTCAAAAATCACCATAACCCTAACCCTAACCCTAACCCTAGCCACAACCGTAACCCTAACCCTAGCCTCAACAATAACCCTAACCCTAACCCTAACCCTAGCCTCAGCCACAACCCTAACCCTAACCCTAACCCTAGCCTCAAACATAACTCTAACCCTAACCCTAACCCTAGCCTCAACCACAACCCTAAAACTAACCCTAACCCTAGCCTCAACCATAACCCTAACCCTAACCCTAGCCTCAACCACAACCCTAACCCTAACCCTAGCCTCAACCACAACCCTAACCCTAACCCTAACCCTAGCCTCAGTCACAACCCTAACCCTAACCCTAGCCCCAAATATCTCTCTAACCCTAACACTAACCCTAACCCTGGCCTCAGCCACAACCCTAACCCTAACCCTAACCCTAGCCTCAGCCTCAACCGTAACCCTAACCCTAGCCTCAACCATAACCCTAACCCTAACCCTTACCCTAACCCTAGCCTCAACCGTAACCCTTACCCTAACCCTAACCCTAGCCTCAACCACAACCCTAACCCTAACCCTAACCCTAACCCTGGCCTCAACCACAACCCTAACCCTAGCCTCAATCACAACCCTAACCCTAACCCTAACCCTAGCCCCAAATATCTCTCGAACCCTAACCCTAACCCTAACCCTAGCCTCAACCACAACCCTAACCCTAACCCTAACCCTAGCCTCAAACATCACTCTAACCCTAACCCTAACCCTAGCCTCAACCACAACCCTAACCCTAACCCTAACCCTAACCCTAGCCACAACTGTAACCCTAACCCTAGCCTCAACAATAACCCTAGCCCTAACCCTAGCCTCAACCACAACACTAACCCTAACCCTAGCCCTGTCCTCAAACATCACTATAACCCTAACCCTAACCCTAGCCTCAAACATAACTCTAACTCTAACCCTAGCCCTAGCCTCAACCACAACCCTAACCCTAACCCTAGCCTCAAACGTCACTCTAACCCTAACCCTAACCCTAGCCTCAAAAATCACCATAATCCTAACCCTAACCCTAACCCTAGCCACAACCGTAACCCTAACCCTAGCCTCAACAATAACCCTAACCCTAACCCTAACCCTACCCTCAACCACAACCCTAACCCTAACCCTAGCCCTGGCCTCAAACATCACTCTAACCCTAACCCTAGCCTCAAACATAACTCTAACCCTAACCCTAACCCTAACCCTAGCCTCAACCACAACCCTAACACTAACCCTAGCCCCAAATATCTCTCTAACCCTAACCCTAACCCTAACCCTAACCCTGGCCTCAGCCACAACCCTAACCCTAACCCTAACCCTAGCCTCAGCCATAACCGTAACCCTAACCCTAACCCTAGCCTCAACCATAACCCTAACCCTAACCCTAACCCTAGCCTCAACCACAACCCTAACCCTAACCCTAACCCTAGCCTCAACCGTAACCCTAACCCCAACCCTAACCCTAGCCTCAACCACAACCCTAACCCTAACCCTAACCCTGGCCTCAACCACAACCCTAACCCTAACCCTAACCCTAGCCTCAATCACAACCCTAACCCTAACCCTAGCCCTGGCCTCAAACATCACTCTAACCCTAACCCTAACCCTAGCCTCATACATAACTCTAACCCTAACCCTAACCCTAGCCTCAGCCAAAACCCTAACCCTAACCCTAACCCTAACCCTAGGCTCAGCCACAACCCTAACCCTAACCTTAGCCTCAACCATAACCCTAACCCTAACCCTAACCCTAGCCTCAACCACAACCCTAACCCTAACCCTAGCCTCAACCATAACCCTAACCCTAACCCTAACCTTAGCCTCAACCACAACCCTAACCCTAACCCTAGCCTCAAACGTAACCCTAACCCTAGCCTCAGCCAAAACCCTAACCCTAGCCTCAACCATAACGCTAACCCTAACCCTAGCCTCAACCATAACCATAACCCTAACCCTAAGCCTAGCCTCGAAAAGCTCTCTCACCCTAACCCTAACCCTAGCCTCAACCACAACCGTGACCCTAACCCTAACCCTAGCCTCAAAAATCACCATAACCCTAACCCTAACCCTAGCCCTAGCCTCAGCCACAACCCTAACCCTAACCCTAACCCTACCCTCAACGATAACCCTATCCCTAACCCTAACCCTAGCCTCAGCCACAACCCTAACCCTAACCCTAACCCTAGCCTCAACGAGAACCCTAACCCTAACCCTAACCCTAGCCTCAACCACAACCCTAACCCTAACCCTAGCCCTAGACTCAAACATCACTCTAACCCTAACCCTAACCCTAGCCTCAAACAAAACTCTAACCCTAACCCTAACCCTAGCCTCAGCCACAACCCTAACCCTAACCCTAACCCTAGCCTCAGCCACAACCCTAACCCTAACCCTAACCCTAGCCTCAGCCATAACCCTAACCCTAACCCGAGCCTCAACCACAACCCTAACCCTAACCCTAACCCTAGCCTAAACCACAACCCCAACCCTAACCCTAACCCTAGCATCAAATATCTCTCTAACCCTAACCCTAACCCTAGCCTCAAACATCACTCTAACCCTAACCCTAACCCTAGCCTCAAACGTAACCCTAACCCTAACCCTAGCCTCAGCCACAACCCTAACCCTGGCCTCAAATATCTCTCTAACCCCAACCCTAACCCTAGCCTCAACCACAACCCTAACTCTAGCCTCAACAACAAGACTACCCCTAACCCTAACCCTATCCTCACACGTAACCCTAACCCTAGCCTCAAACGTAACCCTAACCCTAACCCTAGCCTCAACCCTAACCCAAACCCTAACCCTAGCCTCAACGATAACCCTAACCCTAACCCTAACCCTAGCCTCAACCACAGCCCTAACCTTAACCCTAGCCCTAGCCTCAAACATCACGCTAACCCTAATCCTAACCCTAGCCTCAAACAAAACTCTAACCCTAACCCTAACCCTAGCCTCAGCCACAACCCTAACCCTAACCCTAACCCTAGCCTCAACCACAACCCTAACCCTAACCCTAACCCAAGCCTCAGCCACAATCCTAACCCTAACCCTAGCCTCAACCACAACCCTAACCCTAACCCTAACCCTAGCCTCAACCATAACCCTAACCCTAACCCTAGCCTCAACCACAACCCTAACCCTAACCCTAACCCTAGCCTCAACCATAACCCTAACCCTAAGCCTAACCCTAGCCTCAACCACAACCCTAACCCTAACCCTAGCCTCAACCACAACCCTAACCCTAACCCTAGCCTCAAATATCTCTCTAACCCTAACCCTAACCCTAGCCTCAAACATCACTCTAACCCTAACCCTAACCCTAGCCTCAAACGTAACCCTAACCCTAACCCTAACCCTAGCCTCAGCCACAACCCTAACCCTAACCCTAGCCTCAACCATAACCCTTACCCTAACCTCAAACAACACTCTTACCCTAACCCTAGCCTCAACCACAACCCTAACCCTAACCCTAACCCTAGCCTCAACCATAACCCTAACCCTAAGCCTAACCCTAGCCTCAAACATCACTCTAACCCTAACCCTAACCCTAGCCTCAAACGTAACCCTAACCCTAACCCTAACCCTAGCCTCAACCACAACCCTAACCCTAACCCTAACCCTAGCCTCAAACATCACTCTAACCCTAACCCTAACCCTAGCCTCAAACTGACCCTAACCCTAACTCTAGCCTCAGCCACAACCCTAACCCTATCCTCAACCTTAACCCTAACCCTAGCCTCAAACATCACTCTAACCTTAACCCTAACCCTAGCCTAAACCACAACCCTAACCCTAACCCTAACCCTAGCCTCATGAGAACCCTAACCCTAACCCTAGCCTCAAATATCTCTCTAACCCTAACCCTAACCCTAGCCTCAACCACAACCCTAACCCTAACCCTAGCCTCAAACATAACCCTAACCCTAATCCTAACCCTAGCCTCAACCACAACCCTAACCCTAACTCTAGCCTCAAACATCACTCTACCCCTAACCCTAGCCTCAAACGTAACCCTAACCCTAACCCTAACCCTAACCCTAGCCTCAGCCACAACCCTAACCCTAACCCTGGCCTCAAATATCTCCCTAACCCTAACCCTAACCCTAGCCTCAAACGTAACTCTAACACTCACCCTAACCCTAGCCTCAACCACAACCCTTACCCTAACCCTAGCCTCAACACTAACCCTAAGCAGAATGATTGCAGTCCCGACCACCTGCTTCTCCCTTCCCCATCCTCTGACACTTTGTACTAAAGCACCCTAACCTTACTCCTTTAGATACATTTCACTCTATTCCCTCCCTTTCCTATTCCTTCTTAATATGCAAAACTCGTTTTGTATAACCCTTCACCATACCTACTGTAATTCCCAACTGAACCTCCAAAAATAATTTCTCTACAAACACATAGTCTAAAGCAGTGGTCTCCGTATGGCAGACCGCGGTCCACTTCCGGACCAGGAAAGAGTCCAATACGGACCCGAGCCTACCGCAGAAAAATGTATGTTATTTTTCTCTCTTGTAGGCCTGCACGATATACATGTGTGCGATAGTCACATTGCAGAGCCTGTGATGTCGGAGGTGAATGAACTCAGTTAATTTCAAGGGTAGCCGACTGAGATACACTGCATGTGACTCTGCATGTGCTGTGTAGCGATCCACCAATAACCTTTGTCCTTTACTCAGTTGCCAATCAGACTCAGTTCTCAGTTGCCAATCAGACTACCCTGCCAGCTTGTCAATCAAAATCAGAGAGGAGGAAACCCACCCCTGCACATGTTCTGCACATGGAGGTACTCGCTGGCTGCTGGTGTTGAGCCGAGAAACGCGTGTCCGCTGAGAATTACTTTCGGAACTTTACTGACTGTTAAGCCCAACAAATAAGAACTGTATGGGTTTTAAATTGTACATTTCCGTGGACCACGCTATTATAAGCGTTGCGCGTTTTGCGAGGTGCATGCAATTCTTGGCACACTTGCGTTTCTCGGCACAACACCGCTAACAACAACAACAACGATTGCAAAATGAGCAACGAACAAGAGAAAACCACCGAAAATTAAGATTTGTTGCCAAAAAGAAAAGGAAAGTCAGTTATCTGGAATTATTTTGGTTAAAAGAAGGATGATGTTGACCAAAACATGTGTTCTGTGTTCATCTGTCGCCACAATAACGTCCCAGCACAATAAAAGCTAAAAAATATCTCTGAGACAGACAGAAGCCATTCTAACATTCACAAAAAGAGGTAAGATCAGTGCAGGTTAACTGTCCTCAAGATTTCAGCGGTGCAGCATAACATTAAATGCTATTCAGGTCATCTGTTGAAAATTCCTATATTTTTAATATCGCAATATATATCGCAGGGTTGAAAAAAATCACAATGTTAGTTTTTTCCGATATCGTGCAGCCTTACTCTCTTGCTTTGTGCCTGGTACAGTAAACTGCACGTGCAATTTCAGCAAGGCATTACATCACTTGCTTACTCGCTTGACTTGTCAATCAAATCAGACCTCTTAGCCTACTCGACACACGAAGATTACCGAGCAATCCCGATGTTGAAAACTGTCAGGCGGCAGACTGAGGAGAAAGTTGTAGCAGCAGCTAAACATGTCGGCTTCAAAACCACGAAAGGTAGAGAATGAGAACAGGTTGTTTTATGGCGAGTGGACTGAGTCGTTTGCATTCATTTTACCCGCAGGAAGCACACAGCCAATTGAAAGTAGGCAGTTATTGGCAATACAAATGAAGTGAATATTTCAAAAGAGTAATGCACTGTAAAAAAAATAAATAAATAAAAATCCCTAGACCCAGGCCTGCAGGCATTTCATTCGGGTGGACCCACTGAAAATTTATATGAAGACCCCTGGTCTAAAGGATAGACAGATAGATAGATAGATACCAATTGAGCTGAGTAATTAAACTTACTGTCCACACATAATTTTTTCACACAGATTGAGCTCTGAGTCTCGACTGGGAACATGTGACAGGTCGACATGCGCCAGCCAGTGCAAGCCCTTGATTAGCCTACCCCAAACCGCCAAGTCAGCTGACGAAAGTGGGGGCTATCACTGTACCCACACCTAACCCTAGACCTGACACCAAACCTAACCCTAATCCTAGCCCTAACCCTTACCCATACCTAACCCTTGCCCCAACCCTAACCCAGCCTCAACCCTAACCCTATCTTTAACCATAACCCTTGTCCCAACCCTAACCCTATCCCAATCCTAAATCTAACCCCAGCCCCAACCCTAGCCTCAACCCTTCCCCTAACCCTAAATCCAACCCTAATCCTAGCCCTAATCCTAACCCTAGTCCCAACCCTAACCCTACCCCTAACCCTAATGCCATAACCTTATCCCTTACCCTAACATCCTAACCCTAGCTTAATTCCTTTTTTTTTTGACATTTTTCCTTTTTTTTTTTGTATTAAATGACTCCAAATTGTCTGAAACATACTTCTAAAACGGTCCTGGACAGTGATTTTAACCCTAACCCCATAACCCTTACCCTGAGTGAATTATCAGTAAAGTGTGCAAAAAATATCAAGTATCAAGGTGCAAATAGACACAGACAAAATAAACATGCTGTAAATTTGTACCAGGGTAAATAATGCAATTATTCTGCTTTTTAGGCATCACATGGTTACGATGTTTGACAATCTGATAAGCCAGCTGTGGTTTTAACTGTATGACAGTTAACATCAGACGTGACACCTCGAGGTCCCCACCCATCATCTGTCACCACCATCAATCTGGCTACACCCTGTCTTCATGCACACAGTTCAACTTGCCCTGCTGCACACACACATTACGCACACACACATTACGCGCGCACACACACACACACACACACACACACACACACACACACACACACACACACACACACACACACACACACACACACACACACAGCTCTGCTGCATTGACACCGGTCCAATTTTTTCGGGGGGCCATGTTCTAAGTAATTGCGGTCTTTTGAACAGCATCAGAGCATGTCACCTTTACAGTCACACACCCTGTGGCCTTTAGCTCCACACATAACTGCAAATACAGCCACAGCCTGCACTTTGTTTGACATAACGCAGGTGAGATGAATCCACAAACACTTATATTAACCACAGTAACTGGCATTGTCGTATGTGTACAGGTGGATATTGTGGATATAGGGCGTCTCCTGCTGAATGTTGTTTATGAAACTGTGCCAGCTGTCTGTCTCATTCATTCTGCTGCTGCAGCAGCTGAGACCCAAAGGAGAGCTCCCTCTAGTGGTGGCAACTCACGAGGCTGCTGTTTTGCAGGATCACCCAAAATAAGTGGTATCTTGTTCATTTAGACTAGATTAGACAAGAGGGTCACTTTATCTGTTGTTTACTTTCACTTTGTGGAAGTGTGTTTATTCATCAGCTTTTATGTTCAAGGCTATGAGATTCTCTTACTGATATTTTTATGTCTGAAGGCAGAGGGAGACAAATGGAAGATGAAAAAAACTAACCAGGACAGAGGTTCAGAAAGCATAGCTATTTTTATTTCCCTTCCTTTGGGTACACTGAGTTATTCAGCAGTTTTGGCAATGTCATCTTTAGCTTCAGATCTTTGTCTCTTTTTCCACTAAAAAGGAGCATCAGTCATCACTAGCAAATGCATTGAGAAGTCTTTCTTCTTACTGAAAAAACAAGTTCGGTTCAACAGCCATTAAAAAACTCTTACAGCCTCCCTCTCGATTCTTTCAGGTGAGAATTGCACTGTATTCTCGATATTTGGTGTTTCCTCATCCTTGTGCAAGATTGGCACGTGGTTACATTTGCAATCCTTATTTGTTTGACTAACAAACAAGCACCCTGTGGAAAACATGTTAACACACCAGTAATTAGAAGAAGAAAATTAGAATGACAGAATATGCATTACATCTCTGAATTATCACACTTACAATAAACAGTTTCAATAGGAAACTGCTCCAAGAACCTGAGATATTCCTTTCCCTACCTTTTCTCCTCTGTCATTGAAACTTCTAGAACCTACATTACCCACAATGCATTTTAACCTCCAACAGTTTCTTACTTCACAATCTCTGTTGCAGTCTTCAATCAGACTTGATGCAGCAGAAATAATGTGAATAAAAATGTGTGCATTTTTTCCACACATGCAGTCACAGGCTAAGAATTTAAACAACCAGCAGATGATCACAATTCTTCCTGCACAAAAGGTGTTTTTTTTCTGAAAATAATCTCAGTGAGATTGTCAGTGGACAAAAGAACCAAATAACCAAAACACTCATGGTCACAGTGCACGTAGAAAAACCATTTCCATGCAAACAAAAACACGCTAACTACACACACGCACACACACGCACTCTTCACTACCAGATAATGTAATGACACTTCTTTTGACACATGCCCACACACTCACACACTCTGTAGGTCTGAGGAGGATGGAGGGTGGAGGGGGGATGAGCAATCCAGTAAAAAGCATTCCTCAGAGCCTCTCTCCTAGTGGGTGGCCTGTTCGGACACTGCAGCTCATTTTCTCTAAATCCTTCACTTCCATTGTGTCTGTCCACGGCGCTGTCTGTCCACTGTTACACTCACAGACACACTTGTATCCTTTAAACACTTCTTACTGCTTTATCTGTTGTGTTTAAATGGCAAATGATCCCTGACTGTTGTTGACACAGGTCTTTTAAAAACTGCTGCTTGTTTATCAGTGGCTTATGTACATCTTAAATAAAGGTTATCTTGTGTTTAAACCAGAGCATTCATGAGTTTTCATTGCAAAATCAAGCTAGTCTGGCCCAAGTCTCTGAGCTGGATTCAACGATTCACTTGATTTGCGTGAAAAGAGGAGCGACGTTGCACACTCAGTCAGCCGCTCAGCTACATCCAGCCACGGCAAGCTAAAACTGGCAGCCACTCCATCATATCTGACACTTGAATCAGCCGCAGCTCTTAATGCATGAATGGTGGGATGCATCTGCTTTTTGGCTAACCCCAAACCACAGCAGACCACAAGAAACCCACACCAGTTATAGACATGTTCCACACATTCAGTGAGGCCCTGGGAACAAAAAGTATCAAACTCACGAACCACCCACGACCGGCAGTACATCAAAACTGGTTCTTCTACTTTCTAACTCCTGTAAAAGTTACTGTATATACCACTGTGCTTAAACTCAGAAATTAACTCTAACACTCACTTTGGCCAAGGGGTAGACAAACCTATTTATCTCTTTGCCGTCATCCTTTCCCAAAGACTTTTAACTGAAACAGTTAAGTAGTTAACCATGCCTGTCAAACAGACATAAAGACATGTTTTCAAGAGGTGACGTTTCACCTCCATGGGCAGTTTGCACGGCCCCAGGCTGTGGTGAAAAAAAAAATTTTCATTTCATGCAAGTTGTCTTCCTGAATCATAGCTGCAGCAGAAGATAAGATAAGATAAACCTTTATTCATCCCATAGTGGAAAAAGAGCAATTTAGGCAGTTTTTAAAAATATTTCTTGTTAATATTTACAAAAACGTATGTTATATTTAGCACTCAGATACTGTTCGGGTCAAATTTGACCTGTTTTGACTTTTAACAGCAGTAAAAATACCCTAAACGTCATTCTTTAAGCCTGAAACTTGATGACTTTTCCTGAAATGGCCCATAATACATGAAATTAATTTAAAAATATTCATGTGTACTTTTGTTTATGTGCTACACATTTTTCCCCTCTAAGGCTGTTACCGGTCAAATTTGACCCTTATCTATTTAGATGGATTTTAGATCCAGCAGTGTGGGACAAGTGACAAATAGAAACAACAGTGTTCAATATAAGGTTTGTTGTTCAAAAAGATATATTCAAATCATTATGAAACTATCATTACCTTGACACACACACACACACACACACACACACACACACACACACACACACACACACACACACACACACACGCACACACACACAGACATACAGTCACACACACACACCTAGACAGAGGTCAAAATGACCTAACCAGTCAAGAGAACCTTCTGTGACAGAAAGCTGCTCTTTGAACTCTTTGAAGGGGCAGGGGGGACCTACAATATTGAAATAGTAAACAAACAACATATGAGTGATCAAAGATGGAGTACAAAGAGATTAGAAGTCATCCGGAGGTCAGAGTGTGCTTTGACACAAATGTAACATGTGCACCTGCTCCTGCAATATAATGTACAAAGTAACTAACTGGAGTCTGTTTTGATTGGGAGGGAGGCAGTGGGAGTTGTAACATTATGAGAGTAGAGAGAGCTGCCGTTTCAGTGATAAACACATGTGCAAGCTCCACATGTTAAGTGTCCTACCTTTGCTTTAAATGCAGAGACTAGCAGTGAGGACAGTGTTCAATATAAAGTTTGTTCAAAAAAATATATTCAGATCATAATGACTTTTATATTTTTATGTCTTACATAATATTAGATGACATAATATATACGATGACAATATTAGTATATTAGATGACATAATATTTATTTGAACAGTATGTGTGGGTTAGGTATATTTAACTCTTACTGCTAGAAAAAAAACTCAATTATTATTCAATTATTATTATTTGTTTTTGTTGTTGTTGATTCTTATTTTACAGGAGCAATGATCCAAGTATTTATTGCAACAGAACATTTTATATCCCTGCTATTTATTGTCTGTAAGGATTCAGATGCATTTTAAAATACAGACAAAAATCCTGCTGCACTTCCTGGTAGTCTTGAAGCACTTAACTAGACTGGACTGGTTTTGGCTTTGACAATGTAGCCTATAAAGTTTCACCTTGCAGGAAATTAGTGGCATGATTATATTTCTCCGATGGGCTGATCATGCTGGAAAAGTAAACTATATCTGAGTTGCTTGATAATTTATTACTAAGTGGGAGATGCATTCAGGTTATCTCAGGGTTAGAAGTTGTGCTAGAAAATATTTCTTTGCTAATAAGATTTTAAAATTCATAGCTAAATGAATATTTGAATTACTTTTGTGTTAAACAGCAGTTATATTTAAAATATCATGAAATAATTTAAAACTAAACTGGTTTTCACGTTTTGCTTTTAAAATCGTACAGTGTATACACTGTGAAAAGATTCAAACACTACCACTAACACTAACACATTCTAACACTATCCCAAAGTTGCAAAATAATTTGCAAAACTTTATGTTGACCTTATATATGTTTTCAAATGTAAAAAAATGCATTTCTATAGTAAAAATACTACTATACTATAGTAGTATAGCAGCATTTCTACTTTTCTATATAAAAATGATTAATCAAATCAAATACAAATACAGGTGCTTACAGTTATGCTAAATTGTATTTTGATGCAATTTTAAGATTCTTTTTTAAGTATTTTACATTTTTAAGTCACCATAAGCTACCCCACAGAGAAAAATATGAGTTGGCTAAACTGCATGAGTTTTTTAATTTTGATGATTTAACTTCAAAAACAAAATGTAAAATTATTCTGCAAAAATGTGGTTCAGTTTCAGAGAAATGTTTGGTTATTAAAAGAGTAACAATTAATCAATCTGAAAATAGGCAAGTATACATTATGGATAGATTACAACAACCAATGTCCCCATTTTCTAATCAATCATTGAATTACTGAAATTACGGTCATTTCTCATCCTGTGGATGTTTTTCAAAATTCTCCCTGTTTCTTATAAACACTAAAAAACAAAGAAATTATTTAGGGGAAATTAGGAGTTCAGACATAAATAAAATGTAATCAGTAAAAATGCTCCTGTAAGAGATACTAAGAGAATCCCACACACACTAACACACACCCACACACACATACACACAGTCAGCGTGAGGAGCAGCTGTTGGTGGGAGTGTGCCAGTGTGTGTCATTACATGTTTTCCCGTGGCGTTCATACATAGTTTCTCTATTCAGCAGGAAAGCCCTGCTCTCAACACCAGACAGAGGCAGCTAATTCCCCCGTCTGTCAGAGGCGCTCAAAGAGCCAGTGATTGGAGATGACAAACGAGGCAGTAAGACAGGTCAGGCAGCTAAACTCGACCACAGAGCGAGAGGAGAGAGAGAGAGAGAGGAGGTGGGACTAAGAGAGGAGCAGAAGTGCAAGTAGAGTGAGTGTGTGTGTGTGTGTGTGTGTGTGTGTGTGTGTGTGTGTGTGTGTATATTTGTCAGTAAAACCATGAGGGTCTTTGGGGGTCTGACGCCGTACTTGTCTGTCAGTTTGAGAGGGAGTGCATTTGGTTTCCAGTTCTGGCTCCTCCTCTATCTCCAGCAGGATCCCCGGCCAGAGTCTCTCTGTCACTCAGGCTTACACACTGGAATCCAAAAAGGAAGGAAAAAGTTTGTGTATGTAAGAGCCTGTCTTTATGTTGAAGTGTGTGTGTGAAAATAAAGTTTTTGACTTAAGTTTTATTGCTGGGCAGTGTGTGTGTGTGTGTGTGTGTGTGTGTGTGTGTGTGTGTGTGTGTGTGTGTGTGTGTGTGTGTGTGTGTGTGTGTGTGTGTGTGTGTGTTAGGCCTCACCTCTCAACTTGACCTATAAGACGGCGTTCTGACTAAGCATTTGTATGAGGACAGTTCTGATTACAATGTCATGCACCATGTTCAGAAATTATAAGTAGTTTTTGTTGAGTTTAATAAGGCTGAGTTTGCAATAGTAGTGTTTCTTTTATAACAATAATGATAATAATAATTATTATGATCTTTGTTTATATTGCTGACTGCAAAATAGTTTAATGTTAACACCATGTTAACCATGTTAACACCATGTTAACAAAGAATCAAAACCTTCTGCATAAGTCTCCTCATTTAATTCAACTTTTTCCTCTTAGACCTCCATAAAGTGAGTAAGCACCTGACAGTATGAATCAAAAAGGCTGTGTTTCCAGCATTGTTTGATCATAAAAATATATTTTTTTAAGTACACCTATGTCTTCGAAACAAAGACCAGTGTTATCCTTCATAACACACCCTTTTTCTTATACTTTATACTAAAGTCCTTGAAATATGCATTAATCAATAGTTGTTATAGTTATAGGATGCTTATAAGCATTCATAAGTGTTGATAAGTGTTAACAAAAGCTTAATACATTTATTATTGGTTATAAGACATTTATAGACTCTCATTGGAAACTAACAACTTAAATACCTGTGATAAACAACAATAAAATCAGGATCAGAATCACCCTGGCACAAATATTAACTCGGAATGTTACAATACTTTCAAAGTTTGGACAAGCTCGAACTAGACCTTTAACTTATATTTACAAGACAGTAGTGCAAACATGAGGAGTGCAGTAGAGTGAAGAATGGTTGAAAAAATAAACATGTCATTATGGCATACAGAGATCAAAACGTCTACCTGAGGGGAGGAGTTTGTGTCCTGGAGGTGAGGTGTCCGCAGTGATGTAACCTGCCAGTTTCTTGACCCTGGCCTGGATCCGTGTAAGTCCTGGATAGAGGCAGACGCGTATTATCATCACATTTTATTTTTCTTCAAAGTCTCTCTGTCCATTTTTGAAAGTTTTTCTCTTTTTTTAATGTTGCACAATGACCTCCAGGTGACAAATGAACACTTTGTCTGTGCTCAGTGTCTGCTGACTCTCCTTCCTCTGTCTGTCATTTACTGTTAAAGTACACAGCAACTGTACAGTGAAGGTCAAGCCTGAGGAAGAGACTAAACTCAAGCTGGTAGTTTAGGGTCATCTGCTGTAATATAATAAACATTGTATGGCCAAATGATTACGATACTCAAAACCTTCTACTTGTATTTTAAATTTTTAAAATTGCAGAGAAAACAACTCATAGAGCACCAAGAGACAGATTTATATGCTGTGCAAATACTTTATATCTTATTTGACACAAAAAATGTGCTTACCATCAACTACACAAGGATATTTATGGATAGTGATTTTTTAGCCAGTATTTTTTGGCAGCACCGAGCGTGTAATCTGGAGAGAAGCTTATTCCTACTCATGAATTCTCGACACTGGTTCAGTGTGTAAAAGGTTTTTTAAGTGTGAGTCGACAGTGAGGCAGAGAGAAGAGCTCTCATGACAAATGGTGCCAGGTTAAGGGCCAGCCGCACTGCATGCAAAACAGTACGATGGGACAACATTTGGTGTGCAAATCCATTAGTCCATTCAAATAATGTCTCAAACAAAAAGTTGATACTCAAACAAATAAATTAACATGTGTGTGCGAGTGCATGTGTCTGTGTGAGTGTCTGTGTGTGTGTGTGTGTGTGTGTGTGTGTGTGTGGGGGGGGGGGGGGGGTAAACCTCGCACCTTATCTGTCTAACATAACATACTGACAAACTATTAATAAGTCATTCTGCAGCAGAGTTAAAAACTTAAAACAGAGCAAAGATTTCCTTCACTCTCACTCCATGTTGAGGAGGAGTGTCTATAAAAAGTGAGAGAGGCAGTGGAACCTGTCGGTTTCTGAATCTATTCTCCTTCTTTAATCCCGGAGACAGTCACGCCCATCACACTGCCATTGTGCTGCTCAAGCCTCTCTATGCATGACAGATTGAGGGTGCTTGAGTTTATTAACCTCTGAGTGCAGCTCAGATCCCACACGGAGATGAACAGTGAACAAACTCAGCAACACACACACATGAAATTTAAAATCTTTGCTCTTAATTTGATGCACTTATCTACTCATCACAGTATACCTACAGATTTAACCCGCATTCAAGTGTTGCACAGTCTCTGGTTGGGGTTTTGCCTTACAGTAGGACACTCTGATGAAAAAAAAATGTATTGATTTTTGAAAAATATCAGCAAAGCTTTGTCCCTGAGAACTACATTATATTAAAGTAATCCAAAGCTTTTTTTTTTTTTTAACTGGAATACTTATGCAGCATGTTCATCCTGACGATCTTCCTTTTTCTCTTTTACCTCCATCACTAAGATTGATAATGAGCTCAGTAAGAGAT